ATCTATATCTAGGACTTTTTCATCTATACCCGTTAAAAAATAACCCGTCATTCCTCTGTCCCCCTGCCCAGCCCCTGCTAACCACTGTCTTTATACAATTTAGTCAGCCCTCTGTATCTCTGGGTTCCATATCTATGTTTGCAGATTCAGTCAACTGCAGATTGAAAATATTTTAGGGGAAAATTGAGTCTGTACTGATTATGTACAGACATTTTTCCTTGTCATTATTCCACAAAAAACAGAGTATAATAACTATTTACATTGTGTGAGGTATTATAAGTAATCTAGAGGTGACTTAAGGTATATGTAAGATATGCAGAATATATGGAGGATATGCATGTTATATGCAAATTCTAAGCTTATGTATGGGACTTAGGCATCCTCAGATCTGTGGCAGGTGGATTCTGGAACCACCTCTGTAGATTCCAAGGGACAAATGTATTTGTCATTTTCTGTTTGGCTTGTTTCATTTAGCTTAATACATTTTTTGTGACTAATAGTCCACTGTATGGATATATCACATTTTAATTCTCTGACCTATAGATGGATACCTCGGATATTTTCACCTTTAGCTGTTTTGAACTGTGAACTGGATGTATAAATATCTGTTCAAGTCTTGTTTTTTTGGGTACACATCCAGAAGTGGAATTTATGTTTAATTTCTAGAGGAATTACCATATTGTTTTCCACAGCAGCTGCATGCATGGTTTTGCATTCTTATCAGCTCTGTATAGGGGTTTGAGTTTATCCATATCCTTGCCACCTATTAATTTTATGAGGTTTATTTTGTGTGTGTGTGTGTGTGTGTGTGTATACACTAATATGCATATCTGTATATGTACATTTATATGTGTATATATATATATATATATATATATATATATATATATGTGTGTGTGTTCATCTATAGCTATCTTAATGGATATGAAATGATTTATCATTATGATTTGCATTTCTTTTTGGGCACTTTTTCATTTGTTTATTGGCCTTTGTTTATCCTTGGAGAAATGCCTAATTGAGTCTTGCCCATCTTAATTATTTTTTATTTTTGGTCATGTTATTTAGCTGTAGTTTCCAACCAGGTTTTTGAATGTTTCTTAGATGTGGTGAGTCTAAGTACTAAGCCACATCCCCAACCCTAAGTATTCTATTCTTATATATAGTCCTAGCAGGAGTACTTAGGTAGGCAGAGCTAAGGTTTTCCTTAAACGTATACCATCTGAATAGGTGATGGTAAGAGCCTCAGAGTTCTTATAGGGCATGATTTGGTCTGGAAAACTCTTGAAACGGAAGTCATTTACCAAAGCTATAGAAAAGTCCAAAAAGCATACCCATTATAATGAAACATTCTGGAATTAGTGATGTTTGTTGCACAACTTTGTGAATATACCGAAAACAACTGAGTTGTACAATTTAAAAGAGTGTTTTATGTTACGGAAACTATACTCATTAGAAAAGAAGAATAAATAATATCATCATTTAATATTTGGTCTTGGACTTAATGTAGCTTCCTAGTAAGCCTGCTAGAAACATGAATCTGAACCATGTTGATATCAGCTTTTGAGTTTATTCACTCACTAAAAATTTTATTGAGTACCCATTATTTTTCTGATATTGTAAATGTACCAATAAATAAAACAAAGTCCCTATTCTGAAAAGTTTGTTTTAGTGGTGAGAGATGATAATGTAATATAATATCAGGTATTATAGACACTATAAAGAAAAAGCAGAAAAAGGGTGACAGAGCATGCCATGTTAGATAGGATAGTGTCTCTGGGGAAGTGAATGAAGCCAAGATCAGAATTAGCAACTCAAATAGCTAGGGAAAGAGCATCCCAGTTTGAGCCAAGAGCAAATCTCCTGTGGGCAAGGGTGTGTTTGTTGTATTCAAAGTACAGTAATAATGTCAGAGCAGAGAAAGAAAGTTAGGTTGGAATAGTAGCAATGGAGAGCCTTGTAAGCAGCGGTAGGAGCTTTGAATTTACTAAATGATGGAAAGCCTTTGGAGCATTGTTGTGTAATATAGAAACTAAATGTTGGAGAATATGCTAAAAATAATCATCTTTTTAAAAAATTGCTCTCAATATTTTGGGGGGAGGGTACTAGGGATTGAACTCAGGGGCACTCGACCACTGAACCACATCCCCAACCCTATTTTATATTTTATTTAGAGACAACATCTCACTAAGTTGCTTAGCACTGTGCTTTTGTTGAGGCTGGCTTTGAACTCACGATCCTCCTGCTTCCCCATCCTCTGGGATTACAGGCAGGTGCCACCATACCCAGAGCTCTTAATTATTTCTGATAACTGTTATGTATAAATGAATTGTCTCAACAGCCATATGGTTCAAATGAAACCATATTCTCTGAATACAGGGGGTTATTTGTTGCTTTTTGTTTTCTACAAGAGAGGCAGTAATATCTAGCAATAGGATTAATTCATTAAAATGTCTTAAATCCCTTGTTACACATTCTCTTAAAACCCTATTTTTCTTTCCCTTGCCCACTTGTAGAGGAAACTACTTCTCTCTGTTCTTATTCCTTTTGTGAGCTTTAGTTGGCCCTGGTGGTGATTTTTTTTTTTTTTTTTTTTAATTACAAGTAAAGTATATAACCTATAAGTAGAAAAAAAAATCTAAAAATTTTGATTTAAAATTAGAAATATGAGTTCCCTGAAATAACTGCAAAGGTCATTCCTAACTCAACTCTTTAATCTCAACAACTTGTTTTTCCCTGTTTACTAGTAAATAAAAATATTTTCAAAATTCTTACTTAATTCTTTGATTATATTAACCACAGCATTTGTATACCCATTTGAACATCTCAGTATGATTTATAATGTTATTACTCTGAGAAAAGTTAATGTCTGCTACTTTAGAACTGAATTTTCTGAAAACTTATAAATTACAACTTATAAATTGGAGAGTGCCTTCTTTGATTATACTCTTTTGATATTTAATAGAAAGAAAGAAATATAAAGAAATACTACATAACTTGAAAGTTTTAACAACTTCTGTTGAAACAAGCTTTATTACATATTAGTTCCACATTCATGAATGTTAATTTTATTGACTGTTTATAGAGAAACCAAAAAGTACAGTAGTGATAAAAAGGCCATCTTCTAATTATTAATTATAGGTAAATTTGAGTTGTTGGCATAGAAAGGTCTCAGTTAATAAGTTCTCTCACCAGTATTAGGTGTGTTACAGTGTTTTCCTCCTATGCAACTAAACTAATATATTTCTTTTTATTTAAAGCTTGCAAATACAGAAGAGTACATAGATGGAGCATTGTCTGGACATCTTGGTGAAGTTTTAATAAGGTAATAAACAGCAGTAGTATATGTAAGGAGTTGGTGGTGAGCATTAGAATTAGCACCTCAATTTGAATTACTTTGTTTTAATCACTTAATTTAACATAATATTCTACAACTAGACTTTGATATTGTTAAAATTTGTCAAAGGTAAGATTTAAATACTTCAGAGCTATTCATCCTCAAGTTTTTTCTAGTGTTAATATTACATTTACTGGCTCATAGATGTAATCTTTTTCATTGACTTTAGTTGCAGGAACTTAGTTTTGAATTTTAGTTAAGTCTGGTTGCTAAAAGATTTTTGGTGTACTCATTTTCTAGTACTAGCAAGCCTCCAAATTTTAGTAATTATTTTATGAAAATGTCATTAAGACAAACACATGGTAAAAAAATAAGTACCATAATTAAGCAGGCTTTTTAACAAATCTAAGTGAAACTTTTGTTTTTTTTTAAGAGCAAGAATCATAGTAAGTAAATTTAGCATGCAGTATTTTCATAATGAAAAAATCTAGCAACAGTATTTCAGATCATACAATTTTTGGTTGAAACGACTAAATGAACTGTTTCTATTTACAGGTGTAATAATGTCCTTTATATCAGAGGTGTTGAAGAAGAGGAAGAAGATGGGGAGATGAGAGAATAGCACCTTTCATGGGGATTTCTTTATATATATTTCTAGACAATAAAGACTTGTTTTTGTTTTTCAGCTTGACTTGTGAACTATTTATATGCAGATATTTACATGCAAAGCTCAAATGTTGAAATAGTTGAAAGTTGATTCACAGACTAATGCTTTAAAAAGCCACCAAACTTTATATTCCAAGTTGGTTTTCTTCTATAAGCCCAATACTATTTTTTTCTATAAGGGATAATTATTTATATACTTCAGAATTTTTTATGAAAGTGAATTTCAGCCCTTTTCTTGTTATATATTAACGGACCTTTTAAAGCAAAGTTTTTGAGCCACTTAACGTGTAAAGTTAAACATTTTCTTAATATAGACTATTATTTAATAAAACAGTGTTAATTCTGTATCAATGTAAGCTAAATAATGCACGTATTATAGCTGAACTTGAAACATCGTCTGAAAATTACAATGAATGGAGATAGGGCACAACAGAAATCGTGATCTGACATTTAGGTGGGAGGCATATGCTTTGTTCATTTAAGAATAAAGTTTTCTGAACAGAAATTCATATGAAACAAAAAATCAGCCTCATGGTTATATTCTGAGACCATAATCTAGTAGATTTCTCTTAAGTTTTAAACCCCTCAAAACTTCTCATTTGTTTTAGTTTTACATTGTTAAATGTATATTCTGTAGTAATAACAGTATGCTATGTGCTTCCCTATAGATATGTTGAGAAAATACATCATTTAAATTCTCATTTTGTCAGAAACGAGCCATTATTATACTTTAATAGTAATTCAACTAACTAATTTGGGATATGTATCCTCAACTGAGACAACTCAAAATATAGATATAAATGTTTAGCTATATAAAACAATATGAATAATAAAAAGCTACAAAAACTCTCATTCCTACTACCATATCCTATAGAATGTGACCCTACCTTCCTTGAATTGATTAGGACATTATGTGGGACAAGATTTGCCATTAATGAAAGCCAAAATCTATAAAATTTATGTAAAACATTCTGGTAATAAAATGTCTTACTGCTCCTATTCAACCAAAAAAATATTCTTCCTCCAGTGATTTTGTTCTTGTATCTTTGATGAAAATTAGATCATGTTTGCTACCAGATGGAGGTTGTGAACGAAAGGTAAGTCGTCTTCCCATCTGAAACAAAAGAAAAACTACTTAATGTTCTGTAGCATAACCATTTTCTGTTGGAATATGTAAAATGCTAATATAAACTAGATTTATATTGGAATCATATGGAATACTGTGGTTTGAAATGCTAAATAATCATAGTTAAAAGGCATTCATAACATAGTGGATGTTCAGCATATTAGGCAAAGTTAGTAGCAGAATGCAGAAGTCAAAGTGATAAGGATTTATAGGGAAGTGGGAAGATTTGGGTAAAGCCATCAAACAGCATGTGGTTCCAATGTGGCCATCCTAGAAAAAGTACCATGTTGGAGGCCAACATTTCATTTTTAACTAAGTGCCATAGCACTTCATGCTTCCTCCGTGGTTAGACAAGATTGCTTTCTTGCCCATCATTTAGAAATCTTTTTGAACAAAAATTTCAGAAAACTGTGTATTATCTTCTTAAACACCAGTGTTATTGCTGGTTTTTGGAGATGTTACCACCAGGAGAGGTTTAGGGAAAATTTGAGTTCTAAAAAATAACAACCAGAGTGAGATGAATTGAAACTGAGAGCAAGAAAGGTAATTTCACTGGAATTCAGCCTGGATAAATTAGAAGAGTAAGGTATTTTATTTTTGTACCACAGAGGCATTCACGTACTGATACAGCTGGACTTGTTAACAGCAAAACACAAACCTTTTTCTTTGGTTGTGCTACAGCTCTTTCCAGAGCAGCTTTTAGCCTTTCTTCTTGGTACTTTTGTTTTTCTCTCATTTTCTCTTCACGCAACCTGTCACAGGAAGGGAAGAACATTCTTGTATAAAGTACTCTAAAGTCCACAGAAAGTAAAGATATATACATAATTACTATTTGGCAATGAATTGTCTAAATATGAGATTCCCATAGAATGACTTTTGGCGGGCTAGGGTTGTGGCTCAGTGGTAGAGCCCTTTCCTTGCACTTGTGAGGCACTGGGTTCTGTTCTCAGCACCACATATAAATAAATGAATAAAATAAAGGTCCATCAAAAACTACCAATAAAAAAAAAGATGGCTTTTGAATGTTCAGGTAGATATGAAGAAGAAATCCTATTTACAAGTGGGAAGAAATTCCATTTCCTCATTATGGAACAAGTAAAGTCTACCTAGACCTTGGTCTAAAAGCCAAGCATTCTCAGCATTCCACTATTATTGCAGCACTTTCTGAACCATAGCCACTTAAATTAACTTCCAGCTATCCCTTGTCTATCTTTTAAAACCTTTTTACTTAAGTATAACATCAAGAAGACTATATAGATCACAAGTGTATATAATTCGATGTACACCACAAAAGTGTGATATTCTTGAAATAAGACCAATAAATGTTATTTATCTTACTCTCTTTTAGGGTTTTTGTGAGGAAAATGATTCAAATAGAAATAGTCTAGCACACAGCTTGGTGCAGAATAGGCACCAAGTGCTAGTTGCTTTATGAACTTGTATGATTGTATCCAAAGTGTAAGACGATATACTGATATATCTGTATATAAACTTGACATACAAAACACTTTTTAATCCAGAATTGGGTGTTATGCTAGGTACTTTGAAACCATGGAGAAAATCAAGTAAAATCATTATTAATACAAATGAAAATAATTGGAATTTGATTTGTGTATCACTGCTGCAAATAAGTTGTAATTGCACTTTAAAGAGAATACATTTGCTACTGTAGAGAACATGCATAGTGAGGTCACCTTAGAGAAAATGATCCTCCATTTAGATTTTTATGTTTGCTTTATATTCAATAAGATCTCATTAGGTTCACCTTAATATATTCTAGACTTCACTTTTATATGGGAGAAACAATATTCCCCATACACCAGTAATGTAGTACATAGTAGTATATGCCAAGCAAGTAGTATGTGCCAAGCATGTTTGCTGCTTTTGTATGGATTCATTCTCACATCAACCTTATAAGTGCCATTATTACTGCCATTTGACAGATAAACAATCTAAACAGAATATACTGCCTGCCTAATATCGCAACATTGTAAACAGTTGGATCTGAACTGAACCCAACAGCCAGGCTTCATGGCCATGCTTGGAGTGGTAGTACCATCCTGCCTCCCAGTGTGCTTTTTGCTACATGAACATTATCCCACTTATAAACATTCCTACATGCCACTGTACACAGGCAATATTGCTATAATAATCAATGCATCAACAGTATGTACTTAAAATTCTTATTTAACTTGGTGTAGAAATCTGTAAATAAGCGTGTTTTCCTGAAAGGCCCCAATTGGATAGGGGGTTGAGGGTTTCAGGGACAGGCCTTATGAGGTTGTTTTGAGGAATAAATGAGTTACTGGGTAAGTGTTGGCAGTTATGCACTGAGGGAAACCCTACTTGTGTGGCTGGCTCTGACTTTTTCAAGCAATTCTTTCCTAAATTATCTTCCTATAGTTTTCCAATGAAAGCCTCCTAATTCTGTGCCTTGTGTCCTTTACCACAAGTACAGTTCTTCCACATGACAGCTCTAAAGAAATGTTCAGAGTACTTCCTGTGCAGATCTTCTGTGAAGATTCGTGTTTCCATGCTGAAAAGACCCACTTGCCCATCCCAAACTGTTCCCCGGGGTTCTTTCCTTCATAGTACTCATTACCATTGGTAATAAGAACTTCTATTTCCTAAGAATATGTGATGTAAGTGTCTCCCACACCAAATAATAGTTCTGTGAGGTTGGTAAGGCTGGATTTGACCCCTCCAGTGCATCTCTATGTGGCATCCTTGCCATCTGAGATTTGCTCAATGTACGATCCAAGCAAAAGCAGTCTCTCATTAACAATATACTTATAGGTAGTGACTATACTTTTGTCGCCGTTCCTTCTGTTTTATCCTCTCGATTGCATCCACACTTTCTTTGGGGATGGATTCGATGAGGTCGCTCAGTTCCACCAGGCGAGACTCTACTTTGACCAGCTTTTGAACTGCATTCAGGCTGCCAACCTCAGCATCTCCAATGCAGACTTTATATACTTGATTAATTTTTTTACTAAGTGAATCTATCAGTTTTTCCTGAGATTGAAAAGAAAAGAAAGCAGGAAACATCACATCACTATTTGGTTGCTCATTTGATAAAATCAAATTCCATTTTACTATGTTACAATGAAAAATCCTTCATATACCAGTATGTATATCTTTCTATTCTTTATTGGTGTTGGGGACTAAAAGGTATGTTCTACACACCCCAGTCCCTCAATGTTTTCTTTTTATAAAGGAAAATGTTAATATGACCTAGGTCAGTGAGGAAAACGCAGCAAGGATATTTATATCACAATATATAGTCAGATCATCATAGCAACACTTTGGATTTTCTCAAAATACAGTTAGATATAAAAAGTAATCATTCATTTTGCCACATGCATTTTTATTCTATCATTCTATTTTAATGGCTAAAACTATAATCATTCTGACAGTTTATTTGTATATATCTTATCTCCCCCTTCTAGACTGCAAGCAAAGGCAGGAGCAACTTCTTACGCTTACACTTATATTTAAAACAGCACTGTGAACAGCACTATACACTTAATGTTTGCTGAGTAAATGAATGCATTCTCTCTCGCAAGCAAAACAGATTCCTAGGCTGTGGCCTACCAGAGCTCTTTTAGGAGATTAATTTCTATGCTTGTCATTGGGAAGCTATTGCCATATTCCAGTCTAAATAAGCTTAGGCCAAACCTTGCTGATCCCTGTACTTCACCACTGTGCCATTTTAACTGTTAATAGAGATAGATGCTTGAGTTGGTTGGTAACTTGTTTTAGGACCATAAGATAGTTGTCCTCCTCCTTCTCCACCATTAACCTGGGACCTCAAGAAACTGCTGGGCAAGGTAAACCACTCTCTGGGTAGCCTCCTGCCCCAAATCTCACTTCTGCTCAAGAAGATGAGAATCACCATAAAGCCAAAAACAAATGACACACTCAAGACAGACGTGGCTCCTAGAGCCCTGGAAAACCCCTCCTGGAAATGCAAGTTCCCTGCACAGCCACCAGCACTGAGGCAAAGAACTGAACTAAACTGGACCTTAACAGCTTGTCTCTCCCACCTCCTAGTTCAGTGATCCCTTCCATGGTCCTGTTTACCATAAAGCTCCTTTTTCCCCCCTCTCTAAATACTTCTTATTTATATTTAAAATGATCTTTATAGAAAACTTGGAGAAATACAAAATATAAAAGAAGCAAAAAAAGTTCTGTTTTCCATAAAGTCCCCTTTTCCCCTCTCTCTAAAATAATGTTTCCTGTTTATATAACAGCACATTCCATTTAGAAACTTTGGAGACATACAGAAAAATATAAAAGGAAAAAAATAGCGTATTGGGGCTGAAATACTAACCACTGCACATGAACAAACATTCTTGCTGGGGCTGGGGTTGTAGCTCAGTGGTAGAGCATTTGCCTAGCACGTGTGAGGTACTAGGTTCAATCCTCAGCACCACATAAAAATAAATAAAATAAAAGTATTGTGCCTATCTACAACTAAAAATGATATTTTAAAAAATTCTTTGAATATAAATCATTAGAACAAAAAATGGTATTTTAAAATATATATTGAATATTCGTTTTGAGAAAAAGCAACTTTAATAGGAGAATAATGGTTGATGGACATTTCTAAATGAGACCCCCTACAAATTTAAGAAACAGATGGATAGTGACATTTCAGGGTATCTTTTTTCTCTCACATTTTTTTTTTTAAGTTCCATTATCAAACAGAAAAAGAAAAGACAAGAAAAAAGTTCTTAAAATAACAAGAACAGCATTAAGAAATAAGAGGGAATGAGATTAAGGAAGATAAATTATATATGAAAAAGAGATTGAGGGCCTGGCCCAACAGATCCAAAGGGCAAAAGAAAGAATAAAGGCAGAAAGGCCAACGGGTGACAAAATGACATGTAAGCCAGATTCCTGGAACTGCCACCAGATGGCAGGCCCAGCACAGAGTACCTTGGAGGAGGACATCGGGGATTGGGGGACAGGAGGTTCCTTGGAAAGCACACTAATGATTTATGCACTTTTAAAATGTTATGTTGTACTTAAATTTTCATTTTAAAAATAAAATTGAATCAAGGAAAAAATGTTAGTGGCTTGAGCACAGTTAATTTGGCAGTTTTGAAAGAATAAAATATTCATTTTACAGTTATAGCTCCAAAGTAACTTTAACTTATGAATATCAAAATTAGGTGTGTTGCTTATACCTGTTTCAGCTAGAAAGAAACTTTGTTTATGTTTGTGGTACTGGGGATTGAACCCAGGGCTGCACTACAAGGCAAGCACTTTACCACTGAGCTACATCCTCAGCCCTTTTTATTTTTTATTTTGAGACATGGTCTCATTAAGTTGCTTAGGGCCTATGTTGCCTAGGCTGGCCTAGAACTTGTGTTCAGGAGGCTGCCTCAGGCTCCTGAGTAGCTGGGATTACAGGCATGCTACAGGACCCCTGACTGGAAAAAATATTATGTGCTACTATATGTATTCATTGTGTTTTGTACATTTTGAGATCTGACAGAATGGGGTTGGAGAAACAGGAGAATTCTAAGGAAGGAATTTCCCTTTCAACTTTCCTATTCTGCCTCCTCTTCCCCACCCCACACTTTTGTCTCTGGGAGACTAGGATTATTAGCCTCATAATAAAATTTGATATGGATGTCAAATTTATACTTGTGACCAAAATGTTATGGATAATCCTAAAGAGTAATTTTCAGACCAATTCTCCCTGCTCTTTCTAGGGATCTGGTTGCCTCAGTGTTGAGAATTGAAAATGCCTCTTTTTTTCATAGTTGCCTTCAACTTCGATGGAAAGGGTTGCCTTGGGATGGGGGTGGGGTAGATATCACATTTATCAAACTTTTTGCGTGCCCCTCAGTTTTAGAATTACTTAACCCAGTTGAAGAGTGGAAGTGACCCAAGTGTCCATCAAAAGATGAATGGGGAAACAAAATATGTAGATACAATGGATTATTTTTCAGGCTTAAAAAAATGTACATGCTACATGAATGAACCTAGAAAACATTACACAATGAAAAATAAGCTCACACCAAAGGACAGATATTGTGCCTTTCCACTTTACGAGGTCCCTAGAAGTGTCAATTTATAGAGACAAAGGAGAATGGTATTGCCAGGGTCTGGGGAGGGGAGGAATGGGAAGTCAGTGGTTAATGAGTATAGCGTTTCACTTTTGCAAGATGAAAGAATTCTGGAGATTGGTTGTAAAATAGTGGGGATGTACTAAACACTACTGAATTATACATTTAAAAATTTTTTTTTGTAGTGTAAATGAACAGAATGCCTTTATTTTATTTGTTTATTTTTATATGGTGCTGAGGATCAAACCCAGTGCCTCACACATACTAGGTGAATGCTCTGCTACTGAGCTACAGCCCCAGCCCGAATTATACATTTTAAAATGGTTAAGATGTTAAATTTTATATTGAAATGATGAAAAATTTCTGAAAATAGTGGTGATAGCTACACAATGAGGATATACTTAGTGCCATTTGTGTTCACACTTAAAAAGGTTAAATGGTGGAGTTTATGTTTATTTTACCACTTAAAAAATGGCTAATAAAAAACAGCATTAAGGAACTGGAAGGTGGCTATCACTACAGCTCTTGCTCTAGCCATGATGACCTCATCTCCCCTTAACTCATGACACTGTAACACCCTCCGGAATGTATGTGTGAAGAAGCCATGAACAATTTTCACTTCTGTAACCCTGCCCACCTATAGGTTGGGAAGGATAGTCACCTATTTCTGATGCAGTTTCCCCAAATCTACCTGTCTGAAAAATCGATTCATAGCCATAGACATGACATTAGTCCCACGTGTTAACTTTGACTTTTTTTTTTTTTTTTTTTATTTCACTTGAGGTTTTTACAAGGAAACCAATGTGAGATGGAATTTGCTGTGGGTCTCAAAACTAATGGAATCACTCATTCCACAGACACTTATTGAGCATGGACTTTATGGGGACATGGAACTGAGCTAAGGATAATAAGAGGACCCTTGAGGACTTGCAGCCAGTTAGGAGAGATGAACCTGTCAATAAATAAGTGTATATGAGTATGTGTCACAGGTGCTGTGATGATGAGCTTTTCTATTCAACACCAGAGAGGCTGAATTCTGTTACAGGCTCAGTGTTGGGCCAATTTTCTATTCCTCTATTAGATACATTTGCTCCTTGAATTGCCACCAAAATGATCACAGGCAGTGAACTACTTTGTTACGTATATGCTCTGACATAAAGAAACGTATCTATAGGGGAAACCTTGATGTCATATTTTGTAATAATTAGAGCAATGTTTTAAGGGAAATTCAATGCCAATTGGAATGATTCCTACCTAGTAAATTGGCTATCATATACTGGCAAGATAATTACAAAATAAAATTACCATAGGATAAGAACGATTACCTGAGCTTCCGAATTAAATTCTCCAAAACTAAAGAGCCTGGACCTCAGTTCCAATTCTGCTGCTTTTTCCTCTTCTCTCACACAGTTAGCCTTAAGCATTTCCTTGTGCTCTACCAGGAAGTCGATGTTGCTATTTCTATTGCAAAAGAAGAAAGAACCTGGTCTGTAACTTGTGGGCTGGTGAGATAACCAACAGAGGCTTTGACACTTATTCTGAATCATGTGTCAATATCCTGTGCCTAGCAAGCCAAACTGAAGACTTTGCTGAAGTACACACAGCAAGGTTCAATGAGGAAAAGAAATGCTCATTTAAATGCTGCTTTCCAGAAAGGCATCTTCTCCCCCTCACCTACATTTGTGGTTTTCCTCTGGTCCTACAAATAGAGGGTGGCAGAGCCCAAGCTGTGGTGTCGCCTGCTGTGCAAGGGTCTTCAAACCTGAGACCTTCAGCACAGCTGGGGAGACATGGGAAGAGCAACTCCTGGCTCACCTGTTCTTAGCTTCTTACTTCTGAACAAATACATTTGTTCTGAAGCTAAATGCAGTGTGACCTGTCATTTAAAAAGATTATCATCTTCAGGCCCAGAAAACTGTTCCAAGAAGGTTCTACATATCTTTATAATAGGTAGATATAAAAGCCTATTCTCTCTGACCTGAAGCTCTTTTTCAAACTGTAATAATATAAAATTTTAGGGTAGGAAAGAATTTTGTGAGTTATTACATCTATCTCCCTCTCCTGACATAAATCCCTCTAGAACAGCCCTGACATGTTGATAATATACTATGAAATGATACAATATTAAATATTAAATTATGTTGAATCACAGCCAGAGAAAATGCATTTATTAGCATCCAAAACATGATTTAATTAAGGAAATGATGGCTGGTCAGATGATAAGATGAAAACTATACTGGGCAAAATAAGGCAGCAGGTACCATTTTAATTGTTTTTGGTGCCCTAAACTATTTTTATTATTAGAAGGAAAAGTACTTTGACAAATGAAAGAAAGTAGGGACAAAATTTTGCAAAAGCCAGTCTGCTCTGTGAAAACACAGCTTCTGCTTTTTATGCCCACTAGTTGAACTACTATGAATAATCCAGCCTAAATCCAAGGAGCCGTGAGGACCAGCCCGCAGGAAGCCTCTGGTCAGGAATTTTAACAGAAATCTAAACCTGCTTGTTTTGAATGACTTACACCTTATCATGTATGACTTTTTCTCTTTTTCTTACATCTTCAAGATTTTCATCTACATCTTGGGAATACTGGACCAAACTAAGATTCTGCTCTTCCAGTTCTGTGAGGACTTGAAGTAACTCTTCCGGTTCCTTGAAATAAAGCTCTGGCTCCTGACCAAGCAACAACAGATAATAGAATTCACTTACAAAAGTGGCCTCCTCTCCCCCTGCCCCACCACACCCCACGGCTCCCCAGGCCAGGGACCAGTCCTCAACACAGGGCCTCTAGGGGACAGTCAGGAGCCAAACCATGGCGACTGTTCTGATTGTGAGGGAGACACGGGTAGAGAATAGTAGGTGCCTCATGTTATCTCCAAGTGAGAGCTGGGTCTCAGGAAGAGGACATTTGGGTGTTGCGGGAGAGATGAGAGCCATTAGGGAAAGGGAGAGAGGAGGAGGGTCAAGGAAAAAAAGAAGGAGGGATGTAGTAGAAGAGGAGGCCAAGGCCAAGCAAGGGAGAAGGAATAGAAGAGAGCAAATGGAGGTTAAGTGAAGGTCACTTTCTTCCCACATTATAATTGTTTTATGTTTTCCAAAATTTTAGGATTAAGTATAGATTACTTTAAGTAAATATTACTTTTTTAAAGAATAAGTATATATATATATATATATATATATATATATATATATATATATATATAACTTTTTTTACACAGATGACTTGGATATCTGCACATCCATGTTTAACATTATTTACAACAGCTAAGAGGCGGAAATGCCCATGGATGGATGAATGGACAAGGGAAATGTATACACACACACACACACACACACACACACACACAGGAATATTATTCATCCTTAAAAAAGAGGGAAAACCTGTCCTATGCTACAACATGGATGAATGTGAGGACATTATGCTAAGTGAAATAGGCCAGTCACAGAACAACAAACACTATGTAATCCCACTTATACGAGATATCTAAAGCAGCCAATCTCTCAGAAAGAATGATGGTTGCCAGGGGTTGGGGGAGAGTGGAAAGGGAGGTGGTTCAATGGGTTCGGAGTTTCAGTTCTGCAAGATGATAAAGTTCTAGAGGTTTGTTGTACAATGTACATGTAGCTAACATGACAGCACTGTGCACTTTAAAGGGGTCCAGATGCTAAATTCCACGTCATGTGTTTTTAAACACAGTTTTTAAAACTGATGGAGGATTGCAGGTTCAAAGTCAGCCTCAGTAACTTAGTGAGGCCCTGAGCAACTTAAGGAGAGCCTGTCTCAAAACAAAAAAAATGAAAAGGGCTGAGGATGTGGTTCAGTGGTTAAGTGCACCCTTGGATTCAATCCCTGGTACCCACCTCCAACATAGAAAGGAGGACAGGTCAGGTGTGTTAGGTATAACAAAGAATGGTGATTTTTTTTAAAATTCCTTTTGAGTTTCTGTGGTTCTATTTTAGGTGAAGTAAGCTCAAAATCAATTTTGCAGAAGTATTTTGTTGAAAGCCTATTTATTTTGTGGTTCAGCTACCCAATATAGCTGAAGCCCGAATAAAATGATAAATGATCAGAAAGAATCTGTTTCACAGAAAGGTTGTAAATTATATATCTCCCCTAAATTATTACCTTCTTCTTTTGAACCCAGGGCCTGGTGCATACCTTCTGATGCACATTTTATTTCTCATAGATGGTCTGATGTCAAGGATAGACCATATATTCAATTGAAGAATGGTTTCAACATTCTATTTCCTTCTGGAAAATGTATGGAATAGAAAATTCTAATTCCAAAAGAAATGGGCGTCTATGTGTTTTACAAGACATGACCCATAAATCAAGAAATGTCATCTGTTACCAGATCGAAGTCAATGTCTTCATCTAGAAAGAACTCCAGACTGTCTTCGGAGCTGATACTGTCAGGCCGGCTGCCAAAGATAAAAAGAAGAAAATGTCTGATTTCTGAGCCATTTTTATTTTTTTTAATCAACTGCTTTGCTTTCATTTCTCAATTGTCTTTGAAACCTAACTGTAACATAGTTCTTTTCAATAGCCTGTTTAGCCTTTTTTTTTAAATTGTACATAACACAATACCTTTATTTTTTTTATTTATGTGGTGCTTCACACATGCAAGGCAAACGCTTACCACAGAGCCACAACCCAGCCCCCTCTTTAGCCTTCGAGGGAACTGATTATTGCAGGAATCAGTGGATTCTAGGAGTATGCAAAGAACGTTGGACTCAGTCTCAGACAGGCTCACAAATGCAGGGAGGCCACGTACTATAGGGTACCAATTATTTGAGTTGCAGCTATGAAGTAACTTCTAAAAAAGAAACACATGACCACCTACATTGCCAGATCTGTTCTGTTATATCCAATAGGACCAACATAGGATTTTGAAATATAGTTTTGAAACGTGTGCTCTGGTACTCAAAACTTGTATCACATTTTGTTGAGTAGCCCAAAGACAACTATCTTTTTTTAAGAGCAAATTTTTTTTTAAAAAAAATAGAGCTTTATAGTGATATGTAGTAGTTGGGTTCATCCCAATAAACTCCTACATGCATGGAATTCCATTTCATTTCATGATTTCCCCTGACCTCTTCCCCCGTCCTCCCTTCACTCCTCTGTTCTTCTTTCTCCACTAGATTTCTTTTTGCTCATCTATTTATATATATTTACTTCTTTTTATTTATTCATAAAGGTGAAATCCCCTGTGGTATATTTGTAGATGCACATAACATGACTTTTAAAGAATTCATTCTGCATTGTCTTCTCTTACCCATCCCTTCACTCTGCTTGAAGAGCAGATTTTACTTTTTAAAATATTTTCTGATCACCAGGTATGGTGGCACATGCCTGTAATCCCAGGGACTTGGAAGACTGAGCAATAGGATTGCAAGTTGTAGACCAGCCTCAACAACTTAGCAAAGCCCTAAGCAAATTAGTGAGACCCTGTCTCAAAATAAAAAATAAGTGGTACATATTCACAATGGAATATTACTCAGCCATAAAGAAGACTGAAATTATGGCATTTGCCCGTTAATGAATGGAATTGAAGACTATCATGCCAAGTGAAATAAGCCAATCCCGAAAAACCAAAGGCTGAATGTTCTCTTTGATATGCGAATGCTGACTGAAAATAAGCAGGGTGGGATGTGGGATGGGGAGGTGGATGTTCACCAGATTGGAGGGAGAGGGAATGAAAGAAAGAGAGAGAAGATGGGAATGGAAAAGACAGTAGAATGAATCAGACCTAACTTTCCCATATTCACATATGAATACACGACCAGTGTAACTCCACATCCTGTACAACCAGAAGAATGATGATAAGTCAAAATACATTCTACTATCATGTATAACAGAAAAGAATAAATAAAAACTTTTTAAAATGAAAAATAAAAAGGCCTGGGGATGTGGCTCAGTGGTTAAGCACCCCTGGGTTCAATCCCTAATACCCCCCCGCCCCACCAAAATATATATTTCTTCTGATCAGGGTGAGAAATACTGGTTACGGGGAGGGGCGGTGAGATACATCCTTAGAGAATAATTATGTGATTTGGAAAAGGGGGAAAAAATCCTCCAAGAAAAATGAATTAAAAATGACAGGAATACTAACGCGACAGGATTGGGGAGGGGGTCAGGTGGCTGAGATCTAGGTAGCTCACATTGGTGGAAGCTGTGGTGGTGGGAAAAGAACATAGATGAGTGCAGGGCAGCAGCTTAGGGAACGTGTAAGAATGAAATGAGTGAAGCAAGGGCAGGAAGAGCCGTGGAAGGCAACAGACACGAGACAGAGACCCCTGACATCTGTAGCCTGGGAGCCCAGAATCATGGAGGCAGCCCACAGAAAGAAAATGATTGAAGGATGGGATAGGAAAAAAATTAATAATGTGCTTTGCTCATGCTGAGTCTGAGGGGACAGCAAACCCACCTGGAACTGCCCCTCCCCCCCCTTTTTGGTAGTTGTAGATGGACAGCACACCTCTATTTTACTTGTTTATTTTCATGTGGCACTAAGGATCGAACCCGGCGCCTCACACATGCTAGGCAAGTGCTCTGCCACTGAGCCGCAGCCCCAGCCCTGGAGCCGTCCTTTGAGCAGCTGCAGGAGACGTGTGAGGAAACAGAGGAAGGTCCCTGGTAGTAAGGTGACTATTTGGGAAATGTCCTTGGCAAAACCATTCCATAGACTGTCCACTTCTCCTTTTTTTTCTTTCTTTCCCTGGGTTCAGAAACACCACTTTCTAATCAATCTCTTCTCACTTCTCAGAAGCCTGTGACCTTTGGGGGTTCCTCTCCTACATGAATAAATACCTGTTGCTCCTCGGCTTTCTTCCCCTCTTAGTGAACCCATGAGGGGTGACCTCATTCTCTGTCATGGATCCAACTATTGCTAATGCTCTAACGACTCCCTCATCTCAATGTCTTTTTCTTGAGCTCTTGGCTTCAACGTCTGTCCTCCAATTGGACATCAATATCCACCCGACTGTCCCCAAAGGAGCTAAAACCCCAAAATCCCACCCCTCCTCTTCCTCTCCAGGCCTGCGGCTCCTCCTGTGCTCCCAGTATCACTGAACGGCAGGCTGTGTGCCCGGTGACCATGCAGGAAACCTGGGAGTATCCTTAGTCATTCTCTCCCACACACTTCTTCAATCTTTAGGCACCTCTCACGAGTCCTGCCAATGTCTGTCCCAGCCTGTCCTTCATTCCCACTGCCATGTCTGGCTTAGACAGCTCATCTTCTCTTATCTGAATTGTGACAACAGGCTTCCCACTGGCCCTGCTACCTCTATCTCTGCCCCCACCATTTCATTCTCCATGAGACCACCACATCCATCTCTCTAAAACGCAAAGCTGGTTGAATCTGTGCCACACTCTTGCTTCAAACTCTCAGTGGCTCCCCAGGGCCCGTGGGACAAAGGCCGACTCCTTAGATGGCATCCCCACTGCTCATGGTGCGGTGCCCATCTACCCCTCCACTCTCTCTGCCTTTCACCCTGGGGCTCAGCCATTCCGTCACCTGGGCTGGAAAGGCCTGCCCTCCGGGAGCTTGTCTTCATCAACTCCTCTTCCTCCTCTCAGGGACTCAGCTTAGCTGCTGCCATTCTGGAGGGCACTCACTGACCCCGCCCCTGCCCCTCACCTGTCCCCTGCTCCAGTGCTCCCTTGGCATGCCTGTGGCACTCTGCCTCCCTGTCCAGTGGCACTGTCACATGCCCCGTGAATGACAATCAAGCTCTGGTCTGTTCTCTTCCCTAGATGGGAATTCCTCGAGGGCAGAGATTGCCTTTTTTATTGCTGGGGCCCCAGGTGGCTCAATAAATATATCAAACATGGTCTCTATGTTGAGGGAAGGCTAAACGGTTATTTTCAAAAACAATGCACCGTTTCCAAGAGAGTTAATCAAGTAGGTACTGTACTTTGTCCAGGGTAATTTCTTAGGTTCTGAGTTGAGGGTGGACTTCTTGCGAGGCTTTCCTGTCCATGGTTAGGTGAAGTCCATGCCGTTGGTGGTAGAGGGAAAAGAAATAACATGGAATTAGAAATGAGTTTTTTCACGTGGTGGAAGGTCTCCATTTTCTGCACAGATATGCCCATGACTTCTTTTTTTTTTTTTAAACATGATTTTATTATCAGAATGATCATCATGTAGAAAATGGGGCTCTTTTATTCTACTGAAATGGGGCTCCAAGCCTGAGTATTAAATCAAAGGCACAGGGGCTGGGATGGAGGGGAAGTGGGTTGTCAGAAGTCGGGTACGACTACAGAAAGCCACAGCTTGGGGCAGAAATTATGAGATGTTCATCATGCTTCTAGTTTTATATAAAAGTGATGTGTGCTTCGTAATATCCTGTGGAGGGACACCCCCTCTCCACAGCCACAGACAAGGCACCTGTGCACACTTGTTCCCCCATATCAAGGTTTGGGCCCAACCCTGGTTTCAAATTAAGAAGTGGCCAAAATGGGTCTTGAGTCTCTTCATTCACTAGCCCCAAATCTCTCTGCCCCTTAGTCACTCTTCCTGCTATTCTCCCTTGAAGTCAGGAAAGGCCTCTCTTGTCCTACCTGGCAAGCTCCTATTCATTCTTCAAAACCCAGTTCAAATGTGACCTTCCCTATAAAGACTCTCCCAAATGTCTTTAAAGTATGTCACACGTTGGACTTTTGCCCCATTTTGTCACATTCATTTTCTTGTCAGGTCTTAAAAAGTTTTTGCCTCCATGGTGAGTAAAGGAAAGAATAAAAAAAGGTGGGTCGGGGGAGTGGCAGAAGGATCCCACCACCATTATAAATTAACGTCTTCGCTTTTAAGGTAATACCTGAACATATATTACTAAAAATATTAAAACTGTTAAGTGGTGTTATTTAAACTTAGTGACATCTATAGTCAAGATTTCAAAGGGTGGAGAACGTTGATACCATCACCTACTTCTCCCCGACCCCAACGCCCTACTCCAGATTCCCCAACAGGCAAAGTAACATGTCTTAAATAATGTAGGTGCAAACTGGCCTCCTGAGCCAAAAGAATTGCCTTTTCCAACCAGCAGACTGAATGCACAAGGCATCCGGCTCAAACCAGGGTCATTTCTGGGCAGGCAAATCGACTTGACCCTGACCACTAAACATACCTGCTGGTTGGGACCAGTATAAAGGAGAAAAGGAGTCAGCAAGAGTCAGTCAGTACTGAGGGATCACACAGCGCAGAGGCAGGTACCGGAGGGAAGAGGGTGTGGTGGGGATTAAGGCCTCCCGAGAGGGAGAGCCCCTGTCATGGGGAATTTCCCAACTTGACTCTGGACTTGTGGTTTTCCAGAGAATCTAGAAATCCAGATGTTTTCATTGTATCTGCTGATTTTCAAATGTTGGCCACCACGTTAAACAATCTTAAAATCTTGGAGCCAAATTTCTGGCCTGCAGCTATGGTGGAGTAAGGAGAGAGGAAAGCCACTTCCCCAGAAGGGGACTGAAAGAGTTCTTGGAGATAACTATGACATGGTAGCCTTGAGTGACTTCCCCCAAGTCACTGGCCAAAGGCAGTCACTTGGTTGCAACCAGCTTGGTTTTCTGTGCCCCGGGAAGAGGCCTATTATTATCAAAAGGCAGACCTGCACCAGAGGAATGAGGGGGCCCACCTAGGAAGACCTTGCGTGGGGGTCAGGCAGCGGGGGAATGGTTCACTTGGGCACTTTTCTGAGTTTTGTGGTAACCTCAGATAGAACAGAACTCCTGGCCCCCAGGATAAGAGGTGATGGAGACAACACCCTCCACTTTCCATTTCGAGGGGGACACATTCTCTGGTTTTTACTTTAGGGAGTGAACTCGCACATCTTGACTTTTACCTAGGCTCCCTCTTCCCATAGAATAGTCATCTGAAGTCATCGTCTCCATATCAAAGCTGTCTCTTTTACTGGAACTGATGGAGGATTCTAGATATGGGAAGTAAAGAGGAAGAAGAAGGGGAGAAACATTTCAGTGAATGAAAGCTTTGTCTCAGTGTGTGTGAAGGTACAGTTATTGTCAAAATTTCCAGGGACAGAAATATTATATGGTGACATTATAACTGGTAAACATATTCTGCAAATGATAAGGGCCGGTCTCTGGAGTAGACAAAGGGGTGAGAACAGACCTTTGGGACACTAGGAGATCGCCATTTCCAATGTCAGTCTATAAACCCTGAAATCCCAAGGTTAGCTAATAGATACCTCTGGACAGAGAGACCCACAGGGCTCTGAGCACCCTCTATTGAGATAAGTCTAAAGGGTTAAATCCCAAGCTGTTGAACGCAAATAATTCTCCATTTTCTTTTCCGTTTGTCATCTGTCTTGGTCAAAGCTTTAACTCCGCATCATCACCTGGCTCAGCACTACACAAACCATCTCACTTACTCACACTTGGCGCAGTGAGGGACTTGGGAACTGAGCAGAGCGGGCTCCCGTGCTGGGAAGTGTTTAACAATCAGCTCTCAGCACAAGGAATTCTCCCTGGTGTGTAGTGTGCTCCAGCTGACCCCCACCCCCTTCCTTGTGTGGCCACCTGGATGGCCACACAGGGAGCACTCTGCTTTGCTGCTTGATAGCCAGTGTCTGAAAACGCTGATTTCTGATGTTTATCCAGTTTCTGAAGAAACCTTTTTTTTCAGGTGGGAGGGTAAGTCTGGTCCTGGTTACTATAATGTTGCTGGAAGTGCAAGTCTTCCATTTGGATTAGTGGTTCCACTTTGATCACCTATTAAATTCCTCTATATTATGGGGTCTATTTCTGGTCCGTTGAAGCTGACCTCCTAATACTTACAGCATGCTATTCAATTACTGACTCTGTGGCTATGTTTTAAAGGATTGGTAAACTCCTCCCATCATGGTCCCCCCACCCCCACCCCCACCCCCACCCCACTGTGGGGGGGGGGGCCAGGGGCACTTTACCACTGAAATACATCTCTTTTTACTTGAGACAGGGTCTCGCTAAATTGCCCAGGTTAAACTTGAAATTTCCATCCTCCTGCCTCAGGCTCTCGAGTCACTGGAATTACAGGCATGCACCACTTCTCCTGGCTTCGTTATCTTCTTAACTCAAAACTTTTTTTTTTTTTCTAGATGAACCTCAGAATTATTGTGCAAAGCTCTCCCCGCCCCCAAACCCAAGTCTCTGGGTTAAATCTGTGGTAACATTTTAATTATAATTCCATGAAATGTATACATTTGTTTCAGAAAAATCTATAACTCTAGAATATCAGTCTTCCTGTCCAAAAATATGATATAGTTTTCAATTTTATCAAATCTCCAGGTCACACACATTAAATTTATAGTTGCTTTCTTGGATTTAATTTTCTTGTATAGTTTCTAATAATTCAAGTTAGTCTATTTAGAATAATATGTATAATTGACTTTATATTCACCTACTTTATAGAATTCTTTAGTCATAAACAGTTTTTGAAAAATTTGGGGAGGTTTTCTATGTTATCACATCATCTGCAAATAATATATTTTCTCTTTTCTCCATGTATCTATTTTTATTGCTTTATATCTGAAATTAACCTGTTTCCTCTACAACTAAAAAAAATATTTTTTAAAAAAGGAAAAATAAAAAAGTTTTAGTGTTACTTGATTCTCAAACCATAGTGTCTCCTGGATAATAAATTAACAATATCTTTGCAAAGATAATGGGAATCCTTGTCCAGATTTTGTTTCTAAAACCCAACTATTTAAACAAACACAAACATTGAAGCAGAATATTTTAGAATAAAAAATACTGACTTAATTAAAATAAGAATATGTGACAGGTGCGGTGGCACACACCTGTAATCCCAGTGGCTTGGGAGGCTGAAGCAAGAGGATTTGAAGTTCAGAGCCAGTCTCAACAACTTAGCAAGGCCTTAAGCAACTCAGCAAGACCTTGTCTCGAAATAAAATACAAAAAGGGCTGGGGATATGGCTCAGTGGTTAGGTGCCTCTGGGTTCAATCCCTGGTACCAAAAAAAAAAAAAAAAAAAAAAGTAACTTACTTTTTATTGATTTTGGAATGATGATATTATTTTTTGATGAACTTTTTAGGGCTTGCTGAATTTGCCACTGTTTTGGAGACAATTTCAGTAGAAAGAATCTGTATTTCATGTACTCTCTAAGGAGGAATTCTGTTTTTGCTATTTCACTAACTCAAAAGAAAACAAAGATATGGTTATGTGTATCTGTTTCAAAGCATATACATTAAAAATATTTCATAAAATTCATTATCTTGATTATGTAGCTGACTAGTAATGTACTTGTCAAAAACTGTACATATGGCCATAAAAATATAAGCTTCAATAAGATATGAGAAGAAAGAAACTGGTGGGAATGTCACCTGAATGGAACGTGCCCAGAGATTCTCTCTAAGCTGATGACAATTTTTCTCTGTTGTGGAAAACACTCTACTGTATTAAGTTTTAGACAGAAGCTAACAACAACAACAAAAAATGGCACTTACATAAGGGAAAGAAAGTGTATTAAACTTTAAGAGGCAACTCATGGGATGCACTACAGACAAAACTTCACCCTCCAGTAAGTTCTTAAGGGTAGGTATTATTATCACCAACTTTCTGAAGGAGAAATGGATGACTTGCAAAGTCATCTAGTGCTCAAACCTAGGTCTGTCTGACTCCAATGCCCAACAATACCTAGACACCTGGACTGCAAGCTCCAGCTTCACATTGCTTTACACCAACATGGGACAAGCAGAAAATACTTAAAATAAGGAAGGACAGCCTGCGTGAAAAGAGAGAATCTTTCTGCACCTTCCTTATTCAGACCCCCATGGGCACCCTTATTGATATTGCATCTTATCAATATCCTTAGCTTCCATTCTTTATCTGTCAGAGAGAGACATCCTTCAGCTCTGGTGAGAGTGGTATTCAAGGGTGAGTAAATGGCTAGCTTATGTTTCAGCAGTTGGAAGATGATGGGATCCCTTTACTTGACCACTCTTTGGATAGAAATCCTCCCAGATGTGCCAAAAAGAACACAGCGTGGAAACTGGCTGACATGTAAACAATTGTAAACATGTCCCAGCCCAGCTTGGTGGAAGACCTCCCCAGGCCATCTTGCCTACAAAAGAGAAGACGGCCTGCATTCCTGGCTCTGTCCCAAGCTTGTCTCCATGATCTTGTGCACCTTTCTAGAATGAAGAGACACAGAAGCAATAAGGAAGTGCTTTGGCAGAAGGTTTGGAGAGTGTCACTGGGTGGCCACTTGCATAAATGCAAATATAGCTCTGCTTCTACAAACATCCTTGAAATGTGCAGAATTTTCTAATTACCCTGCAGGGTGAAGGAGGGAAGGGAATTCTCCATCTTAGAGCACCTTCAACTTTAGGTTTCTAAAACAGAAGAGGCTGTTGTAACAAGAATGTGTTTGAAACACATATTTTGTTGTGCACTTGGTCTCAAAGAAGCTACCATCTAGTTCATTCGAAGCACTTTAAATAGTTATTGCCTTCCTCCCAAGAACTTCTAGGATGTTACAAGTCTAGGTTGAGGTCTCAGAGGAGATAGGAACATCCAATTATCAAAAAGAAAAAAACAGGGGCCGGGGTTGTAGCTCAGGGTAGAGCACTTGCCTGGCATGCATGAGGCACTGGGTTCGATCCTCAGCACCACATAGAAATAACAAATAAAATAAAGATATTGTGTCCATCTACAACTAAAAAAATATTTTTTAAAAAAGGAAAAAACCAAGTTTTAGTGTTACTTGATTCTCAAACCATAGTGTCTCCTGGATCGTGAAATTAGTGTCCCAGGATGGTGACAGAAATATTTTTGATGTTTAAAATTATTTTTTTTAAAAAAAAGTATGTATAATATGTTAAGATACATTCTACTGTCATGTATAACTAAAAATAAAAAAAATAAAAAGTGGACTGTGCAATAATATTAATTAATCCCAACTCCTGCTCCTGTAGTTTTGTTTTTTTCTTTATTACAGATCTTGATTTTTAACAGCAATACTAGATTCTACTAGGAATAAGTACACCCAGTGGCTTGGGAGGCTGAGACAGGAGGATTGCAAGTTCAAAGCCAGCCTCAGCAACAGCAAGGTACTAAGCAATTCAGTGAGACTCTGTCTCTAAATAAAACACAAAATAGGGCTGGGGATGTGGCTCAGTGGCCAAGTGCCCTGAGTTTAATCCTCAGTACTCAAAAAAAAAAAAAAAAGTACAAATATAAAAAAAATACTACCAATTATAATTGTAGGGCAATTGTAAAATGAATCCTAATTTTGGAGGTATTAAAATGTCGGGAAAATATGTTCTAAAATGAATAAAAGAAAGGGCACTTAGAAGATGATTTATTGTTTACTTCTAACATCGGTTTGCTTCTTTTCAACTAATTTCTTTATGTCTGTGTCTACAAGTTAGAGAACCTTTTCAGAGAGTGGCCAAGTACTGATGCCCAGGCAGAGACAGTTTACTGATTTTAAACCTGTTCACATTTATAACATCATCAGCAGACAGGGGTTGCTCCCACTCAGGTCCAGCCAGACATGAGCAGGTTCCAGTGGGAGGTGGGAATTGGATAATGAGAAGCTAGAGCCTGCCCTCACCTCTTCACGGCCTGCACCTCCATGCTGGCTTTCTTTAGCTCTGCTGTCATTTGAAGTTTGTTTATAGTTTCTTGTGCTGCACTGAAAAGTAACAGAGAGTGTTGGTTTGTTTGGGGTCGTGCTGTATTCTGAGAAACTAAGACAAACAAAGTGGGGAGAGGCATTTGGCCAGAGTGAAGACACTAACATTTTAAGAGCATCTACAGATCTCTGATCATTTTCTCGAAGGAACTCTTCAAAGGCCATCGCGTCATGTTCGAGCTTAATTTCTGCCGTTCTAAGTTGTCTTTCCCTCGTTGCTATGTGTTTTTCAAACTTATTAATTGTGCTTCTTTTGGCTGACAGAGAATACTAGGAATATGGAAAACACAAAGTTCGTCAAGAACATTAGCACACATTTCAAATACATTTCGACAGTCTCATGATAAAGGGGGGGATAAGTTATATAGTAAGTGAGCATTTGTATTAGAAATAATATTGTGCCCAAATCTTGGGACAAGAACTTTTATCTCATGAAGGGTAATCCCAGCAGGTCAGGAAGCTTAGGCAGGAGGATTACAAATTCAAAGCCATGAACTTTGAGGAACTGTCACAGGGAGAGAAATTCTTTTCACTTTTATGAAGGGACTGTAATGTGCCAAAATAGCTATGCACCACAAATCAAAAATAGCTGCCTATCTCTCCAAAGAGCAGTGCCATCTATTATTCTTAGAATTTTATCCTCCAATTCTTACTGGACATCAGGAAACTGGTCTGTCTGAATCCACAAGGCTACCAGCTTCTCCACCAATAGGAAGGACCTTGGGAGGAAGCACTGTCAACCCCACCGTGCCAGACATGCCTTTCTCCATGCTGTTTAACCAGACCCAAGGGGGCTGCTTGGATCCCCAAGTATGATCTGACGTCTACTTTTTTTTTTTTTTGTACAGAATATGATAATACACTTGGGTTTCTAATCCATACATGAAAAATAGATTATAAAACAAAGCCACATATGTGATAGTATACATGAACTTCAAATACAGAAACGAATTAATTTGTCGGGTATGGTGGTGCACGCTTATAATCCCAGTGGCTCGGAAGGCTGAGGCAGGAGGATCTCAAGTTCAAAGCCAGACTCAGCAATCTAGTGAGGCACTTAGCAACTCAGTGAGACCCTAATAAAATATGAGTCTCTAATAAAATATTTTAAAAAAGGGATGGGAATGTGGCTCAGTGTTAGGCTCAGTGTTAAGCACCTCTGGGTTCAATCCTCAGTACAAAAAAAAGAAAGAAAAGAAAAAAGAAAGAAATGAGTTAATTTTGGGAAGTCACAACCAATAATAAGACCCTCCAAGTTTATAACAAAAAGATTCCATCCATTAATTTACTCTTCAAGGATTTATAAAGTGCCTGCCTATTGTGTGCCAGAACTGTTTAAAGTGGTGCACACTGAGTGGTGAACAAAATAGACACAATGGCTTTAATGGAATGTCTACTCTAAGAGGGAAGAGTTGATACAGGGGTATCTGAGGGAGAAATGGTCCCCCTAGAAGGAAGAGGTCCCAGTGGAGAGGCCTCGAGGCAAGGTGCATCTCAGGAGCAGCAAGTAGACTACTGTGGCTGGAGGGAGCCAGCAAGAGGTCAGTGGTGAGAGCACGCTCAGAGAGAGGCAGGAACCCATCAGGGCATTCCGGGTCTTGAGCCACGAGGGGCATGATCCTCCTACCAGGGAGAAGAGACTGTAGGAAGCAAAAGTAGGAGTGGGCCAGTGTTCAGAAGCTATAACAACAATCCATGCAGACTTAGCGGCAGCTGGGACTACAGTGGTGGTGGAAGAGTCTAATTGTGGTTTGTGGGGAGCCATTCTCACACGTGATTGGGCAACTCCCGGATTGGGTGTGATGCGCTCTGGCTAAACTGTGTCGGAGCTTTCCTGGCCCTCTCCTGGTGCAAGAGCCTGTCCGTGTGGGGGTGTGACTGACCACTGACCCTGCGGCCAATCACTGACCCTGACCTTGGAGTGCGGCCCCCCTCAACCTTCATTGGATGGAATTCTCCCCTGAATTTCTTGTTCCCCAATAAAAGGCCACTCCCTGGCGTGCTCTCTCTCTCCTGCTAGCCCTGAGTAATCCTTGCTGCCCTACCAGGTGGTTCGAGGTGTGAGCCAGAGAGGTGAGAGCCGTCTCGGACCTGGTCATAGAAAAAGGTAACTGAGTCTGTGTGTTTATTCTGATCTCGCTAGCTAACTTTTATGCCAAGAACCTCTTTAATGAAACCAGAGCGCTGGTTGCATGGTGGAAGTGGTTAGATCTTGAACAAAGACGTGGTTTGTGAGAAGAGTCAAGGAGAACAACAGCGTTTGGGCCTGAGCAACTGGAAAAATGGAATGGATGTCTACTGAGTAGAGAACATGAGATGAGGTTGCCAGGGTGGGAAGATGATCGCAGGAGCAAAGCTTTGAACATGTCGGGTTTGAAAAGCCTGTGGAAGATATCTTCACCTATAAATTCAGCTTCTTTAAAGGACATAAAAGAATTCAGTTTCTTTCTTTCCTGTGGAGTGAGCTTTGGTAGTGTGCATCTTTTAAGGAATCTGTCTATTTCATCCATGTTCTCAAATTTATTGCCATAAAGTTGCCCATCAGATTACACTCATGATACGTTAACATTCACATGTCTTTTAGATGGGTATTTCGGCTCCCAACTCTGCCACAAACAGAAAAAGGAATGAAGAAAAGATGGAAGAAAGAAAGAAAGAAAGAAACCATGAAACCGATCTGGTTTTTGAAAATTATTATAAGTGACCCAGAGGTAGTCGGACTTCCAAATTCAAGGGCATACCCCGAGATTGCCCCCACTGCTGACACCAACTGCAAGTTCAAGGAGTTCCTCAAAACACCCTCCGTCCTGGCAATTTTCCAGAGGAATTCACTAAACTCATGGGTTCCGTTTATAACAAGGAAATAACACAGATTAGAGTCAGCTACAGGCAGAGGCCCATCGGGTAGGGTCTGGGAGGTTCTAACTGCAAAGCTTCGGGGATTGCCTCTCCCTAGAAAGGATGTGTTACCCTCTCGGCAGCTGCACAGAGACACAGTGTTGCTGGTGAGGGAAGCTCGACTGAGCTTCAGTGTCCAGAGTTTTCACTGGGGCTTCTTGAGGTAGGTGTGACTCACTGATAGACCACAGGGTTGATCAGTCTTTGGTCCCTAATCCTGAGTAGGAGCCAGAGTCCCAGCCCTAAGTCATATTGTTGGTTTTCCTGTCATAGTCATCTTAAGACGGTCAGATGTGGCCTGCACGTCATCCTTATAATCACTGGAAGTCAAGAGCAAAGCCAGATTTTCTTCGGGCAAAGCCATTTTTTTTTTTTAAAAACTACATGCAAGTCTTTTTGAAAAGGGGACTCTACAAGTCACTTTGGGACTTTGGGACACTTCACCAAACTGGTTGGGAGGAAGGAAGGAGATGATCAAGAAATGGAACGAGGCACATTTAATACAAATGACCTGTAATTCTAGCAAATCTATCAACCTTAAACTGCTTTGGATGTCAGTAGTGTCACTAGGATTTTGGGATAAAGGTCCAAATCGCACCCAGAAAATAATATTTAACAAACAAAGGCATCAGGTTACATTTATAACTTCAAGGGAGACCTTCCATGTGGACTGCAGCTGGCAGCCAAGTGATTTCTGTTCCAGGATGTGTGATGTGACATTATGAAAAGTTAAACATGTTTTCATTCACTCATTCACATCAAAGACTTTAAAAGAGGCAGATGATCTTCTCTAGATGATTAGACACTTGACAGCTGCAGCGTAAACAACATTCAATGAATTTCTTTTGTAATTATTCTCCCTTTGTCAAGAGCTCAGTATCTCTGCTTTATTGATGGTAAATGAATATTCATAGGAAGATATTAAGCAATCATGTTTTCAGGTATCTACCTGCTAGCTAAGGGTTTTTGATGGTAGGATAAAAGCCTCTGTCATTGTTATAGGAAATTCTTCAATGGGGACCTGGCGCTTTCTTCTGGCCAAAGTGGGTATAGTCAAAGCTGGAAGGGTTCTGGACTTCTCTGACAGCAGGGTTTTTCTTTGTTTTTTTCACTGCTTGGCACACAGTAGGCACTCAACAAACATGTTTCAAATGAATGAATATAGAAATGAACTGATCTGTTCAGCTAATAGATTTGTAACATGTAATGGAAAAATACAAGGTATATAAGGTAAATATTTAGTGATGCTATGCAAGAAGCCTTCTATTTGGCTACTGGGAGAAAGAAATTATTTTTACTACCTCAAGTAAAAACCTGTCTCTCTGGTCGTTAATAAATTCATGAACAGTCTTTTTCGCATCTGCACCTGTAAAGAAAATTGAAATAGACTTGAATTTAGTATTTATCTGTCAGAGATGTTGTATGGAATGAAAGTGTTAAGTTGTGATATATAGTCTGTAGTTACTTTTTTTCCTTAAACTATAACTTCCAAAAAAATTTTTTCCTAACCAAAAAAGAAAATTAATAATAGCAATTACCATTTATTTTATGCCCAATCATGGTCTGGGAACTTTATTAAACACTTTAAATATTTCATTGAATCCTGACAATTATCCAAATGAGGTATTTATTGCTATCTCATCCTGTCTGTGTCCTAAGTCTGAAAGTTGTCAAAAGTCTTGTCCCAGATCACACAGCTAACAAGCAGCAGTGACGGGGATGTGTCTCCCAGGATATGTCTCCCAAGCCTGGGTTGTACTGAATAAGACTAAATTGGTTTAAATCTTAATGCATGGACAATTCAGAGATACAGAGTCCTCAGGCAAAATGTTTTTGGGGACCATAAACCAAATTTATACCAGGAAAGAACAGGATAACAACTAGATTTACCATTCAGCAAACTAAAATATAAAATACCCTTTATATACAAAGATATGAAAAATTGTGCTCTAAAATCAATTAAATAAAAAAAAATAATAAAATAGAAAAAACCAAAAATTTCCCTTCAAGTTTTCTTCATTTTGCAAATTTATTCATGTACTGCATTTCAATAATGTTTGTTTCATAAAAAAAACACATACAACTAAACATGACACAGAATAAAGTCTCCCAGTATAACATAAGTAGAAGTGGAAATAAAATATTTCCTGAATGACCACTGAGCCTGTGCAGCATCAGGAGGCCTAATCTCTTCCTGAAGTCCCATTCACCCATTTCTAACTAGCTGGGGGAACATGTATAAAGTCCTCACCCTATCTATGCCTCGGTTTCCTCATCTGTCCAATGAGGATACTAATTGTGGTAGATTCTATTACCCAAATATAAGCTGCTTCTCTATGAGGGGAGTATCCCCTGCCCTTTTGATGTCAGGTTCGTCCTTGATTTGATTTGGCCATGGACATGTTCTATGTTGCTTCCAAGCAGAAGGTTCAGGAACCACCACTCATTTCTCTTCCCCCTTTCCTGCAATCCCAGTAACATCCTAGACAGGATGTTTGTTCCTACAGCAGAAGGACAACTGATAGATTGTTTCTATAGTGGAAGATCCAGGGGAAAAAAAATACCAAACTTAAAAAGTGAATGAGAACTAAACCACTGAGACTGGAAGTCACTGAAGTTTAGAAGTGGCTTATTACCAAAGCATAACTTAGCTTAAGTACAACTGTGACTATTTCATAATGGTGCTGGGAGAAGGAAATGAAGCAATGGATCATGAAACATACAGTAACATCCCGACAATTGTTAGCTGCTGTTAAAAACAATACAATTGGAATGGGGAATCATTTAACTTTTTAAGGTCAATACTGATGGCAATGATGATTATTTCAGTCATCAATTAGCATAAGTTGGGTGGTAACAAACAACAAACTTTGGAGCCACCCCTAAACTATTTAGTGTCTTCACTCGGCCTTGAGCCAAGGAGATTTTGGTTTGGAATTGCAAGTTATTTTGTGGCTCCTCCCACTTAATGGATTATGCAATGTGTGTGACCTCAGTCTTCGCTTGGCTAGGGAGACTGCTCTCCTAGCTCTGGAATTGGGTGTAACCCATTGGGCCTGGACAGCCCACCTCCTACCTTATTTGGCAGAAGAACATTCTATGGAAAAACCTTTGAAGTTTCCCCCATATATAATAAAGCAAATGTGGGGCTCTTGAGCTCTCTTCCCAGTGTGGAAGCTTGACCCCCAAGGTCAAAGAGCCATCCCATCCCCACTTTCTGAAATTACTTTCTGTGTACTGTGCTTTTTTTCCCCACCACCTTCTTTTCTTAGCTTTATGTTGCAGACAGCTCACTCCACGCAGAGGAAACCCAAATTCCATCGCCCAGTAGGACGTGGGCACCGGGCCTTGATTTGAATTCTGATTCACCAGAAATTCTGGGTGACTCAACCTCACTAAGCCACTTTCATCCTATGCAAAGAGGAGAGGAGGCCAAACTATCTAACAGCATTTTGTTGAGGAATAAATAAAATGCATATCAAAGTCATCAGTGCTTAGCTTAGTGCACAATTATCTTTTTCAATGTATTTTTTTAAACTTTACATAAGGGAAATCACCAACATTCATAAAACTCGAGAGTCATCTAATGAGCCCCCTTGGACCTGTCAGCTACCTTAACCTTATCAATGATTTGCCAATCTCATCTGTTGCCCCCTCCTCAGTTCTTCCCCTCAGTGGAATATTTTAAAGAAAATCAACACTCTTGGATCATTTCATCCCTTGAATACCCAGTATGTACTCCTCCTGACAAGGTAGTTTTAAAACATGACCATCATACCACTTTCACACTTCACAAAGCCATTTCCTTAATGTGATCCCCACTTCAGGTATACACTCATCCCCCTTCCCACCATTTTTTCCATACAATTCATTTGTTCAAGAAACCAGGTGGATTATCCTGTGGAATTTTCCACATAATGAATCTGGCATATTTCATCCTTGTAATGTTATGTAACATGGTGCTCAGACCCTCATATTTATTCAATTAGACTCAGGTTCAATATATTCAGCATGACCCCTAAGGTCAAAGAGCCATCCCATATCCACTTTCTGAAATTACTTTCTGTGTAGTGTGGGGTTTTTTTTATTATTTTTTTAAGAGTCTTATCCACTTTCTTTCTTTCTTTTTTTAGTTGTAGTTGAACACAATACCTTCGTTTTATTTGTTCATTTTTACATAGTGCTGAGGATTGAAACCAGGGCCTCACACATGTTAGGCAAGTGCTCTACCACTGAGCCATAACCCAAGCTCATACTAGGACATTTTTAATGGAAAAAAAAAATGAAATTGCTCACTATCGCTTTCATTTAGTCACTTATGATGGGTCAGCCCGATTGAAAATAAATTTGAATATCCTATCAACTTATTAGAAATAAGCTCAGTCTACCTTAATGTGGTGACTGGCTTACTGAGCCGATGGAATTTTATCCTTTTAATCTAGTAAGACTCATAATTGTAGGTTTCCCACTTTGGCTATTCTAGCTATCAGACAGATCTTCCAAGCAAGAGAACTTAGGTGATAAAGCCCTCCTCAAAGTGCGAGTGTCTCTCAACCCCAGAGCACCTCCATCACTCACTGGGGATGTGAAGAGCAGTCTGAAAGCCCCTGAGACAAGCCATTCAGTACTGCTGTTTGATGGCAAAACCACACTCAGGCTGCCAGTCGCACAGAGAGGAAATGGCACTTCTGCCATGTAGGCAGATGAGCTGTCCATGACACCGAGTTGCCTGTGGACTTCCTTTGCTGGTGATTTAGCACTTTGCTATTACTGAGTACATAGAAGTAAAATGAATGGGGTCGCTGGCTAATTTTACTATCATGTAGGTTTGTTTTCAGTCTGAATTCAGGCAGGGAATGTGAGGCTGAAGAATACATAGCAGTTTCATTCAAATCGACTCCTGACTGGAAATAGAGTCAGAGGGAGATTTAAGGGAAAATGTCCCAATGTTTTATCTGTATAACCAGCACAAATGGATAATCCTGCTTCCATGGCTGAGGGAGCCCAGATTGCCCTGGACGACACTAGTTTCACTGTTTCCTTTTTTGAAGTGTCTACCTGTGGCATTTACTTCCAAGAGACCAGCGACATCTTTGTTAAACAATAATGGTGGGCACCCAGGTTGTCTCCTCAGCCGTGCTTCCCTAGTTATCCCCAAACTACCACAGTGGCAACGAGGACTCCTGAAATCCCTCACTCCATGCAGAATTCTTTCTATGCCACCTGTCATTTTAAATGCCCTTGATGACCTGGGCTCACCATTCTACAGAGGCCAATGCTGAAACAGCAGGTGAGATCCAGACATGCCCTAGTGTTAGAGTCTGTAAACAAGTCTGGATGGTGCCTGGCAAAATGCCAGAGGGAGTGGTTTGTGAAGTAATGCCATTGAGCCATTAAGTGTGGAGATTCCTTATTGGTTGACTTCGAGCCATTAAGTGTGGAGATTTCTTATTGGTTGACTGATGTATCGAGTTTATGCTAATTAGATAAGCTGTGTGGAATGTATAAATACTGCTCCTGTCCTGCAATAAATGGCTCCCTCTCCTGCTGTATCAATCTACACTAGTTGCTCATCACCCCCCGGTTATTTTGCTGCAGCTGGACTGCGGCACCCTAGAACTTGTGGTGAAGTCTCTGGCATTATGTGCCACCGTGTCACACAATTACATGTGCACCTATCAAATTTTCTAAACCATTTCGCTTGGTTTTATGGTTTGGATATGAGGTGTCCCCAAAAGCTCCGGTGTTAATGCAGGAATTTTCAGAGGTAAATGATTTGATGGTGAGAGCTGTCACCTAACCAGTCCATCCTGGTTTGAATGGACTGACTGGTGATAACTGTAGGCAGGTGGGTGCGGCTGGAGGAGGTGGGTCACTGGGGTGTGCTCCTGAAGGTTGCATCTTCTCTGTAGGCCCTTCCCCTTGCTCTCTCTGCTCCCTGGCCACAATGACCCTGAGAAGCTTCCCTTTGCCACACCCATCTTCCATGACGTTCTGCCTCACCTTGGGCCCAGAGTCATGGAGTCAGTTCACCATAGCCTGAGTCTCTGACACTATGAGCCCAAATGAACTTTCCCTCCTCAGAAAGCTGTTCTTGTCTGGTATTTCAGTCACAGCCCTAGGAAGCTGACTAATGCACATGACTTCTGTTTTGATTACTGAATTCAGAGTCCTTTTCTAAATATTTTTCTTATTCTCTCAAGATTTTCTTTTCAGGGGCTGGGGTTGTAGCTCAGTGGTGGAGCGCTTGCCTGGCACGTGGGAGGCGCTGGGTTCGATCCTCAGCACCACGTAAAAAAGTAAATGGATAAAATAAAGTTCTAAAAAATCTTTTTAAAAAATGATTTTTCTTTTCATAATTTTGGAAACTGAAAAGACTCTGGGAGCCAGAGGAAAAACATTTTAAGTTACCACAGCAAATCCTGGGCACTTGATATGTGTCTGTCTGTCTGTCCATTCTTCCTTTCTTATTTTTTTTTTAATTTAAAAAATTGGAAAAAAGATTCATTTATGGGAAAAGATTTTATGACTCAATCATGAATCATTAGGCACTTCTTGATCTGATAAGTAGGGAATATTCATGTCATTTTTGATACCCAGATTGCCTTCTTCCATAAAACAAGTATTACCATTTTGGAATCTTTTAATATGTTACCTTCAAAGGTCATTAAACCCAGTTATGTTTTTGAAACAACACGCATATTTATTAAATTCTATTAGCTTCCTGATTCTGAATATATGAATTCTACAGCTACTCCATTCTTAGAAAGTTTCTGTATTTCCACAAACAAAACTCAGTATGAATGGCTGGCACCTTTGCCAACTTTAATACTGTATTATTTTGGCAGTGACTATCTTCCTGGGAGCCATAAAAATGAGAATCAGTCTTCTTGGAAAAATATGCTTTCCTGTTTAAAATAGATTCTCTCCCAATTCTCAACCCCCTTTACAGAGACTTTCCCATAATTATAAGCTAGCCTACTTTCTGTTTTTTCTCACCTTCAGAAAAGCACCCAACTCCGAAATCAACAATATTCAAAACAATATTCAGAATCAAAGAGTAACTTAGACTTACCTTCTGTTAATCTGAGAATAAGAATTGGATCTAACCCAAATTTTTCAAATGAGCCATCACCTCTGTCAGAAAGAAGAGCTATTTGGCTCAGGTGTGAACGACTCTTCATTCGGGATGAAAAAGTAGACTTTTGGTAGACTTTCAGGCTACGGTTCAAAATTTTTTCCTGCCCAAGTGCAAAGTTTAGAAGAATTTTTAATGTATCCAAGTAATCTTGTTTTCAAATAGAGATCATATATAAAAATGCCATTTGTAATAAATGATATTAACAATAAACCAGTAACCCTCAATTCTTATCTTTGAAGGAATGCATAATTTCCTTCCTATAGAAAACTGAGTATAAATATATTTAAAAATTAATTTTTATTAAATTGTGTTTCCCAAATATGAAGGACTGGGAAATGTCCTTCTGCATTTATTTATATATTTTCACAGTTTTATCTTGCCCAAAGTGTTGAGTCCATGAAATTGAAAACCTGAGAGAAAAATAGAAGTCCCAAGTGGACATTTAAAAAAATTTGTTTTAGGCTTCAGATTTCACCCATATTTTCTCAATTTAATTTTGGGAGAAGTTCAACACAACTATATAACACGTGCAGGAAACCATCACACACAAACGAACCATGTGTCAAGCAATTCTAGATATTTTCTTCATTCTAACAAAGGTGAAGAAAGTCCTGTTGTCAACCTTTGCTCCAGGAGGAAGGAAAGTAAATCTGAAGTGTTAGCTGTGACCACACACACAGTGAGAGCGACGCTGCAAGGCACACACTGACATAGCTCTATACCAGATCATTCTGAAATGGTACCCCCTCCTCCACTTTTATCCCTTTTTCCTCCTCCCCACAGATTGTCTCGTCCACGTCAGCTCAGCCAATTTTGACTTCTTCTTGGAGACTCTGCTCCTGTTATTTCAGTGAAGTCTTTGCCTATACATCACCACCACCCTGTTCTCTCTCTCTTCTCACCGGTAAAGGTGGGCAGGCCTTTGTCTGTGTTTCCTTTGACGCCTCTGTTACAGTAGCCCGTCAACTCTAAGATGCCACTTATTTTAAGAAAGCATTAGCTGGGTGCAGTGGCACACACCTGTAAAACCAGAGGCTTGGAAGACTGAGGCAGGAGGATCACAATTCAAAGCCAGCCTCAGCAACTTAGCAAGGCCCTAAGCAACTCATTGAGACCCTGTCTCTAAACAAAATACCAAAAGGGCTAGGGGTGTGGCTCAGTGGTTAAGTGCTCCTGGGTTCAATGCCTGGTGCCAAAAAAGAAGCACTATTGTATGCATGGCCAATGACATCCCATCTATGGAAGCTGCATTCCAATTTTAGAAATGCAAAAATGTGGAAAACGTGGGTGTTGTCGGAGTAGGGTACATTGTAGTTGCCATACTGGACTGTAACATCTGTCTTCTGCCATTGGGTGGCGATCTTTGCAGATCCCTGTGATGTGCTGGGTGTCTCCCCAGGACAGTATGGGGCACACACCATGTGAGTCCTCATATCTGACACCATAAAAATTCATAAGAATGATGAATAAGAGGATATTATTATAACATTAATTGGGATTGTGATTTTTTAAAAAAGCTTACCTTTTTCTTTGCTGCCATTTCATTTTCTTTGAAAAGAAAGAGATCTTTGAAAAAGACCTTATATGGTCTGTCCTTTTTGACTGATTCATCTTTTGCTTTTTCTGAATGAAAGAAAGAAATAGAAATAAGATTTATTATTCTTCCTCTGTTTACCAGAACTATAAGGCTCCTACCAAATGGGGTAGAGTGAGTGGGATGCAGGAGTCTCTAAGAGAGTGGAATGCAGACAGAAATTGCCTCCCTGAGCTGGAATTGGACATGAAGGGCCCAGATCTCTTGGGCAAGATCCCCAGATCCTCTGTTTCCCATGGCACCAAGCACACGGGCTTGGGGAATGAGTTGATGAAACAGAGAGACCTTGCTGGGTAAGGTAGTTGTGCAACTATGATCCCAAAGACTCTAGAGGCTGAGGCAGGAGGATTGCAAGTTCAAGGACAGCTTCAGCAACTTAGAGAGGTCCTAGTAAGACCCTTTCTCAAAAGAGACATTAAAAAGGGTTAAAGACCTGGCTCAATGGTTGAGCACCCGTGGGTTCAATCCCCAGTTCCAAAAAATAAAAACAGGCATTTAGCAGAATCATGAGATCATATTTTGAGATGAATATACTATTTCTTCCTATCATACAGGCACAACTACTGTTACCCTTGCCCCACCACTCCCGTTGGGAAGAGCCTCAGTCCAAATTAGATTGTCTTAGAAAAAAAGTCAGATGTTAACAAGTGCTGGTGAGGATATGGAGAAACTGGACCCTCAAATGTAACATGGTGCAGTCATTTCTGTTTTTTTTTTTTTTTTTTTTTTTTTTGTGTGTAGAGGGTATTAGGGATTGAATTCAGGGGCACTTGACCACTGAGCCACATCTCCAGCCCTATTTTGTATTTTATTTAGAGACAGGGTCTCACTGAGTTGCGCCTCACTGTTGCTGAGGCTGACTTTGAAATCGTGATCCTCCTGTCTCAGCCTCCAGAGGAGTTGGGATTTACAGGCATATGCCACTGTGCCCAGCCAGTGCAGTCATTCTGGAACATACTCTAGTAGTTTCTAAGAATGTCAAACAGTTGCCATACACCTCACCAATTCTAACATTAGGTATACACCCGAGAGAAAGGAAAACATGTTGACACAGAAACTTGTATATGAAGCTGGGCACAGTGCTGCATGTCTCTGATTCAATCCCAGAGACTCCAGAGGCTGAGGCAGGAGTATTGCAAGTTCAAGGCCAACCTCAGCAACTCTCAAGGCCCTAAGCAACTTAGCAAGATTCTGTCTCAAAATCAGAAATTTTAAAAAGGGCTGGAGACGTAGCTGAATGGTAAAATACCTCTGGGTTTAGTCCTTGGTACCAAAAACAAAACAAACAACAAAAAACTTGTACATAAATATTTCAAGCAGTATTATTCATAAGAGCCAAAAGATGTAAACAACCCAAGCATCCAACATTGAAAAATGATAAACAAAATGTGGTATATCCATATAATGGGAATATTATTTAGGCTTGAAAAGGGACGAAGTACAACATACACTACAACGGGGATAAACCTTGGAAACATATGTTAAACAAAAGAAGCAGGTACCAAAGAACCACATAGGGTATCTTTCCACTTATGTGAAATGAACAGAAGAGGCACATCCATGGAGAAGAGATCAGTGTTGCTAGGGATGGCGCAGGGACAGGGGGTAGAATCTGGAGGTCAAAGGATGCAGGGTTTATTTAAGGTGATGAAACATTCTAAAATTGGCCATGGTGATGGCTGCACATACCTATGAAAACACTAAAAACCATGAACTTATATACTTAATGAAAAAGAAGGCTGATCATTAAAAATAGAAAAATCAACTATATCTCTGAATGGAATTTTAGATTTTATTTATTGAATCTGAAAGGGCAAAAGCCCTTCCTTCTCTCTCCTTATTTCTATTGCTTGGAGGTGTGATGCTGGGGACAGAAATCTTGGGATTTTTAAAATATCTATTTATGTATTAATTTATTTATTGTGGTGCTGGGGATGGAACCCAGGGGTGTTCTACATCCCCAGCCCTTTTAAAAATTTTATTTCGAGACCAAGTCTTGCTAGTTGCCCAGGCTGTCCTCCAACTTGTAATCCCCCTGCCTCGGTCTCCCTAGTAGCTGGAATGACAGGCTTGCATGATCATACCTGGCTGAAATTCTGATCTTTAAAAACCAAAAACCAAGACCAGGAATGTTGGCAGCTTGGAGTTGATATCTTAAATCAGAGAGAAAAAGAAAGGGTGACCCACCCCTTACTCCATACCCTTTACCCTTCTATCTCTACCTCACCAAGAAAAAAAAAAAAACCTCCAAAACTTCCCAGCAGGCCAAGGATCTATGAAGAACCTCTGGTTCTGGCTCTGAATCACTCTGGTTCCCCAGGAATTCTGGCTTAATTGGTCCAGAACATCAGCTTTGGGATACACTGAGAGGCCCCTAGGTGGCGGTAATGTGCTGTGAACTGGAGCATCAAAGCTACCTGAGAAATGGCCATTGTCCAAGGGATGCGGTGGAGGCGATGGGAGTGCCTGGGATTGCAGAAGCCCCAACACGCTGGTTTGGTTTTGTTCTGTTTATCAGGGAGAGGGAAAATCACAGAGTGGAGGTCCTGGGTTCAACACAGAGTGTGGCCGGTTCTGGTCACCTGCTGTCCACCCCTCCAGGGAAGGAGGGATCTCGGAGCCTAGAAAACAGGACGCCCTGCACTTGACAGGCAAAGACTGAAGGCAGCTGATAAGTCATCAGCACGGCCCTGATCTACAATCCAAGGTCACGAAGGGAGCATTCAGGAGTAAGTGAAACAGCAGGGCTTTGTAGTCACAAGAGTGGGGAGTGTCCCCCAGTTCCAAGCTGGATGTGGCCAACTTGTTGAGTCATTCTGAGGGTTGGCAGAGAAGTGAAATTAGGTTGAAGACTCAGAGGAGTGTGGCTGGTCCAGCTGGTAGAGGAACTAGCTGGGTGGAGAGTCCTTCCCTCTGGGTGGGGTTCATACCTGGCAAGAGCAGAGGGGCTTGTGGTTTGGCCTTTGGAGGCTCAGGGAGGCTCAGAGAATGTCACAGAAGCACGTGACATTCTAGGCCTTTGTAATCTGTGGAGTAGAGACAACTGCCCTCAGTCCAGCTGGGATTGAGGACAGCAGGAGGAGGAAGGAGAATGGCTAACAGGCTAGAGCCTAGCAGAGGGTGACGAGATTGAGGACCCAAGGGAACCTGGAGCTGGGTGGTTTTGATACCTAATTTCATGCGTTGTCAGGACTCAGGAGTGCCTAGATCAAACTGTATTTCTGAGTGTGTCTGTGAGAGTGTTTCCAGATGAGATCAGCATTTGAACCAGCAGGGTATCATCCCATCCATTGAGGGCCTGAGCAGAACGAGAGGCCAAGGAAGGCCCTTTCTTGTCCTTCTCAGGGTTTGAGTTGGCATCTCCTCTTGAACCCAGAATGGGACTGACACCATCAGTTCCCCTGGTTCTCAGGGCTTCAGACTTGGATTGAATTATACCACCAACTCTCCTGGGTTTCCACCTTGCAGATGGCAGATTGTGGGTCTTAGCATCATCAGTACTTGAGCCAATTTCACCCTAAGTCCATCCAAGATGATTTCATCTCAGGATCCCTGCCTCAATTACTTCTGCAAAGACTCATTTTCTAAATAAGTTCATATTGTCATAGACATATCTTTTGGGGACCACATTCAACCTTCTACATCACCCTATACTCCCAGTGGGCATCAGACTCCAACCTAAGCCACAGCCTCTTATGGAAAACTGAAAACAACTCAAATGCCCTCAGGGGAGTCAATAAAGGAACTATGGAATATTCACACAATGTGATTCACAGCAGTTAAAATGCATGAACTACAATGTACAATGTAATTTCCAAAAGACGATAGTCTGTAGGCTATCCTTTTAAACAGTTGAAGCCAAAGCAAAAAAAATTATGTTCTTTAAGATTACAAACAGACAAGATAATAAGAAAACCCCAGTAATAATCTACACAGGAGTCAACACGGTGGTTACCTCAAATGAAAGACAACAAGAGATCTGGTGTGTAGGTTTTGTCATGGTGTAATTTACCATTAAGATTCTAGTTTTCAAGGGTTCAGAGGTCCATATTATATTATTAATATATAACTTACTTGATTTAAAAAGAGGGCCATGGGTAACAGGGAACTGGTACCAAATGTGTCTGATCCAAGAGTTTTGTAACTCTTCTTGGCATCCATGAAACTAGATAGCTTAACAACTTGGAAATAGGAGAAACTCTTACACCCTCCACAGTTCTTGACACAGTAATCTAAATTCTTTTTAATAAAAAGGCATCATCCAGAGGCTAAGTGGTAGAGCACTTGCCTAGCACATGCAAGGTGCTGGGTTTGATCCTCAGCACCACATAAAAATAAATAAAGATTGTGTCCAACTACAACTAAAAAAAATTTTTTTTAAAAAAGGCATCATCCAATATATATACTACTCTAGTATTCTGCATCTTATTTTTTCAGTTACCAATACTTAGAAATTCTTTTTATATTAGCACAAATATTATCATCTTATCCAAAAGACAGCTGACTAGCATCTCATTCCCTCATAATATGAACTAATCCCACACCAATGGACATGATAAAACAAAGTCAAAATGTTACAGAGTGGTGAGATAAAACTTTGGGACTTTGCTAACATTCTGCACTGATGCTGTCAAGAACTGAAGATGAACCAACTTTCCAATCCTCTGTGGGTCTGGAAAGATCCCAGAGTGAACAGTAAGTCCTTGTGTTATGGTTTAGATACGCGGTGTCTCCCAAAAGCTTGCATGTAAGAAAATGCAAGAATTATTCAGAGGGTGGAATGGTTGGATTGTGGGAGTTGTAGGTAATCAATGAATTAATCCATTAATATGGATTAAGTGCGTGGTAACTGTGATAAGGTGGGGAGTGGCTGGAGGAAGTAGGTCACTGGGGGCACGCCTTTGGGGTTTATTTGTCCCTGGTAAGTGGCGCTCTCTCTGCTTCCTGATGACCACGTCCTGAGCTGCTTTCCTCCACCACACCCTTCCACCATGATGTTCAGCCTCACTTGGAGCCCTAAGAAATGGAACCTGCTGTCTGGACTCAGACCTCTGAAATTGTGAGGCCCCAGATAAATTTTCCCTCTTCTATATTGTTCTTGTGAGGTCTTTTGGGCACAGCAATGGAAAAAAAGCTGGCTAAAAGAGCATGGATATGTGAATGCAAACTTCATTGACTCCCTTCAGTTTCCGACACCTGAGCTGCCCACACCTTGCCTTGTCTCCAGCAGTGCTGAGCTACGGGCCCCACCCCATGACTTGAAACCTCATTCTGTCTAGTCTCGTTGGATAACACTTGCTTGGTTTCTAACCTGAACTTGTGTCTGCTGATTTGCACATCTATTCTGCACCTGAATAAAACTGCCTCTTCCTTCATTTTAACCTTATCTGTGATTTTTGTTTCATAGACATAATGACTGATCCTAGTCATTTGCTCTTACAAAAAAAAAATACTGCATTGACTATTCTTGTACATACACCTTTAATTATGTGTGCAAATCTATCTGTAGAATTAATTCCAAAAATGGCCCTTCCTAAATTTTTTTAAATTTGATAATGGAGCAGGGGCTACTAGTAGTGTCTCCATATCCACACTCTCTCCTTCTATACAAATATGGTCCTCAATTCTGTCATCCCATATGGGCACCCAGAGTAGAGAGTACTTTTCTCAACCTCCTTTGGACCTAGGAATACCCATATGGCTAAGTTCTAGCCAAGGGGATGTCAGTGAAAGTGGTGGATGTATCTTCTAGGCATGCTCTTTCCTTTCTTATAGGTAGGAATATGGATGTAATGATTGGTGCAGAAGCAGCCAAATTGGGCCAAGAATAAAGCCCAGTCATGAGCTAGAAGGTGAGCTCCTGATGTGAACTTCCCCATGGACCCAGACTCTGTTTACCTGAGAGAGTGTGAAAAACCCCTACCATACATTTAAACCATTGGTTTATATCCATGTTTTGTCATTCACAGTCACACCTATTAATTCTAAATACAGAGTGACAAATGGTCCTCTGTATGGGATGTGTATAGAGTGACAGTTCTCTATAGACATTCTTGGTGTTATCCCATCATTAAACTTGGCCAGAATTATAAGTAAAACAAAATCATTCCTTTTATACTGCTAAATTCTACTCTCTTGTATATTTATAAAGAAGTAGGAGGATCAAGAGAGAAGGGTGGTAAAGGAGAGAAGAGAAGATTTGGTAAAGTTATTGGTGTCCTTTCGTATGACACACAATTGAGTTAATGGTGACAATTTGAGGAACCCCTGATTTGAAGAAATTTTAAAAATCGAAACGTCAAACAGAGTGTCCTCAGCAGACAGTTTATAAACTCTTTCCACCTTAGGCTCTCGTGCAGCACCCTCCTTTACTCTCCTGGTACCTTATGGAGCCTAACGGGACCAGGCACAAAGGAAGAATTCACTGACTGATTTCCTTTTACCTCCAGAATTCGGTGATGTTGGCAAAACATGTGATGACATTTCGTCTCCTGGACCTGTTCAAAGGAAAGGAGATACATTTTTAAAAATTCTGTGAACATTGTATAAAGGGACTTGATCCAACTGCCAATGACTCTCCAATGACCTTTCTGGCTTTTTAAAAGCAGTGCACACACAGACTCTTTCACCCAGTGATTCCAACCACAGGCACTTAACCCAAGGAAATAATATAAAATGACCAGGCAAAAATTATATGCAGTGTCATTCAATAAATAAGAAGTTGAGTTAAGCTATGTCATGCCCCTTACGTGTATATTATATTCACACACAGAAACCCCTGAGAGTTGTTTGAAAAGCTGTGTGCCAGACATGAACAGGAGCCACCTCTGGTTTGGTACAATCTCTGCTTTCATCCTGACTATGTTGAAGTTAGAATTTGGTGATTGAAGAACTCACCTTAGCTGTAGAATTTAAGGTCTGTCAAAACTACAGCAACTTAGTCATCAAGATAAATGTCAACACAGTATTCTTAAAATCCCAACTTACTGCAGGAAAAATCTATGATGGTTGCCATAGTCTTGGCCTCCATAGTAGCATGGTTGGAAGCTTTAATATAGGTGGGTGGGCTTTAGGGCGTTGAGAGCATGCCCCAGAAAGGAACTGTGGGACCCTGGTCTCCTCCTCTTACTCTTGACTTCCTGTCCCTGAGGTGAATTGTTGGGCTCTGCCATACACTGCGACCACAATGTGCTGCCTTGCTACAGGCTCAAAGCAATGGGGCCAATACATCAAAGAATGGAACCTCCAAAACTTGAGCCAAAGTAAGACTTTAACTTTATAAGTTGATTACCTCAGGTATTTTGTTGTAGTGATGGTAAGGTAACATATTGAATGAAATATCAAAATTGTAAAGCAGACATGATCTGACTGTGCACTTGTATGCGTTGATCTCAACCTATAAGTCTTATCTTTATTTAAATTTTTGTGATATTTTGTTCATCATATATTTTTGTGCTACTTTTTGTGTTGTTTTTGAAATAGTAAATTTAAACATTGCTTATTTTGACTGCTGAGTTTTTGTTTCTCTCTTAAAATTTGTGGCTAAGGCAGAGTTTTCCTTGCTTCACCTTAATTCTTATTCTAATTTCTATACTTTTGAGGTATTATTCAAATTTCTCCCTGAGCTTGTGTATCTTTCGACCATGAGAAAAGTTATAAAGATATGTTTATTTGGGGGGGAAAGGATACTCGGGATACTGGGGTTGGGGGGTGCGGCTGAGGCAGAAGGTTCACAAGTCCAAGACCAGTATAGGTAAGATCCTGACTCAAAACAAAACTTAAAAAGTCCTGGCTATGTAGCTCAGTAACACAGCACCTGCCTAGCTCTGTGAGACCCTAGGTTCAATCCCCAGGACCGAAAAAAAATAAGTGTTCCCATGACAGGACCCATTGACAATACCATTTAAATTTATGCTTCAGTAATCACAGAGAGCCATATTTAAAAGCCAGCAGTTCCAGAAACACAGCAGCAAGTGATTAAAAACTCAGTCTTTCATGTGGAAAAGCCTGATTTCAAATCTCAGTTTGCATTTACAGATATGTGAGCAAGTACATTTAACATTCAGAATATATATATATTTTTTGAGTAACTACTCTGGTGTCAAGCATTGTTCTGGCTGTGGGAGACGGGGCAGTGTTTAAAAAGATAAGACAGAAGGACAAAACTGACTGTCCTTAGGCATGTCTTTACTGTTGATTTTAATATCTCAGCATCTCTGAGTTCCTATACCAGAAAATGGGAAGGAGAGTTCCAACAATATCAATGAAGCAATGAATTTTAAACAACCAAGCAGGAAGTCCAGCATATGGAATAACACAGTAAGTGGCATTATGTGCTAATGTTTGCTATTAGCATGTGATTTCACTTCTAGGACTTACAAAGCAAAGAGAAAAAAAAAGAGAAAAGAATTATGTGAAAGCTTCAAAAAGGTAAAAAATTAAAAACCTACATCTTTGACAACTTTTTCAAATCACTAAAGATTCCCCTCCCCCTCAGGTGTTGTGTTCATTTTAACAAGTACAAAAGAAGGGTTGGTGAAAAATTGATGACAATTTGTTGGTTTAATAAGAATTTGGGCGGCTAATGCTAAAAAGATTTGTAGGTTTTTAAAATTCTATGCTGTGCACTCATCCCAAGATTCTGCTCGCCTCTTTATTGTCATGCTTTTCTTCCTTCTAGTCTTCTGTCTATCCACCCTCTCTCCACTCTCATTCTTCTCATCAAAAAAGTCTATCTGCAATGAGCATCTTTATCTATGGCTTCTAGTACCTTTCTGCTCACAAACAAAACAAAACAAAATAAAATAACAAACAAAAATACCAAAGTTCCTATTCCTCTAAGTAAAATGCAAATAGCCCAGATCTGCTCTGATTCCATCTCCTCTGTAATTCATAGGACACATAAATGCAGCCATTTGTGTACTTCTGTACTTCCAGATGAATTAATCTCTCTATTGATTCATGAAGGGTTGGTGGAGAACCAAAGGTAGGGAGAAGAAGATAACCAGCTATTCTTAGGAAGAAACAATAAAGTTCCTTTTCCAACCACCAAAAAGTTGAAGACAGGCTTGCTGTGTGAAATAACAAAGCATGATGACTACATAAAGGCTCGGTACCCAAAGAGAACTGGATTACTCACAAAATGCCTGAAAACTCACATCTTAAATACATGTTCAAATCCAAAGAGCTCAGAAATATCAGCTGAAGTGAGCTGGTTGTGGTGATGCACACCTGTAATTCCAGTCACTCAGGAGGCTGGAGAGAGGAGGATTGAGTTCAAGGCCAGCCTCAGCAAATTAGTGAAGTGCTGTCTGAAAATTTAAAAATTTAGGGCTGGGGTTGTGGCTCTGTGGTAGAGCACTTGCTTTGCATGTGTGATGCACTGGGTTCGATTCTCAGCACCGCATATAAATAAATGAATAAAATAAAGACCCATCAACAACTAAAAACATTCAAATTTAAAAGGGCTGTGGAAGTAGCTCTGTGATAAAGCACCCATGGATTCAATCCCCAGTGCCAATACGTACATATGTACATACATACATAGTGGTGGAGTGTTATTGTAAGCCATCTTTTAATTTTAATATTAATTTTTTTTCAGTGCTTGGGATTGAACCCAGGGGTGATCAACCACAAAGCTACATCCATAGCCCTTTCTAAGACAGGCTGTTACTAATTTTCTGGCCTCAAATTTGCAATCTTCATGCCTCAGCCTCCCCAGTAGCTAGGATTATAGGTGCGTGCCTCTGCACCCAGCTAAAACATTATTTTTAGACATGGCACAGATGTGTGGTAAGTACTCTGTAATTAATAAGAGAGTTTAAAGGGTGGAATATGCCTGGCATGATTGCGGAGCCCAAAGGAGGCCAGTGCTTAAACGTAGTGACCAGATACAGTGATATTGATAGAGCCAGAGAGAGAAGTTCCTAGAGGGTGTGGCAGGTCACTTCTTGATGGAATGGAGAATCTCTCTGACCATTGAGCTGAGAAGAGACGATATAAGGCGATGAGGGTAACACAAGGAGACCTATTAAGGGGCTCCTGCCATTGGAAATCAAGAAATAATAGGGTCCCTTGGACAATAGCAGAGGTGGGGAGAAGTGGTCTGATAGATGTATTCTGAAAGGGCAGCCTACAGGATTGGCTAATGGTTTGGATGTGGCGTATGAAATAAAGGGATGAGGTAAGAAGCCCGGAGTTGCCATCAATGGTGACAGAGAACACAGTGGGGGAGGGGATGGTTGGGAAGATCAGAGGTTCAGTTTGGAGCACAGAAAATTTGAGCTATTTATTAGATAGACAAAGGGACATAGGAGTACAAAATAGTGTTTTTCCAAATGAACACCCTCCTGGTTAATTTAACCAACCCTTACATTCCCCTGATAGTTATGAATCATATCTGTTCAGTGAGTTGAGTTTTTTGAAGAATGGTCTCACAGGGACAACAGAATGACAAGTGGAAAGCCCCTAGCCTTAGAGGGCAGGCAGGGTGACTCCTGCCCCCTGGCTCTCACAGCACTTTCTCTCAGGCCTAATGCATCTCTTCTGCCAAATGTAGATCACAATAAGTTTCTTATAGGATCGTTGCAATTTTCAAATACCGTGGGCTAATGGGGAAATGATCACTTACACTTTTTTAAAAACTGGACACTGTCTAAATCTGTCCTCTTTCTAGTCCACTCTGACTTGTGAATAACCACCAGCATTTGACAAGAGTAAGGGGGTCTAACTGACAACTAGCTTTCATGAAACACCCTGAATCCAAATTCTTAAAATTTGGAGGACTCTACTGCAACATCAGTGCAAATTTGGGGGAGCTGGTCCACATGGGTGCAGATTGTTAACATTCCAAACTAGGGAAGTCAGGGAGAAGGACTGGGGTTTTATAAGGTCCAGTCCTAAAGTGGTAGGCCAGTCCTAAATATCGTTAACAATAACACTGTCTCCCAGATACTATTGAAGGCAGTTTGTGTTTGGTTTTCGCAACCCTGCCTACAACCCAGTGTAAATGGATTTCCAGACTCGACTTGAGATGGAAGCCTGGGGTGTATTTCCCATATCCCTATAAGGGATGACTGGTTCTCTCAGACCCAATACCTTTCACACTTTTTTCCCCACCTCCTCCCCGCCCACCTTGGACAAATACTGTGAACTGTGTCCTTGGATGGTGTGGGGACATCACAGCTAGCAGTTTTTTGTTTACCCCAAAGCCAGGAGCCACTAGGTCCTTGGCCTGAAGCCTGACCTGCCTCTTCTGATTAGGTCAGGGCAGAACATAAGGATGAGGAAACGACTTTCAGCCTGACCTCTAAGTCTCGGCTGGCGTCAAGTTTATTGTTTTGTGCAGACTTTTCTGTTGACATTTTTGGACTGCCCCTTTTGCAAACTGAAAAAAAAAAATAACTAGAGGTCAATGAGGGAGGAGGAATAGGGGAAGGGAGTCCACCAATATGAGCCAGGAGATGTGAAAATTACATATAAACTAAGAGGTGCTATAGGGATGCTGGTTATTACTAAGGAAACTTCTGATCTCCTTATCCTTTTATAACACTGAACAGTATGCAAGGAGACAAATTGCGCTGATCCCTCCTGCTTGTGCAAACCTCTTGTTTGCAGGTGCTTCCCAGGTAATGTTTTCTATCTGAGCTGTCAATCAGAGGCAGTCAGTTCACCCACAAGCACCAATGCTCATGAAAAAGAAGTATAAATTCTTTAGACTTGCCTGGAACTTGTAAGCTTTCAGTATAGTACGTGGTGTGTTCTGTGCATCAGGAGAGGAACTAGTACTACTGGCTGAAATCTAGTCCTTAACTGACAAACAGCAGGACTGAGATAAACTACTACTAATAATAACACCTGTTACTTGTTCAGAGTGAGGCACTAGGCTAAGTGATTTACATTTTATTTTACTTAAAGCTCAAACAAATCCATAAACTGGAAATAATTATTCCTATGGTAAGGATGAAAAAAAAAGCCAGAAATTTAGGAAAATATTAAGGAACGTCCCTCAGATCAAGCAGATCATAAGTAACAGTAATGGGAATATGACAAGTTTATTGAACCCCAAATCCTTCTATTTTTTCTGTATTTTTACCCTTTATAATTGCATGAATCTGCAAATATGCCTGAAATTGCAAAATCAAATTAACAAATTAAGATATTAAATGAAAATTAAAGTCCTATGCAAAAATTAAATAATATAAAATTTTATAATACAAAAAATTCTTTTAAATTTTTATAGTATTTTTATAAAATTTTTCTATGACTTAGTGACTTTATTTCTATTCCCCACTGTTGTCTTTTTTTAATATTTATTTTTTATTTTTAGGTGGACACAATATCTTTATTTTATTTTTATGTGGTGTTGAGGATGGAACAAAGCACTCCACGCATGCCAGGCGAGCACACTACTGCTTGAGCCACATCCCCAGCCCCCCACTGTTAGTCTTTTTAAGACTGTGTATACACACCCCACACACATCTCTGTTTGTGTATCTGAGCTAATTTGTGGGTAATCTTAGGATGCTTCCCCCTTTTAGAATCTCTTTCACTCACATTGTCTATGTAACTCCTTTCCAATTTCTTTCTTTCTCTTTCTTACCTGATCTCTGTTACTTATAGGCCCTAGCATAATGCTAAAGTATATTTTTATTGTGTTCATGAAAAGGAGTTTTTGCTGTTTTTAATTTTAGGATGGCTTTAAAATGACACGAAATTAACTTCCTTTTATATTTTGCGTTTTACAGGTGTGGTCTGCTTTTTGGTGTGTTATTTGTGTTCACATTTGTCTTCTTTTTGATTGTAAATCTTTGCTGCACAGGGGAAGTGTCTTTCTTGTCTTCTTATATTCCACAAGATCTAACAAAGACTTTCTAATAAAAATGTACTGCATGAACCAAATAAAGTAATTAAGAATCAAAACCTAGTGCCTGTCAGTGTTTTCCTAGCAATTGATGGGCCGGAAGAGACGGGGGCGAGAATAACACACCATCTTACTGAAACTGACTCGATTCTGTCTCCAACCTTGACCGGGCAGACACCACTAGATACCGTTGACGTGGGGCAGAGCGGACACCGAGCTCAAACCTGTCTTACCTCAGCGACTCCGAACCCAGGAACCGCTTCAATTTATCCTTCAGGAAGGCGTTGGGGACAAGGTGGCCAGAGGTGCCAGTCGATTGTCTAAATCTCGGCTCTATCCTGCCCCGCCCCGGTGCCCCTTCATCTTGGGAACCTAGAGCAGAACTGGCCAACCGAAAAGCGCGCTGCACCCGCCACCCTGCTTCGTGACCGCGCGGACCCCTGAGCAGCTCCGCCACCGCATCCCCCTCCTCCCCACTCCCAGGCTCCCCTTTCCTTTGCCCGTGGCCCTCCGCGGCTCCAGCCCCCTGTGCAGAGTTTCCCGCCGATTTTGTCCCCTCCTGGGGCTCCAGCCCCAGGTTCCCATCTTAGCCCCTTGGGCACAGCGTCCCACCATGCTGTCCCCTCTGGGGATCTAGCCCCGAGTTCCCGCACCTGCTCCTGGACAGAAGTTTCCCACGCACCCTAAACCCTTCCAGGGGCTCTATCCCCAGGTTCTTGCTCCTGTCCCTGGGCCAGGTTTCCCCCGCTTGCGTACCCTCCGGGGGCCCGCACCCTTGAGGGGACACCCTTAGTACCAGCGATCGATGCGTCCCGCCCCATCTGCTGGTGACAGAGCTTCAGTGTCCTTACGTGAAAAGTAGGGACATAAGATCTACCTTATTTACCCAAAACGTGAAAAGGCGACCTAAAAAGACTGAAGTCCGTGATAAAGTTTATTACTAATCGTCAAGCTTGTTGGTATTATTATTGTCGTTGTTACTGAGCTACCGTCCTCAGCGACCCAAGGGCAGCGTCTACTGGCGCCCGCCCCGCCCCGCCCCATCCTCCGGGCCTGGCGGCTCAGCTTGCGGACCCGCTGGGGACTCCGCCATCCCGCTCGCGGCTGGAGCCCGGTTCCCGGGGGAGACTTGAGACGCCCGGCGACATGGCAGGCGGCCACCGCCTCCTGCTGGAGAACGCGCGGCAAGTGGTGCTGGTGTGCACCCGCGGCGAGCGCTTCCTGGTGGGCGATGCTCTGCGCAGCCTAGCGGTGCTGGAGGGCGCCAGCCTGGTGGTGGGCACGTAAGTGGCCGGCGCCCAGCGGGAAGGCTGCTAGCGCCCAGCGCCCGGGCGCGGATCAGCATGGGCTCCCGCAGCTTGCTGTGTACTTTCAGGGGAACCGGTTAAAAGCTTTCCTGCAACCTAAAGAGACAGTGGCAACCCTGTCCTTTAGGCACCTGGTGTGAACATGTTGGACTGCTTTGGGTTGTCTTCCGTGAAAAAATGTGCTCAAACTGAGGGCTCCATTAGAATACATCAGGTCCCCGCCTGTGTTCTAAAATACCACTGTCCCAACAATCAGAGGGGTTTCTTGGCCTCTTCTTGGAGGTGCAGCCAGGGACCACCTTTGTCAGATGGACTGGGGTCCTTCCTTCCTTCCTTCCTTCCTTCCTTCCTTCCTCCCTCCCTCCCTCCCTCCCTCCTTTCTTTTCTTTTCTTTTTTTCTTAAATAGGTTTTTGACTCCACCCTCTATTTCCCGACTTTTTTTCCCCCTTGTACCGGGGATTGAATCCGGGGCCATATCCCCAGCTCTTTTTTTATATTTTGAGACAGGATCTCGCTGAGTTGCTTAGGACCCGCTAACTTGCTGAGGCTGGCTTTGAATTCACAATCCTTCTGTCTCTGCCTCCCAAGTCTCTGGGGTTACAGGGGTATGCCACCGCACTCAGCATATTCCCAGACCTTTAAATCAACACCTCTGGGGATGGAGTTCTGAGATCTGAACATTTAAAAAAGCACCTCTCCGATGCCGGTGAGCACGCTGAAGTCCAATAACAGGAAGAAAAATGACAGTGACTTTGGGTGACAGGGATCAGGATTTGGTCTGATTAAGGTATTTTCGGTTATTCTCTCTTAACCTTCTGAATTCTGGGTCAAATGTGAATAAAAGAAAAAAGTTTGGGAGGGTGACCTGGAGTAGGATTGGAATGGGTTTTGCAACCTATCCCCAAGATGCCGGCTAAGATCCAACCAGATGTGGCAAACAGACCTCTGCTTATCTGAGGCTGCTCACTATTGCATAAGAGCCCCGATTATAGGAACTTTGGTTTTGTTTTCAATTAATATGGGAATAAAAACAGTGTCACTCTTGAAAATTTGTTAAAATCAGAATTGCACCCTTGCTTGCAAAGTTAAGAAAATATCTACCCCAGGTGGAGAAATAGAGGATCCAATATGATATCTTGGATTCCAAGACATTCTATATCATGTTCACATCAAAACCATATAAAACAAAAATGAAACAGGAGGCAGTTGGCTTTGGTTTGGGAAGTGGTTTTCTTGCCTTGAATCTGCTCTATGGTTAGAATCTGTTGGATTTATTATATTAAAATGCAGTTACAGGAATATTCAGAACTTTACTGCTCAAATATGGCTGGTACTGGATTGAGTGAATCATTTAGGTAATTGTCTCAAATTTTCACATCATTTCCTTATGCAGAACCTGAGTGTTCAAAGACAACCTGATCCTGCTTCTTTTTTGGTAGACAAGAAAGCTGGGAGTGAGAGTGAGGGGAAGAGGGGTACAGAGAGGACTGGAAGAAGTTCCATTTCAAACTCTGGAAATGAATGGGTTTTGATGGTGTGTTCTGATTAGAATGAATCCCACCCAGTGAGATCACCAGCAGTCAATTCCTTCTAGGCTCTAGACAGAGAAAACAAGTCCTGAAAAAAAGAAAACAGTTGGAGGAATTCCAGAAACTCCCCCTTCCTAAAATTATCTCAGTGATTATCTGCCATGCAGCCTAAATTCCACCGGTGGACTGTGTGTGTGTGTGTGTTTTGTGGCTAATCTTGAAGAAGTACCAGAAGATGTCAGAAGAGAAGCACCAACTGTCACTTCCTTTACAAGTGTCTCCTCCAAAGGCTAAAACCAAGATGGAAATGTCATAATGAACAAAAGAAGTAGGAATGAGAATATAGATTCATCCACAAGGGCCATTTGTTATAGTTCTTCAGAGAGGCAAAATAAATTTTAAAAAAAATGGAAATGTTGAAGCAAAAACCGATGAGTGCTTTGTCTTCCCTCTTGGAAGCCAGTAAGAGTCAGGTAGATGATGAATCTAAAAAAAAACAGGACCTTTTCATTCATTCATCAAACATGTACTGAGCTGTCAGATAGTGCTGAGCCTTAGGGGTGCAAAATGGCTGAGACTGGTCCTGCCCTCAAAGAGCCACTTCTATTGAGGGACAAGGTGCACGAAAAGATCATTGTGATACTGAATGGTAAGCGCAAAGGTAGAGAGGTATGTGCAGGGTAGGGCTTTTAAGAACTGTGCAGAGAGCCACCTAACTGATGGGAAGGGTGTCATATTTATCATATTTATCTGTAAATTAAGAACAGTTTTTAGGTTTTGAGACAGCCTATATGTCAATTCTAAAGTTTCACAAAACTCTTGGAGAGCCACTTGAAGCACTGAGCTGCCCTTGTCATCCTCATTATTATTTTCATGTGAGGACGGTACTGCACGTAGCAGTAGGCTTACTGGTTTGCTTTGCTGCTTTCAGAAGATTCTGTAGAATTTTCCTTTCTAAACTTTGCAAAATAAAAAGTAAATAAAACAATAGCAACATACCTATTCTCTTTTTCCCTTAAAAAATGATCTGTAGGTATATTTATTGTGGAAAAGTGAGAAGTAACAAAGAATCCCAGCACTATGTACATTATAATGCACCAATGAAAAATATGGAAAAAAAAAAAAAGAAAAAGTGAAAAAAATACAGATGCATGAGAAGAAAAAAAAATGAATCACTCAAATTCAACATTTAGTGAACCAATGTTGACATTTAGGTGCTTCTCCTTTCAGATGTTTTTCCATTTAGATAGAATTGCATAAACATACATTTTATAATGAAAAGAAATGTACGTATACTGTTTTTATATCCTGGATTTTTTTTGTATGTCACTTAGTAATAAATAAACAGTGAAAATCTCACCAATAGTTAACACTAATAGATACCTTTGTCATAGTTAATGTCTACTTAAAACATTTTTAGGAGAATACTTTTTTTTGTTTTCTTTGATAACTGTCCTTGGACACAGCCTTTGTTCAAACATATATTTTGGAATCTACTGATGAATGAGTAGCCATAGATGGTAGATAATCATGTGATTAGTGTGGTCAGGAAGAGGACCCAGTGACCTCAAAAGTCTCCTCCCACACAAACTGAGCTGTTAGAGATTTACTTCTTAGGTTTGGCCCTGTTGAAACACAATCCCTCCTAAAGCAGTGTCAGTCATTAACTCTTTTCTGCCGGTAGTTTATCAGGTCTTTTGTCCCATGGCTCCTGGTTAGTACAATTTCCTGCCAAATGGGACATGGTTCTTGATAGAGAAGGAGAAAAATAGTCCTGAGAGCATTTTCTTTGACCTTTCCCATTCAAGGGTCAAATTCTAACCCTGCTGGTCTTTTCCACCACCAGGTTCACCGCACACTAGGAAGACTATTGAATTGGGCTAGATGAAAGCTGTTAGTGACAAAGAGTTGTATAACTCAGGATATAAAACCAAATTTCAAATTTTAATTTCTTATTCTATCCTTAAATGTGTCCTCCTCATAACACCCACCATCTCCCCTCTCCCCTGCCTGTTTCATAATAGCTATCTTTTTATTCAGTTTCTGCTCTCCTCTCTTATATTGTTAGGTTACCCAAACCTTTTCAGTCCCATTTCTGAATCTCTTATCTTCACCTGCTTTTCACTGTACTTTCCACCTCTCAGGATGAGAGCCCTGAACGTCTATTTTGGAAACACTAATTTGTAGTGAGTAACAAAAACCCAAATTAACAATGACTGAAACAAAGTAGAGGTCTATTCTCTGCTACTCCAGAAGTAAGACTCAGGGCTAGTTGATGGCAACACTGTGGAGTTGTCAGGATCATAGCCAGCTTTTTACAGAGACTACATGATCCAAAATGGCTGATCCATCTCTAGTTATGGATTTCATTCCAGCCAGTGAGAACAGGGGGTGAAAACAATCCTACTGGCTAGAATGTGGTCACATGGCCACACATGGCTAAAGGGAGCCTGGGAAATGTAGTTTTTATTCTGCATGGTCCTGGCTTAAGGTTCTAGTACTGTGAGAAAAGGGGACATTGGTTTGGGAACAAGCAGCAATCTCTGCTACACATGGTTTGACTTTCTGTCTTCAGTATAGCTTGAATCACTTTCCCAAAGACTCAGGCTCAAGAGGAAAGCAAAATAAGTTTTAACTGACATCAAGGCATCCCAAAGCATAGTTTAAATAACTAGTCAAATTTATCACAAGATTTCCCCTAAATTTAGTAATATTTCTTGATTTTTCTTCAGTGATGGGTTTATAAAAGCTATTGGTCCTGCTGATGCTATCCAAAGACAGTTTTCCGAAGACACTTTTGAAGAAAGAATTGACTGCTCTGGGAAATGTATCCTACCAGGTACTTGCCTGTTTTTCACAAAGCTCTGAAAGCATTTTTATCAGTTAGTCTAAGAACATAAAGAGGAAGAATAGCAGATTGTTTTAAACAGGGTCTTACAATAGTATGAAAAAATAATAATGAGTCCATGGATTGAATTTTTCTTATTGAATGCCTAGCTGCTTTATAAACATGAGTTCATGAGTTCATGTTGAATCCTTGTAACTACCGTGTGAGGTAGATGTTATTATCTATGTGTTACAGATTAGAAAACTGGAGGTTAGGGGTGAAATATCTTACCCAAGATTGCAGAACAGGTAAAGGAAGAGCTGGGTATCAAATCCACTCGTTTATTCCACTTCTTCCCACTCACATGCTAAAGAGAAATCAGCCGTGTTGTGTTCAAGTTCCAGAATAGTTGGAATAACTTTTTAATCCATTGCATAGGGGAGGCAAGCAAGGCTGTCTCTAATGTTATAAATACTCTAAATTTGTATGAAGACCTAGAGACACTGTAGATATTTCACCCCAGTTCACTTTTAACACAAAAAATCAGTTTATTAACTACCATCTATGTTATCTCTCTAGTATGATTTCACCTGAGAGAAATCTCAAAAACTTTGAGTTTGATGCAAACATAGGGGCTTTATTTTAATTTTATTTATATAAAACTATATATACATTTTAATAAAATTAATTTATATAAAATTTTTATAGTTTAAAAATGTGTATTGTCACATCTGACAGAATCTTTATGTTCTGATTTTTGGGGGCCAGGATACAAAGTCAGGGTGAAATGTCATAAGAAAAAGAAGACCATGATAAGAAACAATCTGGATAGGGACTTTGGATTTAGTCCAATCAGAACCATTTATGAGCTGCTTTAAATATTTGATAACAACACACTTTACTAAAATGTACAGGATAAAGAAAAGTTCCAAGTGACTGCTAAATGTTTTTTCTTAAAGATAGATTCATCTTTCATATTTTTCTTTCTCAAAGTTGCAGTGGGAGTTGAGGGTTGTATTATTGTTCCTTGGTGATACGGTCCTTGGTTTTGCTCAACTAATGGTTTGGACAACCTGGTTTAAAATCTTGTTTGCTGAGCATGGACTTACTGAGTAAAGAAGCTGTACCTCTAGATGGTAGAGTTACTTTCTTCCATTAGAATATTCTAGATGAGCCATACAGAGGAAACCTCCCTTACCCCAAGCTGGATGGCCACTACCATGCTTCCCTAAGAGCAGCATGGTGCACACTGCCTGCTGTCGAAGTGCCCTCTGCTTTTAACTCTAAGGTGACCTGATTTATTGATTGCAGGTTTGGTGGATGCCCACACACATCCCGTATGGGCTGGTGAAAGAGTCCATGAGTTCGCAATGAAGGTATGCAATGAATAACGGCAAATCCAAATAAAGCACAAAGTCTTTTTTTCTAAAAAGTTGCTACATGTTATGTCTTTTTAATAGATATTTTTGCTTGGAAAATGGGAAACAAAAGACAACAAAATGTATTTACAGCTGCCCCAAGTTTTTCTATCATGTGTTGAACTGGCAAACACTTGAAGTAGAATAGCATTTGAAAATTTTTAGCCCTGCCATCCTTTTAGAACAAAGGTGAGCAACTCGCCCACTGATTTTTCCTTTCTTTCCCTTCCCATCCCCCATTCCAAGTCACTACCTACAGGAGCATTTGAAAGAGCTCCAAGAAACGGTTTGAAAATTACCATTCATTGGAGTCAAATGTGGAAAAGTGCTTGACAAAATAATCACAAAAATAAAATGTGCTAAGTTATTCTCTTTTTTAATAAAAAGGAGACTTATTAAGAATTATAAAAGTCTCTGTTAGTTGAATATTATCCTTAGTCAATTCTAAAATCCTTGGTTGGAGCCATTTTCACATTGTTTGGCAGGGGTGGGCCGGGTGCAGCTAAATGGAATTATTTCAGAAAAAAAGGAAAAACTTCTTCAGGTATATTCCTTCTTCAACAAACTAAAGCTGTTTTTAAGACCATTTTATTAAATCAAGAATTTCAGAGCCAAAGCAGCCTTGGAGATGCACAGTCCAGGGCTATCATTATATACATGGAGAAAGCTGGGTCCAGAGTAGAGAAGGTATTTACTGAGGATGGCCCAGCCAGATGAAAACTCTGGCCAGGAGATCTGGGCCCACATAGTCTGTGTCTCACACTCTGTAGTACAGAGTAACTGGAGCCCATGGGACCCCAGGAAGAGCCTCTTTATTTGCTTGAGTGACAAAGGTCAGGCTTCCAAATCTGGTGCCCAAATATTGAGACACGAAAATGGCCCTGGGTCTCTTTAGTGGAGATTTGAAAAATTATAGTGGGGCTCCCTGTGCTTTGTTGTCTCAAACATGCTCAGGGATGTAGGGAGGATTGAGACTTAGCTGGTACACAGTGGGGGCTGACTGGATTGATAAAATATTGAAATAGTCCTGCAAAACATTAATTAATTGCTGCTTCCCTGAGATCCCAACTGCCTACACACTACGTCTGCCATCTCTGCCTCTCCAGCACCTTCTTGGGAACCTCTCCCCAGCTCCTTTCAATCTGGCTACTGGCAGACGACTGGGCTTTAGGACAATGTGTGTCCTTTTTTAATTATTTATTTATTTATTTAAATTTTGGTGCTGGGGATCGTACCCAGGACCTTGTGCATGCAAGGCAAGCACGATACCAACTGAGCTATATTCCCACCCCAATATGTGTCCTTTCTGATCTGGTCAGTTAGTGCTTGTGCCTTATTACTGCTGTTGTTTCTTCTTCTTCTTAACTTTTATTTGCAAAAGTGTGACTAACAATAAATATTTTTAAAATTGTATTTATGCACACACAAACATATAGACAACATAAATTGGCTTTTCTATTGAAATTTTCAAGTTATAAAATTTTGTAAGATGAAGAATTATGGTAAAAAGACTAGCAACATCCATAGGGTGGTTTTTTTCTTTTAAAAATTTATTTGTGGGCTGGGGATGTGGCTCAAGTGGTAGCGTGCTCTCCTAGCATGTGTGAGGCACTGGGTTTGATTCTCAGCACCACATAAAAATAAAATAAAGATATTGTGTCCACCTAAAACTAAAAAGTAAATATTTTTTTAAAAATTTATTTATTTGTTCTAATTAGGCATGCATGACAGCAGAATGCATTTCAATTCATTGTACACAAATGGAGCACAACTTTTGGTTTCTCTGGTTGTACACAGTGTAGCATCCCAACATATGTGTAGTCATACATGTACCTAGGGTAATGATGACCATCTCATTCCACCATCTTTTTTACCACCCCCCCCTGCATCCTCCCCACCCTCCCTTCCCTTTGCCCAGTCAAAGTTCCTCCATTTTCCCATGACTCCCCACTCCCTGTTTTGGATCAGCATCCACTTGTCAGAGAGAACATTTGGAGATTTTGTTTTTTGGGGATTGATCGGCTTACTTCTCTTAGCATGATATTCTCCAACCCCATCCATTTACCTGCAAATGCCATAATTTTACTCTCTTTTAATGCTGATTAATATTCCATTGTGTATATATACCACAGTTTCTTTATCTATTCACCTATTGAAGGGCATCTAGGTTGGTTCCACAGTTTAGCTATTGTGAATTGAGCTGCTACAAACATTGATGTGGCTGCATCACTAATAACATGCTGATTTTAGGTCCTTTGTGTAAAGACTGGAGGAGTGGGATAGTTGGGTCAAATGGTGGTTCCATTCCAAGTTTTCTAAGGAATCTCCATACTGCATTCCAGAGTGTTTGCACCAATTTGCAGTGCCACCAGCAACGTATGAGTGCACCTTTCCCCCCACATCCTCATCAACACTTATCATTGCTTGTATTCTTGATAATTGCCATTCTGTCTGGAGTGAGATGAAATCTTAGGATTAGTTTTGATTTGCATTTCTCTAATTACTAGAGAAGTTGAACATTTTTCATATATTTGTTCTTCAATGGTATATCTTCTTCTGAGAAAGTGACTGTTGGGTTCCTTAGCCCAGTTATTGATTGGGTTATAATATCCCCCATGGAGGTAGGTTCTATGCCTTGTCTGCAACCTCCCCTGACCGAGCGGTGTGTTCAGTTGGCAGGAGCCACATACATGGATATTCACCAGGCTGGAGGCGGGATCAACTTCACGGTGGAGCGCACTCGCGAAGCCTCCGAGGAGGAGCTGTTCGGCTCTTTCCTGCAGCGGCTTCAGTGCATGATGAGGGCTGGCACCACGCTGGTGGAGTGCAAGAGCGGATACGGCCTCAACCTGGAGACCGAGCTCAAGATGCTGCGCGTGATCGAGCGTGCCCGGCGAGAGGGGCGCATCGGCATCTCGGCCACTTACTGCGGGGCTCACTCAGTGCCCAAGTAATCTCAGCGGGTGGGATCAGGGTGTAACTCAGATAGTGGGAATGAAGCGGAGACTGCGTTCCCTGAGGATGGAGATGCATCAGTACTTTAGCTCTTGCAAGGAGATAAGGCTTTGGAAAGATGTTCTGCTTCTATGACCAGACATTTAGGACAGGTGGTTTGAGGATGGAGCTACATTCAGTTCTATCAGTTTCATCAGTGTTGGAATAACACGAGTCGTTTCAAGCTCTTTTGGTTTGCAAAAAGAAATGACCCTTTGTAGTCCTTTGAGACTATAGATGCTAATGTGAATAATTTTATCTGATAAACGAATTCACATAAAGCAGTAAAGTAGCATAAAAGTAAAGGTTAATAGTAAGATCTTATAGAGATCAAACCTTGTAGTCTAGATGATTCAGAGAACTGCCCCCCCACTGTTAGAAGAACTAAAAAAAAAAAAATTAACATTAAATTATAAATATTCCAGGGATCTTTGTTGTAAGTTTTAGCATTTATATTTCTGAAATTATTAAAACTTAAAACTTCACTGAGATATTTTTACACAGCCTGTCTATGGAAAACAGTAGATTTTTTCCCCCAAATGAAATAGAAAGTGTATGAGAGTCTGTCCTCCCTGCACAAACACAGAATAAGCAATGTGGTATGGCAAAGTCTCAGACTTTGGAGTGATAAAACTTGAGTTTGAATCCAGCTTAGTTCCCTCTAGCTGAGTGACTTTGAAGATGTGACAGCTTTTTGGAACATGAATTACACATCTGTACACAGAGCTACATACACCCTATTCCTTAGGATTGTCTTGAGAAGTAGAAATAATTTATGTAAGTGCCCATCTCCTCATCATTGACCTCTATCCACCCTCCAAATGGTGTCACTGAGTGAGAGCTTTCTGTGTACCCAATACAGGGCTGAGGTGTTGCAGAAATTCTCTCCGTCTGCCAATGACCCTCCAAGTTCTGTGTTCTTGATTCCCTAAGGTGCAAATCACAGCTAAATAGTATGTCCAAAGTTATATCATCAGCAAGAGGTAGAGCTCTGTGTCTGACTGTAAGAGCCCAGTCCTTTCCAAGATAGGAAGCATTTCAAGGTCTCTTATTGTCCTCTTTGGCCATGTCTGCTGAGAGTGAGACAGGAAGCCTTAGCAGGTGCTTCAGGAAACATCGTGGAGAAAGCGGAAGAAAAAGGCAGGGTGATAACTAGGGCCTAGGTCATGGAACCACAGTTGGGTTTTCAGGGAATTGTCCAGGATGTCTTAAAAGGGTCCTTGATGGAAATTCACCTTTGCAGTCAGGTGGCCTTACTGGCATCCCCAAAGGCAGCATGGGTGTTTTAGCATGGCTGAGTAATTTGCATCTCTGTCTATGAGGTTGGTACATACAGAAACCTCAATACCTCTGCTGTGTTGGCATGGCTCAGCTATAAAGAGTCCTGAGTTTTAGTTTTTTTGAGGTTAGAGGTTATTTACCTATACTTCAAATGCCAGATAACTGTATATATATATATATATATATATATATATATATATATATACACACACATGTATACATATATATGTATTTTGTATACAAATATATACACACATGTACATATATTTGCCCATGATAATTTCATTTTCTTCCATCAGAGGAAAAACTGCCAAGGAAGCTGCTGATGACATCATCAAGAACCATCTCCCAAAGCTGAAGGCACTTGGCAGAGATGGGGAAATACGTGTTGACAATATAGACGTGTTCTGTGAGAAGGGCGTCTTTGATCTGGATTCTACCAGAAGGATTCTTCAAAGTGGAAAAGAGATGGGGTTACAGATTAACTTCCATGGGGATGAGCTGCACCCAGTGAAGGCTGCTGAGGTATGGCTGAACTTTGGCACATCCTTGTCAATGTGCGTTCTTGCACATTCCTGCCATGGGAAACCTAATCCATCTGTTCAAAGTCGCCTTCTGAAAAGATAGAGAGTGGGGAAACTTGTTTGAACAATGTGCAGATTGGTCTGGTTGGGCCTGGAAAACCCTGACCTCTACTGAAAAACTTACTTTTTTTTTTTCTTCTGCAGATCATTTACTTCTTTTCTTTTGGATGCTGGGGGTTGAACCCAGGACCACACTCATGCTAAGCACATGCCTTACCACTGAGTTACATCCCCAGCCTGATCATTTACTTTTATTATTATTGGCTGGTGGTACTCGTAGAGAAAGAAGTATCTCTGTGATCTCAGTTATTAAACTCACAACATATTTTGGTTGGCACACAAAGCCACACTGGCACAGTACAGTAATTTCACATGTAGCTTCTAGAATCTTCTTGTGGGCAGCATCTGGATCAATGCTGGTGGAGCACACCATGAACAGTCACAAGATGGTTTCAAATCTACCTGTCTTGCCCAGGTTGAGTTATTCATTCTTTCAACCTGTGTGCTGGGCACTGTTCAAGGTGTGACGAATTCAGTAGTGATTAGGACAGTCCCTACAACTGTGAATCTAGACATCTCTCTTCTGAACCCTAGAGCTTAAAAACAATTGCCCTGGGTACATAAATACAGCTGCAGACATTCCACCTGCATCTCAAGCACAGCATGGCCAACCAGATGTCTTAATATCACTTCCATCCTTGTCTCGTGCTTTCTGCCCTAGTGGACAACGCCATCATCCATCTGCTGCCTAAGCATCATTTTGACTCCTCCATCTACCAACGAATCACCAAAGCCTCCCAATTCTTCTCCTATGTCCATTTCTCTCTCCTTACTGCCTGGTTCAAACCACCTTCAGCTCCCACCTGGATTCCTCAATAACTGTCCTCTTGGCCTCCAATCTAGCATCCACCTTAATCCCTTCCCTTAACCCATTCCCTCAATGCAGTTTAACCTTCCCCTCCATCCTTCCCCTCCATTGCTTAGACCACATAAAGGATGAACATGGTTCGAATTAGAACAAATTCCAAACACAGTGTGTGGCTTACCAGGATCTGACCCTTCCTTACCTCTCCACCTCCTTCCTCCTTTCACTCCATCCAGCCTCTCTGTCATGAACCAGCCACAAAAATCTACTCTCAATACCCCATGCCTTTGTACATACTGCTCCTTTCATCTGAAGTCCCCTTTCTCTGACTAGTCCTAACTCCCGTGTTTTATCTTAGCTACTTTTCTGGGACTTCTTCCTAGCCCTCTCTAAGACTAGGTTATGGCCTCTCCCAGTCCTTATCCCACTGGGTTAAAATCGCCTCTGGACTATAGCACCCTGAGCGTTGCACCCAATCCTCGCCCAATCCTGGAGGTCAGCACAGCGCCCAGAGTACAGATGGCCTTTCATAAATCAATACTTGTTGAAATTTTGTTGAATGAACGCAAACTGGATGGTCATCAAGATACTGCTAGATTAAATCAATAGAAGCCAATACCCATAACCAGCAAATCGAGTTTAGAAGAGTGAGGGTGAGTCCAAGGTGTAGAAGAAACTTCCCCTGGGAAACATAATCAGTCCTGTGGACCACCACACTCCCCAGAGCCCCAATTCAAAACTTCTTAGGCCAGAGCAAGCTGCTGAAGAAGGGGTCAGCTCTTCCCTGTCCTGGATGTGGCAATACAGCCTCCCTAGGCCACATCAATGTCAGCCTACTCTCCTGTCCATGTCACCTGTTAGCGGGGGCTCTTGTGTGTGCAAACTCACTGGTTGGGAATATAGGACATGAAGATATTCAGCTGAGGGGACCTTTAAAGCAATGCTTCCACCGTCATCAGAGCCTCCCTTTTTCTTTGTGTGCTTCTAATAATCTAGCTCCAGCTTCTCACCTGGAGGGAAATCAAGTTCAAGTTGATAATCTCAAATTATTGATATAATTCCACATTTTTGAAGTGTATTCTCCCAACTGGTATGTTTCGCAGAGTGCAATGACATTCCCAAAACACACATCTCTGTTGTCTTTTTATGATGCTATGATAATTATAATTTATTTCCCTCTGATCTGTAAGCTTCGTAAAAATTTCTGTTTCAGAACTGTCTGAAAGCATTTTTGTTTAAAACTAGTTTTAAAAGTAGCACCTAGCAACAGGGCATGGTGGCACACACCTGTGATTTCAGCAACTGGGGAGGCTGAGGCAGGAGGATTAAAAATTTGGACCGGCCTCAGCAACTTAGTGACACCCTGTCTCAAAAGCAAAAAATAGAAAGGGTTGGGGTGTGATTCAGTGATGAAGTGCCCTTGGGTTCAATCCCTGGTACCAAGAAGAAAAAAAAAAGTAGCACCCAGCTAATTTTCAAATATATGTCAATTATAAACCATGTGTCCATTGTGGGGCTTGTGCTTATTATAAGAGGGAGTTGACAAGAAATCTTACTAATAGAGTGTTGTTTTCTTTTTGTAGGAAAATCGGTTTCAGGGTGCTGTATGCTTTGTCGTTGTGCTGTTTGTTAAACCTTTTCCTCTCTGCCCATCCTGCTTAGCTTGGAGCTGAACTGGGAGCCCAGGCAATCAGCCACCTGGAAGAAGTGAGTGATGCAGGCATCACTGCCATGGCAACGGCCAGGTGTGCCGCGGTCCTTCTGCCCACCACGGCGTACATGCTGAGGTGAGAAGACCGGTGCTCACCCCGACACGCAGGTCAGCTGTGGGGACATAGACTTCTAAGGAGCCTAAATTTTATGGCACGGCCCCTACAAATCCTGAGAAATGCAAATGATGGAAACTAGCTCAGGAAGATGCCAATTCTGGATAAATGTTCTTAAATTAATTACCCTCGGGAAGGAGCTTAGCCCAATTGCCTTTGGGTGGTGAGATTGTTGAGGAAGGTGATGCCTTCTTTTTCCTTTCTTCCCCCTGGATTTCAGAAATTTCCAATGTAAAAAATCAGTATGCATTACTTTTATCATCAGAAAATAATGAAACAGCAGGGCTGGAGCTCAATGGTAGAGCACTTGCCTAGCATGTGTAAGGCCCTGGGTTGCCAGGAGTGGTAAACACACGCCTGTAATTCCAGCGGCTTGGGAGGCAGATGCAGGAGAACCACAACAGCCAGCCTCAGCAACTTAGAGGCCCTAAGCAATTTAGCAAGACCCTGCCTCAAAATTAAAAAAAAAAAAAGTTTTGGGGATGCGGCTTAGTGTTTAAGCACCCCCTGGGTTCAATCCCTGGTACCAAAAAAGAAAATAATGGAACAGGTTCTATAATTTTAAGAACAGGCATAAGATCTTAGGGATATTCATTCAAAAAGACCCAGAATCTGAATGAGATGTTTTCTAAATGGGTGCTGATAGTCCCATGATTGAGTACCAGAATCCTCAAGACCCCTGGGAGTGGGAGGATGAGGACACATGTGAATTAAACTTTGTAAAAACTTCCCAGAGATTTTGCTGTGGGCCTTCTATGAACTGAATACTCCTTGCCCACTGCTCTAGTTCTGCTGAACATGAGATCTGAGGTCCTTTGACCCTTTCCGTGGTACCACTTCCGTGACAGCTGCCAAGTCAGTGGTTTGGGAAGCCAGCATTCAAGAGTCAGTTTATTAGCTGGATATGGTGGCACACACCTGTAATCCCAGAGGCTTGGGAGGCTGAGGCAGGAAGATCGAGAGTTCGATCTAATCCACCCATGCTCCTAATCATCCTTCGATACACAGAGCATAATCCACCCATGCTCCTAATCATCCTTCGATACACAGAGCAGCCCGCCACAACAGAAAAACATCCAGAACGAGTGAGACATGAACTGTGCCAAGGTTGAGAAAGGCCAGGCTTCAAAGTATTCTTAAGAGGGAAAAGAAAGGAATATCTCAGTGGTTTTTTTTTTCCCCAATGTATAGGATTACATACACACATCTTTATTATTAATATTTACTTAGTTTAAGAGTGAATGCGATGTAGGCTACAATCAGAAAATGCCAGTAACAGTTCTTGGTTTGACCAACTGCTTCTCTTACAGATCTGGATAGCATCAGTCGAAGTCATCAGTCAATATTTAATTTGGCTAATCCTCCACCATTCAAGGAATAAGTTCTTATGCACACCAAAAAAGTCTTTCTTTCCTTTATCTTTACTCTCTTAACATGGAACAAAAGTCTGAGACCTTGGCACTGGTAGGCTGATAGGCTTGTGTCCTGTTTGGACCACAAGGGCAGTTAAAGAGGCCTCACTCCTCTCTGACTTCTCTGTTCCTGTATTTTTTTCTGGGAAATATAATCAGGAGAGACCATCAGGGACCCCTGCTGTACCCTGAGCTCCCTGTTTTTGTTGTTGTTGTTGTTTTTTTTTTTTTTTTGTACTGAGGATTAAACCCAGGGGTACTTAAACACAGGCCACATCGCAAGACCTTTTTATTTTTTACTTTGAGACAGGGTCTCACTAAGTTGCTTAGGGCCTTGCTAAGTTGCTGAGGTTGGCTTTGTCCTTGTGATCCCCCTGCCTCAGCCTCCCGAGCTGCTGGGATTACAGGCGTGAGCCACTGCGCCTAGCCTGAGCTCCTTCTTGATTCTCTCTCTCTCTCTTTTTAATGTATATATTTTTAGTTGTAGGAGGGAACAATACCTTTATTTTATTTTTATGTGGTGCTGAAGATCGAACCCAGTGCCCCACACATGCCAGGTGAATGCTCTACCACTGAACCACAGCCCAGCCCTTGATTCTCATTTTGACAACAACCATTACCTAGTGCCACTGAACAGCTTCCTTTCACTGTGTATTTTGTGAATATTTGCATATAATATTTATTCAAGAAATACTTGCCTTCATTTTTAATGGAGCTCCTTTAATACTTTAAGAGGCTCACTCCCCTCCCCCTAGTAGTTCTAGGAGGGAAGAGACCACTGGAATGACCTCCAGGGAAGTTCAAAGCTACAGTCATCCCTCTGATCTGCAATTTTGCCTTCTGAGATTTGCTTATTCCTGGTCAACTGTGTTCCGAAAATATTCAATGAAAAAAATCCCAGAGAGAAACAAGTTTTAGTTTTAAATAATTTTTATCACAGAATTTCGTTATGATTGTTCTAGTTAGTTATTGTTGTTCATCTCTTACTGCACCTAATTTATGAATTCAACTTTGTCATAGGTAGGTATATATAGGAAATGCACAGTATATATTGGGATTTGGTACTATCTGAGATCCTAGGCATCCTCTCGGGTTCTCAGACTGTATCACCTGTGGATCAGGGAGAGGCTGACTACATTTCCTTGTACCCACCTCTGCTTCACTTACATGTCATAGTTGGGGAACATTTTCAGTGGTCCTACAAGTTATCATCCCAGACTGGAAATACTTCAAGGACAGGAGTCGTCTCTGCACTTCTCATAATTTATTAATTTACACACCAACCTGTGTGCTGAGGCCTGCTGGCTGCCAGGTACTATTCTAAGTGCTGGGGATGCAACAATAAATGCCAAAGTTCTGGTCCTGAAGGAGCCTGTCTTCTAATGGGAGGCAACAGACAAGGTACTGAGACAAATGAATATATAAACCTTGGGTGATGCAAAGTGCTATGAAAAAGTCAAAGTCAGGTAGATGAATAGGGAGTGCTGGTGGGGAGGGGGCTTTGATGTGAGGTTGGGCTGTGATGTTCTTAGGTTGGTCAGGAAAAGGCTTTTTTTTTTTTTTTTTTGTACTAGGGATTGAACTCAGGGGCACTCAACCACAGAGTCACATCTCCAGCCCTATTTTTTATATTTTATTTAGAGACAGAGTCTCACTGAATTGTTCAGCACCTCGACATGGCTGAGGCCTCCCTAGCTGCTGGGATTATAGGCATGCGTCACTGTGCCTAGCAGGAAAAGACTTCTGGATGAGGAATGTTCCAGCACAGATCTAGAAGTGAAGGAGTGAGCTATCCTCTCTCTCTCTCTCTCTCTCTCTCTCTCTTTTTTTAGAAGGGCGGGATTGTTTAGGAGAGTGTTAGGAGAGTGTTCTGGACCCCAACAGATGGCCAGTGAAATGGTGGAAGAACACTGGGTGTTCTGGGAGCAAGAGTGAGGCCTGAGAGGCCCGAGTAAGGAGAAGGCAGTAGCTGAGGGCAGAAGGAAGGGCAGACTTGATCAGCTTTGAGTCCTGGAGAGCCTGTAAGATCATGGGAGGCCACTGGAACATTTTTCAAAAGCTCAGTGACATGACCTGACTTATTTTTCCAAAAGCTTCCTCTTTCCGCTCTAAGGAGATTAGATATTAGGGTTTTCCTGAAAGCAGGAAAACCTGTTAGGATGGTCTTACAAATATCCTGGCAAGAGGGGAAGGTGACTTGGATCCATGCTGGTAGCAGGGGGTCTGCATATTATTTGGAATCTGGATATATTTTTAAGGCAGAGCCAGCAAGATTTTTCTGATGACTTGCCCCGTGAGAAAAAAGATTAAAAATAGGAGTCAAGGATGACGAAGGTGCCACCCAGCACTCGCTAACTGGATGCTTTCTGAATGGCTGGCTGCATCTATGACCCACCATGTTTCACTGGGCAGCGTACATGAGATGGTACTCTTTCCATTGAAACTACCAAGAAGTGCCTGTATTTGGGGGAAGGAAACAAAAGATTAATGCAACAAAAACACAATAATGAAAAATTAATGAATGCCTCCAGCAAGTCTATTGAGCAGCTGTTTGTGCCAGACACGGTACCGGTGCTGGGGGTGCATTGATGAATGAACGGATAGATGGTCTGGGCCTTTAGGAACTTGAGTCTAATGCACAAATTCTGGTAAATGCAAACAGACCTGGGAGAGTTCTGAAGAGAGCTATTGTTCTTGGCTGGAGTAAGGGGTGTCGGGGAGAATGGGCAGCGAAGGGCGAGACGTGTTCTGGGTTTAGATGACTGCATCTTAGGCATTTTAGACGAGGAGAATGGCAAACTCAGAAATGTCCAAATAGGGAACTCTGGTGGTTGGGGTGCAGCATCAGGTAGGGTAGTGATGAGAAATGAGTCCCTGAGAGAAGGTTGGGCTCAGCTTTCGGAAGGTCTCAAATGCCAAACTTAGGTGGACTTTATAACTATTCGGGGGCATGGCTATAAACTTACTCTTTGCCACATTCAGAACACTCCTTGAACATCACAGCTTCCTTCATCCAAGCAAACATATTAAGTAAAAACAAGGCTAGGTCCTGCAACAAACAAATCATCATTAAAAGAAAAGAAATAAAATAAACTAGTCCTTTCTGCCCATGGTTCTTGGCCTCTGCTAGACTTGCCAGCTGTAGGGGTAGATGCAATAGTCTAAATAGCTGTATGTAACAATCAGTAAGCAGTACTGTTCCATCCGAGGCTGAGGATCAGTCCAGGCATTATCATGAAGCAACAGCAAGCAGTCTAGTCCTGTAAGGGCTAACTGAGGAGTGTGGGGTGCCGTGGGAGGCCAGAGAAGGTGGTAGCCAAAAGGGATGGTTGGGAAGCCTTCCCAGAGGGGGTAGCCTAGGCCTCCACCACGGGCTACAAAGACTGCTGACTCAGCACAAATGATCTACAAGAAACTGCAACAAACCCCAGCAGAGTTTCTAAAAAGCTTCATCCCTAGGAGGACCCTGTCCCTCCCTTCCTTGCAGTGCCTGCCTGTGAAAGCTCAAGGCTGCAAGGAGAAAGTACTCTTTGTTCCAGCCCAAAATCTGTTGATAGGCAGATAGCCCACCCCCACCCCCAGACCTTCTGATAGCAGTTACTTTTAAAAGCTTGTGATTTTAAGTTCTTTCTCTGCCTCTTTGAGATGTAAATCTTCTGCAACCCAGAACTGTCTTCTCTAAGGACCTGAGAGCCCTCTCTTTGACAGGCAATCCTTCCAGCAGAAAACTTTCACTGTGTTCCCAGGGCTGGGGCCTCTTGCTCTAACTAGGCCCCTGCCTCCCGCCTAAAGGTACAGGTTTGAATCCCCTCCAGATAAGCACCAATTAAGGAACCCAGAGCTCACAGACCAACCCCAAGCCCCCAGGGTTTTGCAAATTGCCACTTCCCTGACTGTTAGAGTAACTGCTGCTTTTTCATTTCTGCTCCTCAATCTCTCTGTAAAACACCCAGTTACCTCTTCACAAGTGGAAGTTGGTTCCATGACTATTGTACTCTTCCATATTGCAATAGTTATTATTGAATCCAGTCTCTCTCATCACTTTAACTAGTATCTGGTCTGTTTATTTTTGACATAAGTTTTGAGTTAGATCCTGAAGAAGGTAGACTCTTGCCAAGGAGATCTAGGAGATGCCTAATCCAGAAAGAAACACAAACATTTCACACATTAAATTCTTTAAATAGATCCTACCCAAAAAACTTTTAAATAGGACTTACCTATATATATATATATATATATATATATATATATATAGAGAGAGAGAGAGAGAGAGAGAGAGAGAGAGAAAGGAGGGGCAAATGGAAATTAATAAAAAGTAGCATTATGCTAACCTCATTAGTTGTTTAATTTGAAAGTAACAAAAAGTTTATCAGATTTTATTAGAAAATTTTTATTAGTTTATTGAAAATCATTTGTTTTGTAAATGATATTTTTCTCCCTTAGCAACAATCTCTGAAGATGCATACAAAGATTGACCAAATAAATGACCACAAATTAAATAATAGCCGAGTAATTCCAAAAGCAAAACGAGAAAACCAAGAGTCGTAGAGTGCTGCTTCACTCCACCACCGATCATGTAACTTGGAACTTCTGTTTCTTCTTCCAGACCACAGTGGGGTTGACGGTCTCAAGTTCTCTTCCATTCTAAACATCTGTTTTGTGAAAGTTCCAACTCTGGAGACTGACCTCCTTTTCTTGTTCCCCTTAGACTGAAGCAGCCTCGAGCCAGGAAGATGTTAGATGAAGGGGTGATAGTTGCCCTGGGCAGTGATTTCAACCCGAATGCATATTGTTTTTCAATGGTAATTATTTTTTCATGTGTTTTTCTGAGCATAGTCTCTACCAAGCATATAAATAATTCAAAAATATTTCACCATCTGTTAAAATGTATAAAAGTTATGAAAATATTTCCCTGTAAAACAAGAAAGTGTAGACAGTAGAATAATTGGATTTCCCTGCACCACATGAGTGCCTCCAAGCTTGAAGAAAAGAGAGAAACTTCTATTTGCATTATTTTCTGATTCAGCCTTGAGCATTATGGTTTTACATTAACCAATTTTCCTTCTCTGGAGCAAAGCAGAAACTAAAAAAGATTTTAATTATTAAGTGTGAATGGAAAATTCATCTTCTACAGAGGGTCTTGAAGAGTTGTAAATGAATATTAAAAACACAATTCTTTTTTTTTTTTTTTGTATTGAGGATTGAATTCAGGGGCACTTGACCACTGAGCCATATCCCCAGACCTATTTTGTATTTTATTTAGAGACAGGGTCTCGCTGAGTTGCTTAGCACCTCACTTTTGCTGAGGCTGACTTTGAACCTGCTATCCTCCTGCTTCAGCCTCCAGAGCTGCTGGGATTACAGGGGTGTGCCACTGTACCCAGCTAAAAAACCACGATTCTTAATAATAGAGAATATTTTCCCAAAGCATAACAACCTTTATGTATTTAGATTTTCCCATAGTAATCCAGCAAGTTCCACCTATATATTTCTTGTAAGGTGCTGGGGTGTGGGTGCGGGATCAAGCCCAGGGCCTTTTTTTGCTGAGCACAGACCCTGCCACTGAGCCGCATCCTCAGCCTGGATAGTAATCTACATTTACTTGTTGTGCTGTGTGTCCTGAGAAGAAGTTGCTATTTTGTCCCTTCCTTCAATGCTTTTCTTGTCCTGCCTTAGCCAATGGTCATGCATCTGGCCTGTGTGAACATGAGAATGTCCATGTCGGAGGCCTTGGCTGCTGCCACCATCAACGCGGCTTATGCACTGGGAAAATCTCACACGCATGGATCTTTGGAAGTTGGCAAACAGGGAGACCTCATTGTCATCAATTCGTCCAGGTGAGTGTTGTCAATATGGCTATTTTATTTTATGCCCACTGCAGATATAGATGAGGTTTTAATTCTGTTTGCAGTAATCTTAGTATCAGGCTTTGTCTAGACTCAGACACAACCCACTCCTCTCTCTCTTCACCCGTTTCCAACATCTGCCTCCCTGGGCCAAACCTCAGTGGAGACCGAGTTTTCCGGTCTCGTCATCTGTCTCGTATGTTTCATGGATTTCCAGGTCTTGCTCTGTTTACTTGGACTGTGGACCTGGAGTGTCCTCTGGCCTGTGTTTTTGTTTTTCTGCTTGGTTCCTGACCTTCTGCTTGCTCCCAGCTCCAACATGTCTGACTTTTGAGATCTACTTCATTCCCAAATCTCCCACGCATCTGCTGCTGCTTGGGCCTCCGCTGTGACAATTTGGGTCTTATTGTTCTAAATCCACAATATTGTACATGTGCTTGACCTTCATGTGCTGATCACAGCCCTTGGACCCCGTATTTAACAGAGGAGAACGGCTGTACAGTTCTACCCTTTATGGTATGAATTCACTCCTTCCATTAAAAATAATGAGTGGTAATTCATGTTACCATTTGTGCACCATGTAAGGAAGAAAGTATTATAAGTTCAAGTTCTTAAATGACATTATTAAACAACACTTTATTTATTATAGACCAGTTATATATTTACCACTTTTTTAAAAAGCTCAAATACCAATGGACTTGGTATAAATCAAGTTTTTAAATGCATTTGCAGATCATGCACAGTGATGATTTTGACTTGTATCCATTGGAAAAAAATGTTTGATTTCTTTCTAGATGGGAGCATTTGATTTACCAGTTTGGAGGCCATCATGAATTAATTGAATATGTTATAACTAAAGGAAAAATCATCTACAAAAAATGATAATCTGGAAGGAAAGAGAAGACACTTCCACTGTGTCAAATCAGTCAATACATCTGTAAGAGATGGTACCTTAGTGGTTGACCAGAATCATGTCATTTAAATCTAAATATACTTCATTGTATTATTAATTCACTTGAAAAGCCCAAGGAATTGATTCGAATCAAGGGACATGTAAAAAGGTAAACCCATGGTGCTGATAATCTGAAATCATTAAATGGTCTCTCAAACATTGGTTTTAAAATTATGAAGATCGGGGCAGGGGTTATGGCTGAGTGTTAGTGCACTTGTCTGTCATGTGTGAGGCACTGGGTTCGATCCTCAGCACTACATATAAATAAATAAATAAATAAATAAATAAATAAATAAATAAATAAATAAAAGGTATTGTGTCCATCTACAACTAAAAAGTATTTTTAAAAATATTCTGAAGATTAATATAGTGGGGGAATCACAAAAATACCTTTGAGGGAAAAGCAGACTTGGCTTGAAATGTCCATTTTATTTCTGAATCTCAAATTTCAGTTTTGTTTTTTTTAAATTTTTATTTGTTTTAATTAGTTATATGTGACAGTAGAGTGCATTTATGCACTTTGATATATCATACATAGATGGGATATAATTTCTCATTTGAGTGTACATGTTGTAGAATCATATTGGTCATGTAGTCACATATATATATATATATATATATATATATATATATATATATAGTAATAATGTCTGTTTTATTCTACTATCTTTCCTATCCCCACATCCCCTCCCCTCCCCTCCCTTTACTTCCCTCTACCTAATCTAAGGTAATGCTATTCTTATCTAGTGCCCCCAACCTTATTGTGAATTAGCATTCCCATATTAGAGAAAATGTTCAGCCTTTGGTTTTTTGGGATTGGCTTATTTCACTTAGCATGATATTCTCCAACTCCATCCATTTACTGGCAAATGCCATAATTTCATTCTTCTTTAAAACTGAGTAATATTCCATTGAATATATGTGCCACATTTTCTTTATCCATTTATCTATTGAAGGACACCTAGATTGGTTCCATAGTTTAGCTATCATGAATTGAGCTGCTATAAACATTGACATGGCCACATTCATATTATATTTGGTGAACATTGTGGGATGGAAGCAAATCCAAGTGATATGCCCCAAATTGAGCTAAAAATATAGCCTTTTCTACAAGCAAATAGTATTTTCTCTCCTTACACAGTTTGTCTTTCTAGATGCTCTTCAGATGAACTAGTGTCCCCAGGGGACAGATGTCCTTCCATTAATACTGTGTTTTCAACCCTAGCCATGAAGTGTCGTGGCGGAGTTCAGGATTCCTCCCTTTACACAGGGATACAGGAGCCTTTTACATTTTGATCAACCCTTATAATGTAGTTTTTTAAAATTGTTAAGTCTTTGATTCTCACTAGTCCCTAAAAAGATTTTACAACTCTCAATAAATATTTGCTGTTGCTATTACTATTGTTCCATACAGCCCTGGGAGTAGATCACTGTATTGTCCATCCGAGTTTTGTTTTGTTTTAACAAAGTTGAACAAACCAATTGCAAAATCATTTGCAGAGTGAATGATTATTTATATAAATGGGTATTTTTAAGCCATGTGAGTTTACTGAAATCTTTTTAAAATGTTTACATTAGCTTTATAACCACAGCTTCATTGTCAAATTTTGTCCTATTTATAAAAAGTAATTTGTCAAGTAAACATTAAATACCAAATTATCACCAAATTTAGGTTAACAGAGCCTGAATTAGAGAGACTTTACCGTATTCGGTATAAACCAAATCAAAATGCCCATATTAGTCAGTTTTTGTTACTAAAATGAAATACCTGAGGTATGCTACTTATGAAGAAAATAGGCTTAGTTAGATCAGAATTTTGATTGCTGAAAAGTTCTGAGTATGGCATGGGTTCTGGCAGGGGTCCCCTTTGGCTGTGTCAACTCATGGCAGGTTGCAGTGGTGGGAGTTTGTGTGAGAGGAAGCAATCACATCTGGATACATGGAGCCAGAGAGGGATTGTGTAAGGCCAAGCTTAGGCTTTTGTAATAATGGCATTGCAAGAACTTGCCAGAGTCCCAGTAGAAAGGCCTTAATTCTTTCAAGGACACACCACTAGATGACCTAAAGACCTCCCATTATGCTCCACCTTCCAGAGGTCCCACATCCCAACATTGCCACAGTGAGAACCTGGTGAGACAAGCAAGGTGTAGGTTCTTTGTCTCGGGAACAATGGAGGGTGAGAGCAAAGTAACAATTTGTTTTTGAAACAGAAAGGAGCAGAGCTCCCACAAGGGAGGGGTCCCGGGTGGGTTGCCACTGAATTGCTGCTGTCTAGGGATTTATATGGCATTGCTGGATGGGACCTTTAAAGCTATTCGCTAATGACTTTTAGAGAGAGGAGTTTCTGCATCCAATTAGAGTGAGACTCTCAGTAGTCATGTGCCCCCTGTCCAATCAGGACGTTGGTCAGGAGCAGTTCATGTGCTTGGTCACCCGCTCTCTGGTTCATCAGATACTTTGTACAGGAAGCTGGGCATGATGGGATAAGAAGCCTGGAATTATTGCAATGCTGGTCCACCCTGTTCAGCATATCTTCTTTCTGGCTCCTGCTCTCACAAGCTTCCAGCACACAGACCCTTCTAGGACAAACCATATTTAAACCATAGCAATATCCCTGGTGGGAAAGTTAAGGGTAACATTGCATGTCATTGTCCCTGCCTCAGGGGCCTTTGGCCATCTTGTGATTGGTGAAAGAATCTTGAAGATAGATACAAAAGCCAAAACCAAATGTTAGATCTGCCCTGGGACCCAAGTCACACAGGATTATACCCTTTCAGCTAAGGAATGAGAACACCTGCTAGGAGGTGATCACTCTAAACAAAAAGAGAATTCGTATCTTTTTCAAGTGAAAGCAGAAGAGGGTGCCCACCTGAACCACCTCGGTCCTCCCAGGCTGTGTGCTGGGAGCTTACTAGAAGTGCAGGACCTTGACCTCACTCCAGACCTGCTGAATGAGAATCTGCACCTTCACAAGCCTCCAGGTGATTCACGTGCCCATTAAAGTACCAGATGCACTGGGCTCACGGGTCTTCGCACTTCCTCAAACACATCTTTTGAGTCAGCTGTTCTGGGTTTTGCAGGGCTGTTCCCTCTGCCTGGGATGCAGTGTCTCCCTGGATCTACAGAGGAGATATGTTCCAAGACCCCCAGTGGAGGCCTGAAACCACTGATGGTACCCAAACCCTATCCATAAGGCACTGTTTTTTTCCCCTCATACATTCATAACTGTGATAAAGTTTAATTTATAATTTAGGCAAGTGAAGAGAAAAACAATAAGAAAAGAAAAATTTTAACAATAAGCTAATAAAAGTTACATGAGTGTGGTCTCTCTTTCTCTAAAATATCTCATTGTTCTGCTGAGCATGGTGGCACACGCTTGTAATCCCAGCAGCTCAAGAGGCTGAGGCAGGAGGATCACGAGTTCAAAGCCAGCCTCAGTAAAAGTGGGGCACTAAGCAACTCAGTGAGCCCATGTCTCTAAATAAAATACAAAATAGGGATGGGGATGTGGTTCAGTGGTCAAGTGGCCCTGAGTTCAATCCTTGGTACCTTCCCCACTACAAAAAAAATTTTTGTTGTTCTTTACCTTTCCACTTGAAGCACTTTACAGCTTCTCTTTGGCACATCTGAACTGCCAGCAACACAACTCTTACACTTTGGGGCCAGGATTAAATAAAATAAGGGCCACTTGACTGAACACAAGTGTTGTAATACTAGGTCAGCTGGACTGATTGCTGAGAAGCCTGCTAAGAGGCATCATGGACATGCTGGGCAGTGGGATGCCCTGGATGCTCCAGGTGGGATAAAGTGAGATGGCTTGAAATGTCATCATGCTACTGAGAATGCAGGACAACTTAAAACCTGTGAATTATTTATTTCTGGAATTTTCTATTTAATAATTTCAGGCCACAGTGGACTGCAGGTAACTGATACCACAGAAAGCAAAACCGTGTAAGGGGAAATGACTATACTTTGCTTCTCTAGGGGGGGATGCTGGAGCTGGCTGCCCCTCCCCCATGCTCCCACACCTCTCTAGCCTTTATAGCCTTGTGGCTTAACTCTTTCCCATTTGATGGTGAAGTAACAAAGCTGCAACCTTGTCATGCCCCCAGAATCCAGTGTAGTGACAGATGATCAGTTAATGATTAATGAATGACTGCAGAAACTTAGATAAGTGGCAGTGAAAATTATTGATCAAGATACACTGTTAAGCCAGGCACAGAGGCACCCAGTGACTTGGGAGGCTGAATCAGGAGGATTGCAAGTTTGAATCCAGCCTCAGCAACTTAGTGAGGACCCAAGAAACTTAATGAGACCCTGTCCCAAATAAAAATAAAAAGGGCTGGGGATGTGGCTCACTGTAGTATAACCCTGGATTCAATCTTCAGTACCAAAACAAAAAGTCAAAACGCTGCTAAGCTTGCCCACCCAGGATGCAGTGCAAACGCTTACTTGTGAGTGGGACAGAGCATATGAATTTCTTAATAAAATGTCAAAGGATGATGCTCATGAGAAAGTAAAGTATAAAAGTAAAAATAAAGAGAGAAACAATTGAATGGGGTGGGGAAGGGCAGCTTTGCTTGGCTTGGAAGTTTGGGGAGCCTTTTGATGAGACAGAAGGGCTCTACAATGGTGTGGAAAGTCGTGAAGTGTTCTGAGGATTCAAGAGACCAGTTGAAACTTCATTCTAAAGGTCAGGGGAAGTCACTGAAAGATTTTGCACAGGGGAGAACAAGGACGAGAGTCTTGTAAAAAATATACGTGACTATATGACCAATGTGATTCTGCAACCTGTACACTCAGAAAAATGAGAAATTATACCCCATTTGATTCAAATGTATAATATGTCAAGATCATTGTACTGTCATGTGTAACTAATAAAAAAAAGATTAATATGGCTTTGGTGCACATAGTAGGCCCTTAAATATTTGTTGTATGAATGGATTCAGCTACAAAGCTGATCAGATTCTTTGGTGGAGAGAGTAGAAGGTATCAGATACCAGAAGTTCAGGTGGAAGGATGGCTCAGCAAGATGTGATAATCCCTAACGTGTGCTTCATTGAGCTAAAAACAGCAGCTCTTTCAAACCTTTTAAAATTATCAGAAAATTTAAATTTCCCTTTAAGAAAGAATATTGTGTTAGGTAGGGTAAAACTTGAAAGATCACAATTCACTATAATATGAATTTTTTTTTTTTTTTGCCAAGAACCAATTGTCACTCGTTTGGGGTCCATATCAGTTCTAGTGAGATAAGGATGCACACGTTAGATGCTGTGAGGAACACGCAAACTAAATGAGACGCTAAAGGAGACAAAAATCTGGGCTTTGATTTCATCTTGAACTCTTTGTCTATCTGTCAAATGAAGAGGTTGGATTCCTTCCATCTCTGAACTTCTGGTCCTAAGTTGGGCACTGCCTTCAGGAAATATATAACCCAATTAGAGCAGCAAGATAGATGGATATTAAAAAGTAGAATCAATGCCAGGCAGGATTAAGAGTTGGTTCTCTTAAAAGAATAACACTCTAATGGAACATACTAATGGCATTATTTAAGTCTGGATTCCCCACCAAGCCCAAGCGTCTTGGCCTTTCCAATAGTAAGAGGTTGAAGGATAAAGCCAAAATGCCCGCCTCTTGTTTCCCCCAATTTTTCCTGCAGAAGCTACGATAGACATTGGGCACCTGGTACCCAGGTGATGGAAACTACCACTGAGTCCAGCCTTCTGTCCCTGCTCATGCACACTCAGAGGTGTTCCATGCTGTCATTTGGCTTCCCCTACTGTACCATGAGCATTAATTATGCTCTCCATGACGAGGCTCCTGAGCACGCCCTTGCTTTTCCTGGTGTGTCGACACACTGCCATTGTTTGTTTTCTCATCTGCTCCTGGGCTTAGCCTATAAATCATGACCAAAGCCACTGGTTTAGACATTGGCCAAGCACGGAAGTGGTTTCCTGACATGAATGCCTCTCTTGACTTTCCTCCTGCAAATCCCAGCTCAGTCACCTCTTCCCTGCTGATTCCGTGGAGCTGAGGTTGTTCTTCCTTCCTCTGGGATATGGCAGTTGCCGTGGTAGGTCCTCAACTAGATGGAAGAGTCTTTGAAGACAGGACCACGTGTGCTAGGTGACCCACCACAGCCTGGCTCAGCCCCTCATGCACAGAGGCTGGGTTGGCTAGGATGCTGATGGCGACGAGTATCAAATCCTCGGCTAAATCATCTTAAAAATAAGGAAGCTTCTTCATTCACCACTGGAAATTCAGAGGCTGAGCAGATTTCAGGACTGGTTTCCCCAGCAGCTCAATGATGTGAAAGACCCACATTCCTCCCTTCCCTCTGTTCTGCTCTGACTTCCTACAATGCCCTGGGTCTGTCTGGCTGTTGATAGCCATCGCTCTGTGTCTCCTCATTTAGGTCAAGCAGGAGGGGGGAAAGATGACTTCCTGTGGCTCTCAGAGAGAAACACTTTCTCAGAAGCCTCTGATAAATCTCTTCCACCTCACTGACCCAAATGGCCATCCCAGTCTTTTTTACCCTGTCTTCTTTTTGTGGTGTTGGGGATTGAGCTCAGTAGTACCCTATCACCATCCTCCAATCCCAACTCTTTTTATTTTGAGACAGGATCTTGCTAAATTGTCTGAGCTGGCCTTAAACTTTTGATCCTCCTGCCTCAGCCTCTTGAGTCATTGGGATGACAGTTGTGTGCCAATGTGCTTATCTGTTCCAGCCCTTTCTTGACCTATTACACTAAGCAAAGGGAACAGGATCACCTTTAGACTAATCAGGCCTACCCCATTAGACAGAAAGACTGTCCTCTAACTTTTTTTCTTTTTTTCTGGAGGGAAAGGGGTATATTTTCAATGCTTACATTTAATGAATTAGTACTTTCAACAAAGGTAACCAAAATAGCAAAATGATCATACTATTAATGAGAGAGTCATAATGTTTAATAAAAAGATATACATCTGCTGGCCAGTCCCAGAAGACATGAGTTTTAACCAGTATGAAAAGTATCTCTTTTAAAATATTTATTGGATTTTATGTAAGTGGTAGATAATTACCATGAATCATGCCAAATCACACACCCATGCCCTTGAGTATCACTCTCTCAAACTGACGCTGGGCTCGGCACGTACGTGGCTTGTTTTGGCCACCAGGACATGTGCAAACATCTCCCCATCCCCCCAAATACAGACGTAAGAATAAAGCCACAACAAGACCATTGAAACCATTTATTCCATATTTACCTTGAAAGTCTCTTGAAGATAGATGACGTCAGCTACTAACAGAGTTGCATCAAATGCCCTTGTGCCCCAAAGGACCTCAGGGGTAGACAGAGTCCAGCACTCCCCAAACTGGAGTGAAGGGCAGCCATTTGCTGTGGTTTACTGGCTCAACTGCAGCTTGTGTATAAGAATGAGTAAACTTCATTTGTGTAAAGTGTAAACTTCCATTTTTAGCAAAGAACAGCACCAAGAACAACTGCTAGGTAGACAAGTACCTCAGCACACGTTTTGCTTCAGCAGTTTTCACTAGGATCTCCACCTTTCCTCTGGACAGGTACAATCAAGACTGAGGAGCCCACTGTGAACCACACCTTTGGGTGCACTCACTATAGGCTGTCCTCAAGCTGGGAAAACTGGCAAGTGTGTCTGTCCTTTTCTTTCCCAGCTACAGTCCTCAGAGCCAGCACTTGGAGTGCTTTGCACACATTTGTACAGATGGGTGCAAAGTCACAGATCTTAGCCTTGGGATGCCAAGAAATCATCTGACCCACTCTTTCCCTGGACAATGACACTCAAGCCTCCCCAGAAGGTCCCTTATTTTCTTGAGGGGAAAACACATTGAGTAATACATCCTAGGGCCCCACCTGACCTTTGTCAACAGGGCTTAACTTTAATGATTACCATTAGAGGGAGGGGGTTGGTCAACCTCCACAGATCTCTTATCTGTGAAATGAGGAGTCATTTTAGCAGGGTCACTATCAACTGTGAACAGATACTAATTTCAAACTCTAGCTTAAGCAAATGAGTAAACAATTAAAAGATATATGTAATGATATTTGATAAACATGAAAGACGCAGTACAATAAGGGCCACCCAAATAGCAATCTTTATATTCATTTCCATATAAAACTCCTTGTGGGTGGTTTTTACCACCTCTGTACTTAACTGCTAAAAAAACTATGGATAATTAAACTAATAAAAGGAATAGCACCTTAAGAACAAATTATGACTTAAAATGGCAGTTTAGAGGGTATAATAAGAAACATTAGTCATATAGCATAATACAATCAACTAAAGAAAGTCAACTAGCTTGTGGAAGTGAATTAAAAAAATAATAAGATTCGCCAACAAATTTTTTTTTTTTGAAAAAAAAAATGCTGTCAATCTGTTTCCAATTGAGTTCCTCTAACACTAAGAGTTAAAAACAGACCCATTGCAACTGTGGCTATTCTTAAGAATAAGTAGCCTAATGATATTATTAAGAAAGAAAAGTCCTTCCACCTGAGGACTTACAGTGCTGGACTTAGCATCTGTAATAATGCCACTGGCTTAGCCAGAGCAGGACCCAGGATATCTGCAGTGTATAATAGACTGATCCACCTAGGAAAGTTCTCAGGTTTTCCCTCAGCACGGTACTTGTTTTGTGTTCAGCTAAGGGCCATCTGATCTGCTAAGCTGATCTGACAAAGCCATTAAAGATCTTCAGACTCTGGGATTTTGGTGGTCTTGTGTAGAGATTCCAGTGAAAAGGCTGTTGGAGAAATAGGTCTTGATTCTGGAATATGCTCCATTCTGTATTTCTCGATGTAGGGTACAGCTACATCCCAAACCTGAGCAACAAAGACAGAGGAAGTTGAAAGATCAACAACACTGTTTCCACAAGCTGTTAAACATCAACTTCTCCCCAAGTCAAAATATCCTGTATGCCTGGCTAGACCTAGGCTGAGTGGCTGTCCCTCTGCTTTTATTTTGAGCCATTTGATACATGATCTATGTCAATTAGTTGCTAACTATATAAAAAGCCTTTAAAAATACAAAGTCCAAAACATTTCTAAGGTTTCGAAGGTGTTAAGCTGCTTTCTCTTTCAAAGCAAAACAAGCAAGCAAAGCAGACAACAAACAGAACCTAGAAAATTCAATGCGGGCATAGTCAAGGATGGCTGCTCAAGGGTACACCATGACCTTGTGATTTTTAAAGAAGCCTTAAATGATAAAAGGCAGTTCGTTGGATTTTCCCATGGCTCTACCTCCATGCCACAGTGCTCTGTGCCTTTGACTCTTGCTACTCCAGTATGGCCTGTGCCCGTCCCCATCAGTGTTACCTGAGACAGGTCATAATCTTATTGCTCAGCTCTAAAACTACGGAATCATACATTTTCACAAGATACCCAGGAGATTCATGTACACATTCAAGTTTGAGAAGCGCTGCCTCAGATCCTGGCTTAGTTCCCCCCTCCATCTATCAACCTATTCTCTTTGAAGCATAACATCTTTTCAAGTTATGAAACCCATTTTTTGGTTTGCAGCTGCTTTTTATCTAATTATCACTGACAGCCAAGAACTCTCTGATCTTAGAAATTGTCTCCTTTCAGAAGCTAGTTCCTCTTACATACACCTTTCACCTAGTACCAAAGTGGGTACTGGACGAGTGGCTTCCCCTAACAGGGTACCAGGTGCACTTAGAAATGACAGGTAGAAGGATCAAAGAGAAAATTTGTTTTCCTGGAGCATAGCAACTATTTTGGGAGGAATCAAGTGATTTTAGGGAACACATGATACTCACAAATTATTCAAAAAGTTTTATATATGTATGATATTTATGATGAATCAGCATGCTAGGCAGCTATATCAATCTTCTAATCCTATGGTCAATGTAACCAGAGGAAAATAAGTGGCAAAGAAAACCTATAACCCTCCCAGCAAGATGGGGCAAGGACATACCAGAATACTAGATGAACTCAAAGCCCCTTTGAAATAAAAACCTGGGACTTAATTTCCCCCAGGTCTGTAAAGCCCTTGCACCTGGTGGGGGTAGTTTTGCCAACATCACCAGAAAGAGAAAGTACTTCTGAATGAAAGAGGACATCTTGGGGAGGGGGATGGCCTATGAACCTTTCATCTAATTTTTCTCACCATGAATATTGGTCTCAAAACTCTTAAAAATTCATTTCAGTTTCCAAGCCATAGGTAATCAATGTTTGGGTGCAACATGAGACACTGGTTATCAAATGGCTTCTGCATGGCTTTTCAAGTTGCCTCCATACCTTTGTGTTCACTTCCAAGGAATCCAGGACAAAGTAGAATTAGACAATGTTTCTCTCTCTCTCCACTCTCACTTTGCTTTCTCATAACAACCCCAAACTAAGAAATAATCCAAGTAGCCAACTTGCCTTCTGTTCCAGGAGCAGCCTGTGTGCCGCCTCGATGTCTGGAGCCATGAAGCGATCTTTTATCCAGGGCCTACAGAGAAAAGCATATCAGTCCATCAGCCAAACATTTGGTATTGCCAAGGTTCACAGTTCTGAAATGGTGTAACTTCCAGGGACCTGTTGACTTTACCTTACAACAGAGCGCACCAGGTCATAGACCTTCTCCAGTGGAGTGGTTGTTCTCAGGGGTCGTAGGAACTCTATGCCCTGGCAGGCTGCAAGGAGCTCAATGGCCAGCACTAAAACAAAAATGCCAAGACAGTGGCTGATTAAAGCCTTCTGATGTCATGCTTGAAGAAGAGAAATCATCCAAATTCGACAGTCATCAGTGGCTAACTAACAGGTAGTGGTTCTTTGTCTATTGGTGGAATGAAGTTGCATTGGTATCAGTTATCATTTTAAACCTGCTTTTCTAACCCCTTGGAAGTATCTTTAACCGTGAGAAGGGGATAATTGAGACATTTACCTGGATAGATTATGAGACTTCCTTACCTAGAAAGGTAAGGAAGCTTTTGTAAGCTACACCAATGAAAACTGCCATTTCCCCCATTCATATCTTCTAACCAAGGTTTGTTGGCTGGGTTTGTGTCACGTGGGTAGGACAGGAAGTCAGAACCTGATCTGGATCCCAAACCTATTAAGTCAGTCTATATTTCATCAAGATGTTCATTTATATTCCCCTACATTTCAATTCTTTAGTTAGAATCTTCTTAAATGCTACAAAGAGTTGCCAAGTTGTCCAATATTTGCTTTTCTGTCTAGACTTTAATTTCCAGGAGGGCAGAAGCCAAGTATATCTCATTCGCTGTTTAACCCACTGTGCTGAAGTGATAGATGCCTGTCCACCCAACCAGGTGGGCATATTTTCTTTCCATGCTCCCACTAGTTACCTGTACAATAAATAATCAGTAGGTGATAAATAGATAAGTTTTTATCTTATACTTTATATATAGCACCAGTGGATTCCAAGATCTATAGGTATTTTTTAAATATCTGTAATCAAAACACACTTAAGTAATGAATATGCTTGAAATACGAACTGCCATTTTCCTCCCAATTGCACTTCCCTGATTTAAATGGACAGAACACTGGATGAGCTAGATCTATCATTTATGTGTCAAGTCTATAGCAGGCCCTTTATTATGAGTTCCAGGCTCATTCAGGGATGTGACCCAAACAAAGATCCCTGCCCTCATAGAGCTTGAATCTCACTGGGAAAGACGAATAGACCTAAGTATAGATGAGTTATTCAAGCTCCATTAGAACAATGGAGAAAGAATGGCAATTGCTGATGGGGAAGGCATCGGAGATAAAAGCTGATCAACCACCTAGATTAAATGAAGAAGGGAACCAAGCAAAGTCCAGAAGATCCAGGAAGGTACAGAGGGAAGGATGTGCTCATTGGCAGGTACAAGGCAAAACTGTAGCTCCAGAGTAGAGATGTGATAAAGAGAAGAGGCAATGAGAGACAGAACCCAAAACACTTCGTGGAGCACAATCAGGGTTGGATTTTGTTTTGAGCCCTAGGAAGTAACTGACAGATTTTCAGCAGGGGCATGGTATGTTCTCAATTATGTTTGTCAAAGTTCACCCTGCTTTGTAGTGAAAACAAGGAGACTAAATAGAAAGTGCCAGTCTTGCTTTGTTATCTTTGGAAGATAGGGTTGATTTGCTGATGAAATGGAGAGAAGACAAGAAGATAGATAACGACAACTATTTAGGCCTTTTGGTCCAAACAACATGTGCGGTGGGGGAAACATCTGAAGAGTGAACATTCAAAATGCACTGTGGTAGACAATAACAAGTCCTGGTGAAGATGTGGAGGAATCGGACCCTCAAACACTGCTGGTGGGAATGTAACACAGTGCTGCCATGTTGGAACATACTCTGGCTATTCCTCAAAAAGACAAATGCAGAGTTAGCATCTGACCCAGGGCTCCACTCTAGAGAAATGGAGACTTGCCCACACAAAAACTTGTACAGGTTCGCAGTTGCATTATTTATATGAACCAAAAGGTAGAGACAAACCAAGTGTCCTCAACTGATGAAACAATAAACAAAATGTGACCTATCCATACAATAGAACATTATTTGACCATAAACATGGATGAAGTGTTGACACATGCTATAACTAATGAATACATGCTACAACTAATGAATCTTGAAAATATTAGGCTAAGTGAGAAAAGCCAGTCAAAAAAGACTACATATTGAGGATAGGAAAGGTAGCAGAATACAACAGTTACTAGTATGGCATTATGTAAAAATGTGGATGTGTAACCGATGTGATTCTGCAATCTGTATTTGGGGTAAAAATGGGAGTTCATAACCCACTTGAATCTAATGTATGAAATATGATATGTCAAGAGCTTTGTAATGTTTTGAACAACCAATAAAAAAAGACTACATATTGTATGATTCTGCTGGTACGAATTGTCAAGAATACATAAATATATAGAGACAGAAAGCAGATCAGTGGTTGCCTAGGAGTAGAAGGGAGAATGGGTATGTGATAGCTAGAGGGGCCGAGGTTTCTTCTTGGGCTGATGAGCAAGTTCTAAAATTGATTATGGTGATGGTTGCACAACTCTGTGAATACACTAAAATCCCTAACTGTACACTTGAAATTGGTAAATTGTAAGATAGGTGAATATATCTCAAAACAGCTATTATCCCCTCCCTAAAAAACAATATTCAATTTTCACATTTACCTTAAAATAGTTCTGCTCTTTGGTCAGCCAATAGTATTTATGAAGTACTATTGCATAAACTTAGGAAATTAAGAGGATAATGTCTAGAGGAAGGCAATTTCTCTTTCTTTAAAAAACAAAATGAACAATGATTAAGAAAGCAGAGAGAGGGTTACTTATCATAGTTGTCTCTGTGATGTAGCTTTGTCACACAAGTTGGACCTAAATCTTAGTAAGTCTTTATATTTAACTGCAATGTATAAGAAATGCATGGGACAAATGACAAGTTAAAAGTGACACCAACTCCATCCATTTACCTGCAAATGCCACGATTTTATTCTCTTTTATTGCTGAGTAATATTCCATTGTGTATATATACCACAGTGTCTTTATCCATTCATCTACTGAAGGGCATCTAGGTTGGTTCCCACGGTTTTGCTATTGTGAATTGTGCTGCAATAAACATTGATGTGGCTGTGTCCAATACAAGGTGGAGGATTCATAGTGGGGTTGGGAGGGGGAGCATGGGAAGATTAGACAAACTCTAGATAGGGCAAAGGGGAGGGAGGGGGAGGAAAGAAGCAAGGGGGTAAAAAAAAGATGGTGGAATGAGATGGACATCACTACCCTAAGTACATGTATGAAGAAGACATGAATGGTGTGAATATGCTTTGTATACAAGCAAAGATATGAAACATTGTGCTCTATATATCTAATATGAATTTTAATGCATTCTACTGTCATATATAACAAATTAGAATAAAAAGATTTTTTAAAAAGTGACACCATAAGGAAGCCAACAGGCAAATCCAGAATGTCAGTCTTTCTACAGGAAAACTAACCTGACTTTTCCATTAGTTAAAGGCACACGGGGAAAAACAAAACAAAACAAGGGACTTTATAGATTAAAAGAAGTTTAAGCTGGGCACAGTGGCACATGCCTGTAATCCCAGTGGCTCAGGAGGCTGGACAGGAGAATCACGAGTTCAAAGCCAGCCTCAGTAAAAGTGAGGCACTAGGCAATTGAGTGAGCCCCTGTCTTTAAATAAAATATAAAATAGGGCTGGGGATGTGGCTCAGTGATTGAGTGCCCCTGAGTTCAATCTCTGACACCGAAAAAAAACCAAAAAGAAGTTGTTTAAAATTATGACAACCAAATTTAAAACATGGTCCTTGAATCCTGACTTGAACAAAACCACCATAAAGACATTGAGACACTGTAACTGGGAAATTTTGAATATGCATTTGGTGGTGACACCAGGACTTAACACTGAATGGTGTTGGATGTGATAATGGTGCCTTGGTAGATAAGAAAGCATCCATATTGAAGAGAGAAAGGATGTGGGAATAAAATGATATGACATTGGGGATTTGCTCAAAAATAATTTGGGAAAAGTAAAAGAAAAAATGAAGCAATTGTGTTAACTGTTGAGTCAGAGTGAAGTGTGCAAGGGTTCATGGTACTATTCTCTCCAGTTCTGAATGTGTTTTTAAAGTTTCGTTTTTAAAAATCCAAGGAACCAGTTGATCTTGGCATAGTTCCTTGGTTTCTAATTCTCAACAAGCATCAGAGTCACCTGGAAGACCCTTTAAACAGAAGTTGCTGCTGTCCTCTCTCTAGAGTTTCTGGTTCAGCAGGTCTGGGAGGGAGCCTTAGAACCTGCATTTCCTAATGTGTTTCCAATTGTTGCTGCTGCTGGTGGTGGGGAAGATCTCACTTTGAGAACCACCAACATAATATTTTATAAGCGTGTTACCTTGTTCCACGTGTTCAATGACCCTGAGGGCCTTCCTGGCTGCCCACCCTCCCATGGAGACGTGATCCTCCGTGGCAGCACTGGTAGAGAGCGAGTCCACAGATGAGGGGTGGCACAGAGCCTTGTTCTCAGAAACTGCAAGAGACCAGTGCAAATTAAGAAGTGCTCCCAAGAGGATTAAATACCAAAATGACATGTGACTTCCTCAAAGTCTCCATAGCATGGAAGACCATCACCTGGAGATCTTGGCCATGACCCAAGCACCAGATGGTTTAAAATCACTCTGGGAAAAGGAAGCAAGTCAATTTTTCCCCAGAGTGAGAAGGACTCTAAAGTTCTAGTGAGTTCTGAGATAAGGCAGGGATGAAGCGCTTAAGACTCTCATATTACAAGGCCAAATTGAAAACACTGGAAGCATTTCGTATGCCCTGGAGACTTGGAGAAAAAAGCCATGATGATCATGTTCAGTTACTGGAAAACAATTTGACTGCTTATGTAAGCAGAAGCGACAAGATTAGAATTCAGGTGTGACATCTGAGGGCTGAGGCTGGTCCTACAGGTTTTGGGCAGAAAGATTTAACAGTTCCAAATGCTCAGCATGACATAAGTGACATTCTGAATTGAAATAAGGCCTTAGTGTTGGCCAGAAATATCTCTGGGAGGTGAGGGAAGCCTTCACCGGGTCCTCTGAAACTTGATTGTGCACATTAAAATCATAGGAATCTTGCTATAATACAGATAATGAGTTTGGGTTGAGCCCTAAGGTCCCCTTGTTCTAACAAGCACCCAGGACTATACTTTAAGCATCAGGGACCTAGTTTAAGGAACTTGAGTTCCAGGAGGGCAAGGTCCTCACCAAGGGCTGCGGCTGTGCAGTGGGCTATCATGAAGCCAGAGTTCAGACCACCTTCAGCCACCAGGAAAGCAGGCAGCTCACTGAGGGAGGGGTTACAGAGCCTTTCAATTCTTCTTTCACTAATCGAAGCAAGTTCATGGACGCCGATGGCCAAATAGTCGAGGGCCTGAAAGAATCTTGCAGTTTAGTTGGCCTCTATTGGAATATGTATTTCAGGGTTGGGAGTTATTTTCAAAAGCTTACTTTGGCTGGGTATTCACCGTGGAAATTCCCTCCAGAAATTGTCTCTCCCCGACTGGCAAAGACCATCTTTGAAAATAGGTTAAGGTGGAATAGAACTTCAAGCCTAACTCCTGCCCCACCTGCTGACTTTTAGCAATGAAGCAGTGGTCCTGGTACAGATGTGGGGTAAAGGGAAAGAGACAGTCTTCCTGAAAGCACATTGACATAAAGGAGCACAAAAGAAAAAAAAAATTAAAGGTAAATTGTGTATACCTACTGGGGCCACAGAAACATGGAGTAGGAAATTGTGTCTTCTCTGAGGTCAGAGATTCCCAAGCACCATAATGTACTAATCTGGTGATTAGCAGTTGCATTCAAAAACTGTTTAAGTTGAAACTGAGAATAGAGACCAGGATGCCTGTTTGAAAGCAAATTCTATTTCTTCAGTGGCTACTGTGAGCTTGTACTCCATGAAGGAACCTGTTGAATGGAAGATTGGGCTGATGAGCAACCATCAAAATATCTGAAACAATTAATGCTGGGAAAAATTTCAAACTCTTTACTCAATAATTCTGTTGCCCATCAGTGTCTAACAACAGTTGGCAGTGAATGGATCCTCCCAATCCATCAGTAGGAGGCAACTTTAGACTCACTGAATAGTATTACTTGCAGAAATAATTCCAACCTTTCAAAAACCGGCGGGCACCCAGGCAGACACATTCTGGTTCCAAAGAGCTCATTTTCACCTACTAAAGAATACAATAGGTCCCTGTACCTACAGATTCTGCATCTAAAGATTTGATCAAACTCAAATTGGAAATATTTGGAGAGCTGAGGATGTAGGTCAGTGCACTTGCCTTACATGCACCAAAACCTGGGTTCAATCCCCACTACTACAAGAAAGAAAGGCAGGGAGGGTGAGGGAGAGAAGGAGGGGAAAGGAAAGGAAAGGAAATATTTGGAAAGAAATTGTGTCTGTATTGAATGTGTACATACTTTTTTCTTGTCATTATTCCCTAAATACTATAGTACACTATTCATATTATATTAAATACTACAATACACTATTATATTATACTATTATATTAAATACTATATATATATATATATATATATATACTCTTTATATTAGGTATTATATTTATATTAAATTAGGTATTAAAGGTACTCTAGAGATGTTTTGAAGTACATATAAGGATGTGCAAAATTTATCTGAAATACTATGCCTTTATATAAAAGGAACTTTGGCATCTTCCAGTTTTGGTATCCACGGGGTGGGGGGGGAGGTCCTGGAATGAGTCCCCACAAAAACTGAGGGACAACTCATTAACTGGGAACTTACTGTGTGTGAGAAAGGGTCTGACCTTCAAAGAATTGGTGTTGCATGTGTTACATTAAATTAGTCAAGTTTGGAGTGACTGTTTCTATGCCCTCAACTGGAAACTCATTAGGCCTGGCTCTGGCTCTTCTCCATAAACCTGCCCCACCACAGGAGACCTTGGGCTCTCCTTTCTTTCAATCCTGGTAGCCATTGATCTCTGCGCTCATTGAGGACTTAAGTATGTTCTATTGTCCTGTAGTTGTTCTGAGTTTGTCTGTTGGCTATTGGACTATAGCAATTAGACTTTAATGTCCATAGTATCCAGCACTATGTAATAGGTGCTCTATATCTGCAATAAAAAATTGAGGCATATATTCTTTCAGGAGAACTCCCAATTATTAGCCTATATAGAAATCATAATGAAGTCTTTCGTTGAGAAAATAAAAAAATTTGTCCCCTCCCCCTCATCCAGGAATTCAATGGTAATCCATCCTTTCTTCCTTCCTTCCTTCCTTCCTTCCTTCCTTCCTTCCTCTTCCCTACCATGCAAGAATGGATGCATGAGATTAGATTCAGTAGAGTTCATGAACACTACTATTCCACTTGGTGGCCAAAGTGGAAGGGGACTGTTTGAGGTGAGTTGAGAGATTCACAGTCCTGAGAATTATTTTAGTGTGGGTTTGAATTAACTATGAAGCAATGTGAGAGAGTCTAAAACACACATCCTAAGATAGTTTTGTCAGAAAACACACACCAAACGTCTTGTGAGAAACCTTGCACAGGTATTGTGTGATCATCTGCTAACCCAGACAATGAACTGCATTCAAGGTGTTAATTGTGCATTTTCTCCAGCATTGAAATGCTCTGCAAAATGACTGCTTAAGCCAATCCTAAAATTACCAGCTGGTATTCTATAAATTCAGATCAGCAGACATTCAAAAAGATACAGGATTATCTGTTGCACTGTTCAGTTCAGTGGTAATGATGTCTTTCACAAACGCTATGGTGTCATTCACCACACCATGGATCTGAAATACAGTCATATAAATAATATAAATACAATCATATCAAATAATATAACCCATTAATGTAAGAAAACAATGTTCTAATGTAAGAAAACAATGTTCAAAATACTAAATAACATCTTTAGTATTTCCCCCAGAAAAGTGGTTTGAATTTACAGTCATGACAATTATGCTTGATTCATTTAGAACAGGAAAATAGCATGGTTAAATCTTCTGAGTTTTCATTAAAACAAATTAGAATAAATTCATTATAATATGAATTTACATCAGAACAATCTATTACAAAACTGCAGGATGTGAAATAAAGGATGTCAATTCCAGGGGGTTTTGCTTTCAGGTAGGACATGGTAGCACATGGGCAAGTTATTGAAGTCTATAGTTGAAGCAGAAATGGAAAACAGATGACGAAACTTACCTTACTGTGTGTGAGATATAAATAAGACAATGCAGACAAACTCTCAGACATGATTCACAGAGATCATTCAGACGATGCCTTTTATCCAGGGAGGTTAAGTTTATGAAGCACGAAGGTATCACATTAAAAGATACTCAGAAGTAAGGCAGCCACCTTGCACCAAGCCAAGTTTGGCCATAATGCTGCATAGCAGCGCCTGCCATCTGGCTTCTTCCAGATGTCAAGGAAGTAAAGATCTAGTTGAGCTATCTTGGCCAAGGTACTTAACTCTGTTTCTCAGTTCCCTACTATAAAATCAGAGAAAGTAGCTATCTCATTGAAAAATTAAAATTAAGGCATTAATGCTTGGAAGACACTGATTGTGGTGCCTGTCCCATAGAGTCAGCTGTCATTCTTAAGACTATCAGAATGCTCTTAAGCCAATTCATTTGGCAATTCTTTCCTGTAAATATTCCAGAATAAGATTTGCTGAGGAAAAGGAAATAAGGGCATTTACTCTAAGGAGGACCCAGTAGTATACTTTAGACTGAACTTGGCACAAACTAACTGACATATTATTTTTTTAAATGCTTGTTAATCTCTCAATCAATTTATAGGAATTGATATAATCAGCAAAACAGGATGCCTAATGCCAGCGCAGCTCATCTGCACTTTAAAGATGCACATATTAATTTATGATAATTTACCTAAGAGGCAGATAAGGTATATTTATGGACAGGCACTTGAATTTTATTTATATATATTTATTTATTTATTATTCTGATTTGTTATATATGACAGCAGAATGCATTACAATTCATATTACACATATAGAGCACAATTTTTCGTGTCTCTGTACACAAAGTATAGTCACACCATTTGTGTCTTTATAGATGTACTTAGGGTAATGATATCTATCTCATTCCACTATCTTTTCTATCCCCATGCCCTCTCCCTTCCCCTCCTACCCCTCTCCCCTATCTAGAGTTTATCTAATCCTCCCATGCTCCACCTACCAACCTCATTATGAATCAGCCTCCTTATATCAGAGAAAACATTCGGCATTTGTTTTTTGGGGGATAGGCTTACTTCACTTAGCATTATTTTCTCCAACTCCATCCATTTACCTGCAAATGCCATGCTTTTATTCTCTTTTAATGCTGAATAATATTTCATGTGTATATATACCACATTTTCTTTATTTATTCATCTACTGAAGGGCATCTAGGTTGGTTCCACAGTTTAGCTATTTGGCACTTAAATTTTGAAAGATGGAAAGAGGGTCTCCTATACACATCCCTGACCAGCTGGTTTAAGATTTATCTAATAGGGTGAACCAGCAAAACTCTTTTAACTCTATTGAGTTGTTGCTCTAGATCAACAAAGCAAGTTGTCTGCTGGACTCTGAAAAGAGGTTAAGGTAAAGCTATTCAAAAGAAACTGGTTTAGCACAGAGAGTAGAGAGTTTTTAGTAACTGGAAGAATGCAGGCATGATGCACATAATTTTTCATAGAGGTACTAAAGAAAATCGGATTATGATTGGCCATGACATGGTTTTCTAATACCTCTTTTTCCATTTTCTCTGCTGAATTTGGGAAAAGAAAAGAAACTTGGTTGACTGTCTTGCTTTTTGTCTTACCTGTGGACAGCAACGCAAGGTGTAGGCATCCTGAACACGGTCACAGAACCTGTGGCTCTCTGTGGAAGAGGGAGCAGGAGACAGGTTACCTGTTACCAATGCTTCCTAGAGAATACCCAGCCAAATAAGCTTCCTCACATAAACATGCCCAGACCTGCTATCTCTGAAGGGTGGTGATCTGAGTCCAACAGAGATCGAAACCGAAAAGCCACTTCAATTTGCCCACGGTGAGGGCGGACAGCATGAATGTCTAGAAATGAGCAAGGTGAAAAGATCTGAGAAATTAGTAGACTGCTATCAGGACCATCGAAAAGTCCAGAAGTCCTTCCCTACCATCAAAGTTAGAAACTCAATTCCAAAAGCAAAATTTTTCCTTATCAACTTTTCTATTTTGTACTTTAAAATACTAAGGTGCCGACTATATGTGGATTCTACAAAGAACTGAACTGGAGATACTCAAAAGAACTGGGCTAATGATAGCAGGGAGCTCAAATAGTGGCCTCATTTAAGATTATTTTTCTGCCCTACTTCTTATTATATAGGGGCTTTTTAAAATTCTCTGCTTTCTCAATAAGATACTTCTCTAGTTTTTATCTCCCAATTTTCTAATTAAGACCAATCCTGATTCTACTCTAGTTTTAAAGTCCTGCAAACAGATTCCTCAAACAACACCCAGTTTGACACATGCATTACGTGATCTAGGGCAGGTCATTTAACTTCCAAGGTCAGCATCTGTAAACATGGTCATTGCAAAGCTCAAGTGTGGCATAACTCAGAGGAAGCTGTATCAGAACTGGGTGTGCCGTGGGTATCTGGGTTTTCCCTTTCTTTCTCTACCCCCACAATTCCCATGCCTAAAACCTGCCACCGACTTGCCCCACCAGCTCTGGGGGAAGAACCTCACTGATGGGAAGAACCCACTGACCGGTATCAAAGGCTTTGGTGGTTCCCTTCAGCACCTCCAGGGTCAGGGCCGCCACAATGTCAGCCTGCCTGGCAATGGCACTGGCTCTCTCTACAGCTTCACAGCCCAGGGAGGTGATCATCTGCGTCCCATTGATGAGTGCCAGGCCCTTCGGGGAAGGAGAGAAAAGTTTCCTAGTGTATCTATTATAATGAACCTAAATGAAAGTGGTTTTCATATCTTTTGCTTTTGGAAGAGAAATATTAGCCAGTCAGCTGAACTGTTTATCCATGTTTCTAAAAGTGCAGGGCAGTAATGCTTATTGAAGCCATTGAGGAATACATGCTATCATATGTGAAATTGTTACTACAGATCTGAGAAATGAATACCTGTTGAGTGTCCCCATTCTCAAGGGAGCCATGTATCTCTGGAGGGTCAACAGCACAATCTTTATTATGCTGCCTTTTTCCAGTTTCTCACCATGATAGGAGAGACATCCTAAAACAATTCTGGTCCAAGCATTTTGGCTTAGAGCATCCTAAGGGACCAGGGCTGAGAGCATGTCTTAGGAATCCTTAGAGAACTAGATTTAAAGTTTAGGAGATCCCCCCAAGCATTTGTGGCATGAAGAATCTTAAATGCTCACAAAGGGAGAGGCTCTTTCTTCAGTGAGCAACTTCTAACAAACATGGAAGTCACTTTTGATTTAGAGAATTAGTGAGACTGGCTGTACACTGAAGATGGTAGGTACAGGAACACTCGTTAATGCAAACAGATTTTCCTTGAGTCTCATTACCTCTTTCGGTTTCAGAACAATTGGTTTCAATCCGTGAGCTTCCAGGACCTATAGATAGATCCAAAGTATTAAAAATGATTATCAAATGAAACACCAGCCCATTTCTGATTTCATATGAAATCCAATAAAAGGTCTTTAAGGCCAAAGAGGGTACTTGGTAGAGCATCTTATAAAAGAGTAGACCTGCAGGAATTGGCTCTGCTCATATTCTCTACTCCTGTTCTTTAGTCCGAAGACAGACTGGTCTTTCAAATAATTTTTCTACTTTAATCAGGGACTCTTGTCATCTACATAATGAATTTTGGTTTCTAAGATCTTTTTGTTCAGTTTACACCTTTGACTCACTTTCATTATTGCTGGCTCCAGACATACCTGTTCTAGGCTAAGGCTGGGTGGGTCCTGTATGCACGTAAGCCTGTCCCTGCCTCCAATCTGGACCTCTCATCTCTCCTTTCTCTAAACCCTGGCAGAACCCCAGCACAGGGCTTGGGTGGTAAATGTGTGCGTCCATGAAGAGGGGATAATGGAATCCCCTCTACCAGATAGAGACAGAATATTGGAGGAAAGAGGAAGAATAGCCTTCTCCTGAAACAAACAAACAAACAAAAGTAAAGAGAGTCACTAAATATGGTCCCTTTAGGAAAGAAGGAAGAGGAAGTAGAGAAAGATAATGCTAGTACTACTTAACTAGGTCCATTTCACAGGAAGATTTGAGCACCTATCTCATGCCACATTCTCTTCTCTGGCTTAGGCTAGGGCTGAGGGTAGAAAGATGGAGACAAGCTCAGGGGCAATCAGATAATGGTATGTGGAGTCCTTGGAGATGTAGGAAGTGTGCAGGGCACACTAGGGTGTAATCAGTGAGCTGCTAGGAAAGCATAGAGGGTGGGCATGAGGGATGTGAAGGGTAAGGAAAGGGACCAGAGGAGTGGAGAGAGAAGATTCCTAGAGAACTTCTCAGAAGGAGAAATAGGAGTGAGGCAGGTGGGGAGGCCTGATACTGTACTGGGCTCTGCCAAGTACCCAGCACACCCCAGCTGCAAGCAACCTCTAGAGTCTGTAAGGAAGAACCCTGGATAGGAGGGATTAGAGGATCACACGAGGAACAAGACCCCGGAAGCCACATTAAGTCTAGACTTTATCCTGAGCATAATGGGAAGCATGACAGGTTTTAACCAGAACATTCTTGGATTTGCTGTTTAGAAAGGCCAGGATGCCTGGTGTGAAGGTAGAAGGGGAAACACTGTCCACAATCAAGAGGGAGCTGCATAGAAGAAAGATGATCTAGAACCTCATGAGGATCTTCCCCCTCTTTGACCCTCTGTCTCTTTCACTTACTGTTAGGGGACCTCCCTGTAAAGGACACTTTGGGCTGTTCTGATGAAATTTATTGATGGATGAGGAAACACGGATTTATTGAAAACACACTTTTCTGATTAGCCACCAGGGAGGGAGTTTGAAGGAGGCCACACAGTCAGTGCTATGGCCCACTGTCCTGCATTAGTAAATATAGTTCCTAAAGACAACTGGGACAGTATGTGACCTTCCCAAAGGGCACTAGAAGTATCATGGGTGCAGAATCAATTCCTAGTTAACACTGACAGCTGTACCTTTTCATTGAGGTGATCCCCAAACCCAGGAGGCTGACAGTTGGGAAGGGAAGCTAATGGCCTCGACTAGTTTGACTTCTGAGCTTGGCTTATCTCATCTTTAACGTAAGCATAGCAGTGACTCCCTCACTGGGCTGTCCGAAGGATCAAGTGACAGAAAGTCCTCGAGAGCACTTGGCATCCAGCTTAGAGAAGTCACCGCGAATGGAAGTTGTTGTAAAAGTCTTACATATTTAGCATCAGCCCAGCCACTCTTTGGAGACCACATCTTCCCTTCTCCAATTAGCCCAAGAGCAAGATGAGAGAGCGGGGCAAGGTCTCCACTGGCACCAACAGTGCCTTTCTCTGGAACGTAGGAAAGGCAGGAGGCTGCAAGAGAGGTGGCCATCAGTGGCTTAAAGGGCCCTTCCTTCCTTCTGGTTATCCCGGCCTTGCCAGGGAAGACCACCCCCACCCCAGACTGAATGTGGCATCACCTTAGGGCATAAAGAAAGTCAATTCTTCAAGCACAGATAGGGCTTAAGGAACAGCCTAGTTGAAGGTTCTGTCTAGTCCCTGAATTTAAGGGCAGACTTAAGAGGCTCATTCTAGTCTTCAAGATGCCAAGTGCTAAGTGAAGGGTGCTATTGGGTGGGTTAAAGTTCACAGGAATAACTGTCACTCCTTCTGCTCCCCTAGCCCCATCCCTCCTCCTTCTTGCCAAAAAGCGGACCCTGAAGCGTCCAGTCAATCAAGTCCACTTTGTGAGCCATGCCCAGCCTCTGTGGAAGGTTGGTCTGGGGCTTCATCTCTTACCATTAAAGGCTTCAATAACTTGTTTGAGGGTCTCCAGGGAAATGCCACTGTATCCTTTGGCTAAGACATTAATCCTTAAAGCTAGGAGCATCCGACACCTCTCAGGACTGAGCGGTTTCCCAACACCTACAAAAACAGAATTGACATTTTCCCCAAGGAAACCAAACCCTTTTCTACCTCTCAGCTGCCTCCATCTCTCCAATCTTTTCCCTCCTCATTCCAGTCTCCCCTTACTCTCTGTAGCTGGCTGGTTGGCTCTTTCTGCTGCCTGTCTTGCTTCTTGAAGCCTCAGCTTCCAGATAAAGACAAAGCCTCAGATTTGCCTTTTCAATTTCCCTCCCTAGAATGCCTCAGTGAACCCCAGTCTCCCCAAAACCTTTAGAATTGTGTCACCCAGCACCCCACTGCCACCCCCTACATACAGTGTTGAGATTCCTCAGTACAAACTCTGGCTCAGTTTGATGGGCACTGAGTCTTGAGAGGTTTTGTGTTCTCATCTCACCCATCCTAACTCATTCCCTGAGTTCCCACTTCTCCTGAATGCACCACCGTGTCTGAAGGGTTGAGTCCCAACCTCCTCCTCCCCCCGGCTCATTCCTTTTTCTGAGGTTCAGCCTAAAGGCAATCTGATCTGATGCCATCTCTTTTCCTTCTTCCATCCCAGCACCTTGTCCTTGGAATGCATTGGGAACACAACTGTTCACAGCTGTTACGAAATTACTCACACCGTGCTATATTTTATTCATGAAGCAAACAAGAACTTGGAGGTACCCCATGCTCCCGGTAATTTACCTGAAGAGTGGGAACGAACCAAATTGACCTGAAGCTCCCTGGAAGAGAAAGTTAAAAACTCTCTTAACTTGCTCCAGGTGAAAACGTGCCCCCAGCTGGGAAAATGAAGGCAAGAAGAGTGACATCCTTGGAAGGGTATTTTCACTACCAACTAATAATGCAGTTTAACCCAAGCCTCACCCTGCTCATCTGTAAATTGGGGCCAACATCAGTGAGTTTCTTAGATGAAAAATAATTTCAAAGATAGGGGTGTTTGAAAGATGAGCGCAGGTGAGTTTCAAACTTACTGTAGCTTATTGATAGGTATGACAGTTCTGGCAAATTTCCCAAAACCTGTAGTAATGCCGTAAACAACTAGAATAAAAAAAAAAAAAGATATTATGCAATTAGACGCTGGAAGTTTTCTTGACAATAAAAAGAATTTCATAACATAAAGAGAAATTCATACCTGTTTTTTCCTTTATGATGCTGTCTATGACTTCCCTGGATTGCTGTACCTTCTTTTCGGCAATTGGAGTGAGCTAGGAAAACGTAGGTCATAACTGAGCACCTTGAAGGTGTCTGCATCAAAACTTCATTGGAAATGGCCAAAGGATGTCCTTCCCTTCCTCCCCCATACCTTTATTTTGTAGTGTCCCTTTCCCAAGTTGACCAGATCCTCTGTGGTCAGACTGTCCCCATCTAAGTCAATGTACTGAAAAAGAGGGAATCTCAGTGAGTATGAACAGCTTAATCCCTCTCACAAGAAGCCTCCAGCAGGATTGAACTTTGACACTCCAGAGATCTTATTACTGCTGCAAAACATCAATGTTCTAACTTTAAAAGCAGCTGGCTTAAGAGGAGGCTGGAGGCCAGGCGGAGCATGCCTATAATCCCAGCTACTCCAGAGGCTGAAGCAGGAGGATCGCAAGTTTGAGGCCAGCCTGGGTAAATTAGCCAGACTCTGTTTCAAAATAAGATAAAAAGGGGTGGGGATGTAGCTCAGTGCCCAGCATGTGGAGATCCTGGGTTCAATCCCCAGTACTTCAAAAGAAAAAAATAAAAGCCCAGGAAAGGAGGGTTTGAAATGTAAAAGCATAGTAATGCATTTCCAAGCTCCCTTTCCCTATTACACAGAGCTGGGGAAAGCCCTAAAGGAAAGTGGTTTGCAGCTTACCTTTTCAGGCTCCCGGTATTTGCTGTATCTGAAGCCAGGTAAAGGAAAAGATTGGACAGCATGCAAAAGCCTCAGCCCCATTATGTCCCAGTGGCCCTCAGAGCTAAGCAAAGATCCTGCAGGAAAGGATACAGGTAAACTCCTTCCGGCTGAGAGGGAATGAAGTCAGGGGACATTGCATCGCCTTCTATGACTGAAACGACAAGCAAAATAGAGCCCTTATGGCCCACAGTTTATAGCCATGTTTGGGCTGCTGCTAAACCAAGAAAGGCCTATCGGTTGTCCTTAGGTTGTCCTTAGATTCTATAGAAATGGCTGCTTTAAAACAACTCCCAAGGCTTTCAAGTGGTCTTAGCATCTTTACACAGGAAAGCAAAGAGCAGAGATAGAGCCCCAGGTGTTTACATTGAGAGTGCAAGATCTGCCTGCCACCTCCTTCCCGTCTCCTGACTGCTGCCTTTTAAATGTGAACTTCTGATGCCTCTGTGCTCCCGGGATCCAGCCTGCTGAAGTCTATCCAAGGGCAAAAGAACCTTTGAAATGATTTGGTAACTGCAAAGGGATTCAGGCCTTCCGTCTTGAGTTCACGTTTAGGCTTTGAAACTTACCAGCTGCCTGAATGCAGCACGAATAGCCGACTGACTTACTGGCTCCAAGGTGGACAAGAAGCTGACCGACCTCTCTCACAGAGGCATGGCAGATGCCCACCCAGAGCAAACACTCAACAAGTGCTCCTGTTCTCATCATTTCCCCTGAAATGGGGGTGACAGTACAGCCTCCTTCCAGGCCCTATAAGGACAAAGTCCAGCTCTATGGCCAACAGTTTGTTCCCTTCCCCTGAGGCCACTCACCCACTTCCACAAACTCATTGTCCTCCAGGGCGACCTCCAGCAGATCCTCATTGTCCAGCAGGCCCAGGCCCTTGCACCGGCGCACAAGGAAGCGCACAGTGTCCACGGAGGCAAAGCCACCATTGTCTGGCTTGTTCTTCATGTAGCGCCGCACGGCCTCACGGCCTAGCCAGCCCACCGTGAGCTGTGGGTCCGTGCAGGGCACCGCCAGCCATTCCCCGCGCACGTGCACCGTGTACCTGGGCATTGTCCGCTCCTGCAGTCCCGTGGCCCAGTGAGGCCGCTGCAATGAGAGCTCTTTCTTCCCCGGAGATAGTCTTGGGAGGGAGAGTTTTTATCCAGCTGTGACTGCTGGGGTGTGGTTGGCCTGGAGGACGGGAGGACCAGGATGGGCTTTCAGAACACACCCCCTCCCTCGCCTTTACTCATTCATGAATTGGACAAATATTTATTGAGGGCTCCAGGTGTCCCTTTGGATTTTTGAAACTGAGCTAGGTGCAGGGAATGGGGATGTAGGCAGCTGAGACCCTGTCCTTCTGCGAGCCAGCCCTGTGGGCAGACAGGCCCAGGGTCTCCCGCCCTGGTGATTTCAGGCACCTTCTACTAGTCCCCTCTGGCCGGGGTCCCCAGTTTCTCCCTTTCCCCTTGTTTTCATACATTCTCCTACACTGGGGGCAGCTTATAAACACTATGTTCCTGTCTTTATCTGGAATTACTCAACCGTAAAATGCATCCTACTGGCCAATTGTGACACCCGGGAGTGTGGCAATCTTCATTCATTTGTTTATTCCACAAACACATATTGAGTAACGACTCCTTGTCACTGGTAAGTGCTTCTGAAGCTCTTGCTCCACACACACACACACAAAAGACTGCAAAGGCCAGAGATCATTTTCACAAGTAAAGGTCATCACCTAGACAAATGGACCGCCATGGCTTGGCGATCTATGACTTATTAGCCCAGAGCCAGTGAGGTCTTAGCCTTTGTCTCCTTTTCAAAGGCAAAGGGACTATCTCTCCACTGCAGAATTTGCAGTAGCTAGCTAGGAACAAATCCTGGTTCTGGATATCTGAGCTGTTTTACTTCAGGAGTTTCCTCACTGTAAACTGGTAATAATGAAAGTGCTTATCTCAAAGGGCCATTGGGAGGATAATGCCAGTTCATGCATGTAAAGCCCGTAGGATAGCCTCTGGGTATTGGGAATGCTATGGAAATGTTTGTGATTACTATCTTCTACATGCATAATACTTTTGATGCTTTGTCAATATTTAGTTTCTGTAGGTGGGTATCTCAAATAAATCAAGTTTCTTCACCACTGTAATTGCTCCCAATACATAATTCATTTATCACTAGCATAAAGAATTCTGACAGCATGAAGGAATTAAAAACTGTGTACACTATTCTAACTAAGTAGCACTTCAGTAAAAAGCCAGTTAATAGAGATTTGATTACTGCAAGATTAAATTCTGAAAAATGTGTTTCCACAACAGACTCTTTGGACAGAGACACAGCCACTTCCCATAAACACCCATACCCACACCCACAGTCTCTTCCTTGGACAACTTCCTGAAAGTAATTGAAACTTGTCCTTCAGCACTCACCTCCTGAGTGTGGCCTGGAATTTGTCATTGCCTGAATTTGACTCATATAAATCATCTTAAATTCCAGTAATCCACCTTTTGACTCAACCTTCTAACCTTCCAATTCCCCCCAACTCCTACTTTAACCTTCTCTTACCTTGACCCTGACCTCTGGTTGGTCTCTTCTTCCCTCGGCTCCCCGACTTGAATCACTCTTCTTACAAATTTCAAGGTCCTTTGCACCCCTCAACCTATGCCCTGGGTCATCAAAACAAATTGCCACCTCTGTTTACCCAGGAGGAAGATTTCACTACAGAAGTCCTGAGATCCTGCAGATTCCTAGTACTGTCCTTTTCCCCACTCCCCCTCCCCTAAGAATTTCCATTCACCTAACTCTCCGAGGAAAGCCTAACATCTACATCTCTGAGAAAACGGAATGTCCTCAGGTATGAACCGTCTTTACTCTCTGCCTGCCTTCATTCATTCATTCATGTAACAAATATTTCTTGAACACCTGTTATGTATTAAGCTCTATGGGAGGTGCTAGGAACAAAATGTAGATAACGACGCCCTTCCTTCGTGACAGTGTTTGGTGATGCATACAGACTTAGACCAATAAGATGTCCAACTACCCCCATGCTGGAAGAAAACCCAAACTCCTGGGTACTCCAGCTGACAGGCCCAGCTGAGCTCAGCTTTTGAGTAATTCCAAGATGACACCAGCTCTCAGTGATTTAAGTCAGGCCCTCAACATTGCAGAGCCATTTAATCCTGTTACCCTCCCTCCAACACTTCCCAACTTTTCTGCTTGGTAGCTATGTGTTTTTCCGGAAATCTCAGTTTAGGTCTTTTCTTCTCCAGGGCCGTATTTCCTAAATCCTTCCTTGGCTGGGCTGGTGAAGCAACCCCTTTCTAGGCTGCGTTAGCATTATCTCCTCCTGTCCATCTTTTTGCACAATACTGGGGAAATCTATGCATGCTAGATTTCTAGACAAGCGTGCTACCACTGAACTATGTCCCTATCCCTTTTGGAGACAGGGTCTCACTAAGCTGCCCAGCTGGCATTGAACTTGGGATCCTCCTGCCTCAGTCTCTCCAATAGCTGGAATTACAGTGTACAGCATGGTGCCCCAGGTTTCCCACCCCAACCTTTAGCAATCTATAGAAATTACTTATCTTTGTTCATCCCGTAATCATGTGTGTATCAGACCTGGCACAAAGACACTCAACATGTTAGCTGAAGTGTCAGTGTGAACTCCAGGGAAACCTGTATGTAGATGTGTTTGTCTTTAGCGCCCTCTACCTTCTTCATAGCACGTTTCCACCCCATCTTTCAAGCATCCCAAGGGATTTTTGAAAAATGGTACCATTAGTACCATTTCTTTTAAGCTCATATGGCAAAAGAAACTTTAAAAAGCATTATTGGGGGGGGGGGGGGCGGGGGTGGTAGCTCGTTTGCCTAGCATGAGTGAGGCACTGGGTTCCATCCCCAGCACCACATATAAAAAATAAATAAATAAAATAAATAAAATGTAGGTCCATTGACAACTAAAATATATATATTTAAAAAGCATTATTTAAATGCATGAATTTGTTCAAGTCTAAGCACTCAGAATGTGATTATATATTAGGGACTTGAACTGATCTTTCTGCTCTGGTATTCCTGGCAAAGTCAAGAGAGAAGAGAGCCTTGAGAAACAGACCAGTGAAGGTCTATGTCCCAAAGGACAGCATTACTAGGGCAAGTGGGAGCAAGGGAGATGGCGGAGGATTCCAGGAGGGACAGGAACTTGCCATTTTAATACCTCATCTTCCCTGTTCACTCCTATTTTAAGACTAGTCACTGTCTGAGTCTGGTGATATCACACCCCCATCAGGCTTACAACTCTAAGACAGTTTTCTGCTTGGCTAGAGTCTATGTGGCCAGGGTTGACCCAATCTGGGTCAGTCTCCTGTCTGGGAATTTGGAATTGAGATGGTCTCTCCACGTGGAAGGAATCATTTCAAACAGCAGAGCCGGGGGCCATCCAGACTGTACAATGTGCACCAGAAAAATGGATGAGTCAGGAGTAGTGATGGGCTTGTCTCCTGTCCCGGGGTTCTGGTAACCTCTATCTTGTCTCATTAAGTAATCTCCCTCTTCCCTTGTGACTTCCAGTCACTTGGATTGTCATTACTTGCTGTCAAAGAATCCTAACCAATGATGTTGAGAGCCACAGCCCAAGGGGCCCCAGCAAACTTCCAGCTGCCAGCTGATTGGCTCCTCTGCGGTGATGCTCATTGGGCTGTTTCCCCGCCCTTTCAGACCATGGAGCTGCTCATTGGGGGACTCTTTTGGCTCCGCCCATGCGACCCAGCCAATCGGCCTTAAGAGCGGGAGGAGGGGGTGTTGAGAGGCTCCCCTGCAGCGGGTGGTGGCAGTTGGGCTCTGAGGGAATTCCTGAAGAGGTAGTGTGGTGCGGAGTGTGTGTTCTAAAAATAAAGTTCGTTTTGCTTGACAAGTGGCTCGTGAATTGTGCCCAGCCAGACTGCAGCACAATACAGCTGTGGTTCCTAAATTGTATGCCAAGGCACTTGGGGCACCACACTGCATTCACAAGGGTGCTGTTATTCCAGTCTTTAATATGGTTCAAGTTGGATGTTTTCAGTATGTTTCTATATTCTGCATGTTCTATGTGAAGAACACCAGCTGGCCACACATGAGGCACATTAAACACTATCAGGAGGCTACCTGAGAGACTGATGGAGGTGCTGATGCTCAGGGTGCCCACCTGATCCCTTAAGAAGGTTGACAAGTCTCCCAGATCAGCCAGATGAACCCAGGGCTGGAGAGCTGAGGCTCCTGCTAGAGTTTACAGTTTGGTAAGGGAGTTCATGCTATCAACGTGCACCAGGTGGGTGGTGAGTGTCCACGTTTAAGATTATTTTAAAAGCAAAACTCTCATCATGCTGAATTTTTGGTTTAAGGCAGATTTAAATTAAAGAACTTTGATAAAACATCAGGTATATAATATTTTGGCATATTTTGTGATCATAGTTAGAAAACTAATAACAATATATTGTTACGTTGTGTGCAAATTGTAACAATGAATCCCAACATTGTGGACAACTAGAATGCACCAGTAAAAAACGTGGAGGAAAAAAAAAAATTGATAATGAAGCTAATTCAAACATTTACACCATGTAAATTAACAGATTAAAACTCATTAAAATTTATAAAGAATATACCACTATTTTTTAAAAAGGTAGAAAATTTACAAAGTCACCGACAAAACAATAAAACACCACAAATAAAAAGACATTTTTATTAATGACATGAGCTGAAGTTTTATATTTCTTCATGAATTCAATTTTAAAAAAGGAAATTTTGGAAATCAGTAAAAGGCAGGTCCTTAATCCACTTTCAAATCCTTCCCCACCAGCATTGCAGTCACAGGATGCATGCCTGCTTTGTGCTCCTGGTAGGTATGGATGGCTTGATCACAGGACTTGTCAAAGGCAGCAAGATCCCTGCCAAAAGAGAAGGGAAAGAAAGAGGAAAGATGGAGAGGGGGAGGGAGAAAGAGACAGACACACACACACAGGAAGGGAAAACAAACATTAAGTTAATATTAGAGATAAAGTTAAAAGTGATGGTTAGGAATAGCTAAATATCACCCAAATAAAGCACAAATCCT